GTCATTTCCTCAAATTCGAAATCCAATTTTTTCAAACAGTCAACTTGTGCTGAATTTCGTTATGTGATGGTTTCCCCTTTGACCGACCTATCTAACTAAAAATAAATTTAACTTGAATTACTAAAGAATTTGATGATATAAAAATAAATATCCTTGTATCGATTTGAGGGTTTTGGGAGGGTGTCATTTTAAAATCGTATTACAAGAAATGTGTCGTTTGTAGAATAAAAACACGTAATGGTTAAATTGTTGTTGAGCTTCAGTGTGTATGTACTCTGGAGGAGGGAAGGAGGAAGATTGTCGTGTTGGTTTTGACTTAAAGTGCCAAGTTGAGTCACTTTACTTTCCTTTGTTGCATTGTCGTCTCATGTATGTAAAAGTGAAAGCCGGGGTGTGCGTATAACTTCAAGTGGAGCAGTTAGTCGGAAAAAGACATGCCAACAAATCTCCCGTAATGATTATTTCTTCCTATATAAGAGGAAATGCAAATGATGCAATGGGAAGTTCACATCCGAACTTCTCATATCCGCCTACTCATTGATTTCACGAACTTTATCCATTCCTTTTCACCACACAAAATAACAACAACGACCTGCCTGCACTCGTTTAGTGATGCCCAGTCCTGATTTTACGTGTGCATATGTACGTATGAACACACCACACGTACGTATATTTGCATATACGAGGGAACGAGGAGAGTGGTAGCACTTCGTGCGTTGCAAACATGAACGCTAGCTCATTATCTCAAAAAGTCATTTGTTAATCTATTTCATTGAAGTAATGATTCATGTTCGAAGCTTATTATGTCTGTGCAGAATATGATGAAGCTGTTTATTGAAGCGATAAAGCCATAAATGCTGAAAGCCTGGCGTATTTTTCTACATCTGCACACAATACAAGGAGAGACGGATTACGTAAGCGAGTGAAGACCTGCATAAAAGTTGAAATTTGTTGGTTCAAGAAACGCGGTTAAACATTTTCGAAAGAAACGAGTGAAAGCAAAATGAGACTTTTGAAATGTTTCCTGTATTAAATTTGTGAATAGCGAGTTACAATATGTTGATGTTATCTTTCCTAATCCAGCATATACATGTACACAGTTTGCTGAAACTGGCTGGTAGCCACATCTCATGAAATTAGCTGTGTCACATAACAGTGAAGAAGGATGCTGCTGCGTTCTCCGAGATTATTAAATCCTTACCCAGCGCCGACCTCATGAAAATAATATGCAAATAGTCTGCGTTATCTTTATGGCAAATCCGTTATGAAGTATGCTCCTATTTTTCAGTTTAGTTTAATGTTATCTGCCTAAAGTGGAAATTGGTTTCGTAAAGAAACCATCTTTATTATTGGACCACTCATCTGCACTCTTCACTTTGGAATACATGGTCGGGGTAATAATGGAGAATGGGATCGGTGGTGGTGGTGGTGGTGAAGAAAATAATCTGGCGATGCGACTGACTTTGACTTCACCCAGCAAAAGACTTGAAGCCTCTCAATGAAAATGTTGGAGTGCAAAGTAAAGTCTGAATGCGACAAAAATCGATCCCCACTTGGTTGGCATAGGGACGGACTTGGTACTTCCGGCCACGGGGTGGCTACACTTCCACTCACACTTTCACCGAGGCTCTCTCTCTCTATCTCACTCTCTCTCTTCTCCGCTTCTTTCTCCGCAATCCAATTTCCAAACTGTGACAAAAGAATCTCTGCTATCGCCACTTTGTTGAAAGTGTTATACCAAGTGTTATATCACTGAAAAAAATGGATGTACCTTTACCTCTTTAGGTTCTGTCCTGGAGGTAAAGTGAGACTTGCACGAATCTGAAACTCAATTCCTCATCAGGAGTTAACTAAAGTTTTCATGTGCCAAAGTAAAGCAAAAAATTACTATATGAAAGAAATCAATATTTTTCCTTGTCCGATTTCACTTGACTATCCAACTCTGGCCGAAAAGTTAATTTTTGCCCAAAACACACCCCGAAATAAATGTATCAATAATGACGGGGAACAATGACGTTCTAATGAAACGCGAAGGACACACGACTCTCACGTGTAGGCCGAGTCCCGTGTGCATTTCCATGAAGAGACCCCGCTGATGGGACCATTGGGTATCGTTGACCCTCCGTTATTAATGCATAATAGCAGATTATCCACATTAACGCCAACGCTTTTCCTCTCTCCCTTCCTTCATTTTCACCACCATCACCAGCAACACTCACTCACCCGGATCCGTTCCGTTGGTGGTGCGGGTACTTGATGGGAACCTACGGCCAAGGAAGGTGGGGAGAGTTTTGCTTGTGCCCTGCTTGCTCCCCTTAAATACATATGTGCAGAAAAGGTTGCCCTTTTTCACACCGATGAACGTCGACTGGGAAAAAACTTGATATATTTAGCTCTATTCAGTTTAAGTACGCAAGGCCATACCCCGCTGTAATGGTCCCTTATCATGACTTTGGACTCGTACGTAGCGTTATGATGAACTCTGTATAACAAGTGAATAAAATGATACGAAGCATTAAATCGAGAACCAAAGCAAATGAATGGACCGATCCGTGTTGCACTGATCCCTTCGTACGCAGCTCATATTTCATTCGGCCACCGCGTCTTTATTTTGATTCATGTGACAGGAACAATATGCACTTCAAAGGACCACCACCAACGAGCTGTACATACTTTTTATGATGCTCTAGAATGGGACTTGTGCAAAGAATGAATGATCATTCTTTATATTTCAGACTATTTTGGACAACCTGCTCCCGAATTGGCTGAAAATGAGCTTCACAAAATGAGTTTCTCACACATCACTTTCTACTATACATACTTTTCCAATGCCAACTTTGCCACGCGGCCGTACGTATTGTAATATGCTTCCCAGCATATCAATGTGCACGTTTCACTTACATGCAGATCATGAAGTATGATATTTTCACTTGGATTCAGAAAGTCGAAAATGAATCTGAATGAAAGTGTGTAAACTTGTTGTCAGAAAAGTGGAATGTTATTTGTTCAGTGGAGCAATGGGAGGAAAGAGGGAGAAGCCGCACTCTCGAGTAAGCACCCAAAAAGAAAGAACAAAATGAACGTTGGGTGAGATCAATGCTTTTGGAGAAGAGATTGGAGCAACAAAATTGGCTTTTATCATTTATCATTTGTTCTGCCTCCTCCTCCTCCTCCTCGATGAAGGGAACAATATTGTTCACTTAATTTTCATCCCTTCTTCTCTCTCCTCCAAATCTACTTACGCAATAATAATCTCAATCACCATAATAATAAATTCGGAATCTTATTCTCCTCCACCCCACCTAACTCACTTTGTACTCGCTATACGCTCCATTATCTGATGTAAATACATAGAGTGGGGTCGTTTCCCAATTTACTTTTCGATTTGTTACCAGAAATGTTAGACATTTCACTGGTTATTTACTTATTGGCTAGCTAAAATAAATAATAATTTTGGACGCGTAATTTCGATACCCTAAAACTGAGGATATAAAAACTGGAATAATTACTTTGAAAGTGTTGTACACTAGACACTAAATATACTTGATAGATGGTTGATTGATGCTATATGCATAGGTGAGCCCGAGCTTGTTTCAGCGGAGAGCAGCGGGGAAGGAATTTGTAGGAAAGAGTTCGGAAGTGGGTTGAAAGATTGATGATGGAGTGAATGGGATGAGTTAGTTGGCTGACTGGACATTGTGTTGAGTTATGGAGGCTGCGATAAGTGTGGATGTCGCTGGAGAAAGCGTGGCGGCGGACCTGGTGTGGTCATTGGGAGTGTTGCTTATCATGTTATCGTGTCGGCCAGGACTCGGGCGTCCGATTCTCTTTTGCGCTTCCTTCCTTAGCGGATATATGGCTCACCGTTATCCAGTTCTTCAAGTTCCGGGCCGCATCCGCTCCCTAATACCGGTTGTCGGGTGAGAGAAAGAAAGTCGGTGGTGGGAGAGGAAGGAGGCTTCTCCAGGCTTTCCCGGGTTCCATTGGTCTTTCCGGTGCTCTTGACACACTCCCCCAGCCCCTTCCACTCACCAGCCAACCACGCTCCTCCTTTCTCCTCACAGCCCTTCGTTTCCCCACTCTCGGCAGCAGCAGGCCCACGTGTGAAACCAAATTTCCTCTCTTCCCCCTGAACATAGTGCAGCTCTCAACTCATTTCCATACCAAACCTCACACTCATCGCCCACCAAAAGTGACCCATGTCTCTCCTCTCCATCACTCCATCATCAGGTCCATCACCATACCCTGGCGTTCTTGAGGTGAAAGCTAGCCTTCGTCTTCTCCGACGCCGTCTTGTTCAGTGTTTCCAGATTCAAGTGGTTTCGTTTTACTCTGACGCCGGCGCGACTTCCCGATTTTCTCACATCCTTTGTTTTACTTGACACGCGGGTCGGATTTTTCTCTCACTTTCTCAGACTTTCTCTCACTTCTTGCGTCGTGAGGAGTGTGGTATGCATACAAAGTGTGAGAGTTGAACCAGAGTCTCAATAAAACCTCAAGACACGTCAGACAGACTGATTTGTTCAGTATTTTCCACTGCAACTCAGCAGCAGCACGAGCAGTACTTACTTTTACATACACATAAATACCACGACCGAGTCAATTCACATTCCTTTTCGACCACAATACAACAATGCACGGCGAGCCACAAGTTGACGAATCAAGTGAAAAGTGCACAAATTGTTGCATATCTGAAATAGCGTCGAAATAAGATTATACTCAACGTAGAAATACTCATATCTTAGTAATTACTACACTTGCACAATTATTCCTCCATATCCTGACACAACACGAGAGCATTTTACAATGCTGGACATCAAAACTTCGGCCGAGTATTTCTCAAGGACTGGGTCCTTAACCAATTTTTCGATGCTATTGGCAGGTATATATTGCACTGACTTTAAGAAATACATATGTACACAATGTCGGTGTTTGCAAGTTCTGATTCATAAAGAGAAAAATATGTTTCTAATAATATGTATTTCATTGTTTGGTTACAGATCCCACCTACAAAAGCGCATGGGGTGCTGCTCATCCTTCAACTCAATCTCAGAGTAAGTTTACTTATGACTACATAAATACGTATGTTTTTGCCATGCTATTATGTTATTTTTATTCGCATGGTCCTTCGAATAAACGGCATATGAACTAGCATCATCATCCATACACACAATAACATGAAATGCGAAATGGAAAATTTTTCATGTTTCCGACATGACTTCCGACTCTAGAGGAATGTGTGTATAATTTATGCTCTTCCGTTTCCTTCGGCTCTCAATTCTTTCACGTTTTTGTTTGTGTCCCTTTTCGCTCTCTTGCATAAGCACTACAGGGTCGCGGTCAGCCAGCATAGAAGACAAAACTAAGTTATCGTAAAGTCTGGTTCCAGTTTGTGGTTGTGTAATTGGATAAATGAGGGAATTTAAAGACTAAGACCTCCACTTGTTGTGTTTTGAGACACTCGAGTTCCGGACGGAAGTTGGTAAAAACGCATACACCCACCCACACACATACACACATGCATGAATACCATAGCTTATCTCGACTGACAAGTAGACCACGTTGTCTTACATATTGCATTGCTGCTAAAAAAAACGTTTTGTTCAGCTGCCAAAATTGGTTACATATAAGAGCACACAGTCGAAGGGAAAGCTCGTATATCATACACTTATACATATGTGCTTATTTGTTTTAGAAACTGCGTGTGTGTTTTCAGTGCATGACTATTTGAAATTCGGGTCATGTAATTGAGCACTGTAAAGTATTGGTATAAAGTGTGAGGAATTTATAAGTTAATTATTTTTGATGAATGAGCGGACGTTTTTGGAGTTAAAATTTGATGAGGGAATCCGGTAAACGAAGGAAATGTTGGGGAAAAGATTGTAGAGCCGTCTGTAAATCCATTTCCTGTTCAAGATAAATTAGAAAGGCTGACTCGCTCCCTCCCTCCGATCCCACCACCACTGCACACACCTACAAATTTAGCTAGTAGACTTTGTACGTATGCACGTACGTGCAGTTGGAATGGAGGGAGAAAGAGACGACTGAGGGAAAGTTGACTCTAAAATCAAAAGTTAAGCGAAACAGACCTGTTCAAGTTGTACTTCATATCGGTTGCTTTCATCTCTCGCTCCTTGTGAAAACCATTCTCTGTAATAATATCTGTTAATATGAATATTTCTTTACCCCTCTTCCCAAAAAAATGTTTGTATGCATGAAACATATGCCGAGGCAAGACGTATTCCCCAGATAAAATTATCGTGGTTGGTTGGTAATCATAATGTGGCTCCATACACACACATAAATATATGTATAGGAAGCTTTAGGTAGGCATTTATGTACTTTCTTATGCTTCGCTCTCTGCCTACAAAGTTGATGGAATCAGGGTTGCTTATACATATGTACACACAGGAAAAGTGAGCATTATTTTCTGCTTTGCTGTTGTGAAAGTGGAAAAGTTGGCACAATCCTGCGGTTATGATATACATTCTACCGACGGCAAAAGGGAGTTCGTTTTGTTGCTATCTCTTAGATCAGCCGTGAACACTCGTTGTTCGTGCTAAAGTTGTGAGAGAAATTGAGCATTGCGGAATGAAAGGATTCGCTGATTTGAGATTGGAATAGGAAGTTTTCGAAGGGAGTCTCTAATGTAATATAACTCAACATTTCCTGACATTTGGAAATGTTAGTGTTTAATGGAAAGCGAGGGTTGGTCCATCCATCCATTTCCTTCCTTCGTGCGGTTGCTAACTTCATCCTTCGAATTCATTACCTTCACTCTTCTCACGCCGTGTTTGCAGGTTCACATTTGTCTGTAGCACTTGTGTTTCAATTTGCATCTCTTATTTTCTCCGTCTCATGTCGTGTCATTTCGCGTGTACATATGCACATTCTGAAGAAAAAAGCTTTTATTTGATATAGAAATTATTAAATCTAGCCACACCTCTCATAATTCAAATTACATTTTCTGAATTGTTGCATAAAAGTGAATGCTCGTCATTTAGGAAAGTTTTATTTCTAATCCGTCTGTAAATACACTCCTGGAATATTGGTGGTCCTGCTGGTTTTGCAGTTCAGCTGGAGATCAAAAGTAGTTATCTTTCGTAATGGAATGAAGCAGAGTTTGTGAGTTATAAGCGAAATAAGTAAATGAATCAAATTCCCTGGTCGGATTGGAGTTTGACATTGAACATCCGTGGGTGGATGTGAGGCTTCAGCAAACCCAGCCTAACGAAGACAAAATGGAATGGTAAACTGATTTATTGACTGTGATTACTTTTTTCTCATCTGTTGAACCAATGAATTTCACTTTGGAGTTTGTCCTTTATTAGAGGCAAGCAAACGAATAGCAAATCAAATGACGATCTCTATTTGCTGCCCAGTTTGTTATGGACAAAACTGGGGCAATATATGTAACTGTTCGTACATATGTATTAGTGGACCCCACTAAATTTTCTTGAGTTTGCTACGAAAATAAATCGATTCCTTCTGGAATGTTTCTAAAAAAACTGAGCAAATTTTAGTTTAGCATCAATTTATGTAGCATTCGAGATATCATTTTATCTCGTGTTTGCGGCAGATCTCTTTTTAGAGTAAATTATTATAATTATTTTTCTTAAATAATTTGTCAAATATTTTTTGAAAGCTTTATTTTAAATTCAAAAATACATATATTTCACAAAGCGTGGTGTTGAAACATTCACCTTTTTTAGTGCGCATTTAATATGTGGTAGAGAGGAAATGACAAACACGACTATTTATCCAGACCTGGGGGCATAATAATATTTGGCTTGAAATGACGAAAACACAAACTTGAATTCGGTATGCTTGATTCTCAAGGATAATAAGTGTGGGGACGCCCCAACACCAGATTTTAGGTTTTAGGTTGAGTGAGCATTTTCATCAGTGATCAAAGGCGGCGTCACCGCCTCCGGTGTTAAACGCAGCCAAAACTTTAGATTTGTCAACCACACCCGTTCAATTTTAAGAACAAAGGGTGAAATTTAACAGGTTTTGTTTGGTGGTAGATGCAAGAAAAGCAATCTAATGAGAAAATCCTTGAGCATGAGTTGAGCTCGACTGCCATTTCATGGGGCGAGAACACACAAATAGTGTGAGAGAGAGCGAGAGAGCAGATCAACACCAAATTCGTCAGTCAACAACCAAACCAAACCAAAGCCACTAAATCAAAGAAAACCAACTTTGCATTGAGATGCCGTGTGGGTGAAAGTTTGATTCCAGGCTTATAATAATAGCGAAATAGCACTTTCTTCGAGTGAGCTGAAACAAGGAAAGCTCTGAAGCGGAAAGAAATTGGAGTACACAAAGGAAAGAGCGGATGACGATGATAAGAATGGTAGTGGCATTGACTACATTTCGTACACGGTCCTGGAATCACAGGGCTGCATGGCGTAGGCAGAAAGGTTGCACGTCAAACGACGAAGGTGAAGTCGACAAAGATGCGACGATAAAGATGCAATGCAAGAAAGTAAAATGGACAAGCTATAAATATCTGTAAATATGTACAATTGCATAACTGACTAGTAATTGCCTCTAGATACTAGTTCGTTTCGAACCCGATTTGCTCAGGTCACTGGCAAATTATTTTGATTAAAATGCAACTTTGAGCACATTTGACCAATTTTTATAAATTTAGAAGGCTCTGCTTTGAAACTAATAGAATAAAACCAAACGGCACCCCTCTAAAATCGAGTTGTATAAGTGCTACAATTTTCCTAATCTTCCTCTTAATTAAACAAAGAATTGAATAAAGTTTAGCAAAAAAATTGCCAGTTACCCAAACAGAGAATCGGATTCAAAAACCCACTAGTACATATTTAGGGGACTGGAACTTTGAAATTAACAATAGTCTGATCAATCCATCTTGTAAAATTGGGAGATATTTTGATGATGAATCCTAATTTAGGAAATCTGGCTCTCCCTGATAAAGAAAGTATCGGTATGTACTTGCAAAAAATGGAAATGTGTTAGGGTGTCTTATTCCTCTTGTTGTACATACTTTCACTTTGCCCCGCTTATGCATACATGTGTGCATCTATATCGCTGGATCTTTTTCTACTTCACCTTTGACGTTTCGTTGAGAATTTGACGTAGACAGACTCCGAGAAGTGTGTGGGTGAGAAAGAGTTGGTGTAGCTGACTTTCTAATTGATTTCCCTTCTCTGTAGCGAGTGGTGTGCAACTACAGGCGCAGTTTTCGATAGTCGTCCGAATCAGATCAGATATCATTTCTAAGCTATTTGATTTTTTAGCCTCTGTGAAATTGGAATTAATCTCAAGAATAAAGAAACATTACATGATTCTACAATTATTCACTATAGTGTCTGCAGATTCAATGTTGGATGCGGAAACCTTGTCCAAAATGAGACAATAAAGCAATAATAATGCACTTATGGCACGCATTATACGACTTCGACAAAAGTCAAAACATTATTCGAGAAAATGTCCATTTGTTGGATGCACTTTTGCCAAGTTGACCAAGTTATGGTTGTGCCATGAAGGATGAAATGGGAATAGAAGCGGCGAAGAGTGAATAGAAATCCGGAGAAGATATCCATTAAGTCCATTATGTTTGCAATTAATGTTTCTATTCCGTCAGATTTTCGCTTGGATTGGTTGTTGGCTCGATTCGAACTGAACCCCCTTCAAATAAGGCAACTGACTGAAAATTTAACCAAGGCAGACCTTTCTCTCAAAACTCTGTCGTCTCGTTGGCGTTCGATGTATGTGGCAGTCCGTGTCCCATTATAATCATTTCTTTTCATTCCACCTCGGTGCACTCACCCTTTGGAAATTATCCCTCAGCAGTCGTCAACCTTATTTAACGCAGCAGCAGTGTTTGGCCTACGATGGAAAATGAATGAAAGCTTTAAAATGTAGCACACAAATCCTTGGACACAAAACTTGTGAGAGTGGAGACTTTTTTGTGTCCCTTTAAGTGCGTGGTTAATTGAGATGCTGTAAACGACACATCCGTCAACAGCATACATATAACACATATGAATGCATGTGTAAATATCGTACATACATTTTTAAACCCATTCAAATGTGGCGTCATACATAAGTGGACCTTCATGTATCCATTTACTAGCACGATTACATCCACTTGAGCCACATACAATTTTTGGGCTTAAGTTAGACCGCTCTAATCTGTATAGGTCGTTATCAACAATGAAACTTTCTCCTAAATTCGAGTGCAAAAAGTGTCCGCAAGTGCACTTTTGAATTTTCAAACTGCAAGGAGAAATTTTCCTAATCGGTTGATTGTGATTGGAGAGTTCTTAATTTATTAAGCTGAATTAAGGGGGTCATTTGATTCTCTTCAATTATTGCTTGAACAGAGCAGAAAATTCGATAAAAAGTTCAACTAAGCTTTCTAGCTAAACAAATCTAACGTTGTGTGAGTGTTGAAATATACTTAACCAATTTTTCAAATTATTTTACAGGTTACACGACCAATACTTTGAGTGGGATGGGGAAAAGCAGTTTGGATACGCATTCTCATTTGCGTCAACCGGGTAAGTAAATTTTATTTGATCCCTTCAACACCCTAGTTTCTAACAGGAACAACAAGGTTACTGCACGAATGCTCTGTAAAAGTTCTGCCTGGACCCCTGCTTGGTCAGAAATTAGCTTGCGAGTTATGCTGAAAATTAAAGTCATGCATGTACTTAATTCTTGCTAACATTTTCCATGTATGTACAAACCACAACTCTGCATGACATTAAGACAGATTGGTTTGAGCGAATTAAAATGCCAAAATAATCATTAGAGTTGAAAAATATTTTTGACAACAAACATAAATTTCGGAACGTGTGCAAGGAAGTACAAAATTACAACGGACGTTTCTCGCTTTATTGTCATTGCAATCAATGTTCCTTTCCTGCCAACATTTCCTTAATGTTGACCTGCCTGATTGCAGTTAAAGATAAGGTGTCCATTACTTCAGTTGTTGACTGCATGATTACGATTAGTCGGCCAGCAGCTCGCAATCCATTTTCCGTAACTACCAGTTATGCATTCGCCATAAACTCCCCGTGCTCATACGTATGTACCTGTTCATGCTGCTAAAAGTACTTCAATGTACATGCATACGTACGTACATATTATGAAGGTGTACATATATATTTGGTATATTTGCCCGAAATAGATTCGTTGCAACGTAAATAAATCAACGGGTTTCACATAAGAACGATAAAATGTCCAGCTTGGGTATGTTTAACAAGGGCCTATGTATGCATGTTTATATGCCCGCGTACTTATGCATGGTGCCATTACCTGTTTATTATGAAATTAATTTAAACTGAGACTGAGGCTGCACCTGATATTTTAAGACTTGGTCTTTCTCCACCCAAGACCTTTCACCGGCTGTTCTTCGAAACCACTCTTGCATCCATACACATTTATCACCAGATTAGCATTTCTGGCTTTAATTGCCATTTGAAAGGGCAGACTTATTTCCTTTATACACACATTAAGTTTCCGGTTACATACATATTGGCGTCTAGAATCAACGGGGAACGCACATTCTTTTCTGTGTATATGGGAGCGAGCCATGCAATGAGTGATCGCGATATGCATAGGACATTCATAAATAGTCGTGTGCATAAATTGTGCCGTTGTGTATTAGAGAACAAAAAATAATATGTGAGTGTACGTACTAGGGTCGCCGTGCAGTTCGCAATGCAAACCCAATTTCAAGTTTGACAAGTTAATTATGCACTAAAAACATTAAGAAGAAGGCGAGTCAAAACTTTCTCCCTTGCAAATATAAAGAATGAACGAGCCACTGGATTACAGAGCCGTCATAATAAAGACATAAAATATCGTAGGGATATGAAAATTAAGCTGAGCTTATCGCACTCAAATGTTGTTGGCCTTTTCAAATGCAGATTTTTCCCAATTAATGCCACTTAAATTAGCTACAAAATATTTAATGTTGGGTAAAGCTCAAGAAATGAATATTTAGCAGTAATTCGGCATTGTTTTTGAGCTAGAGAACGGAAACATTGGAGTTGTTGATGATGCGTGGCATATCCGTTGCTCAAACTCAAAGTAAAATCCCATAAAATTTGGTGGGCGAAACATTGTTGTGCGAATTCAATGGTGCGAACCCTAAATGAATTATTTTAATTTTGCACGATCAGATCGATCCATTACTCAGCTAAGGATAAGTAATTACACTGAATCAGTTAGTCAATCATCATGTATTGGATGCCAATATTTACTCGAGTAAATACATGCATGTATGTACGTACAGTATAAATAGTACATCTAATTTCGTGGTATGAAAATGCTTTCATTTTTTAACGATAAACTTTACTGATTGTAAATAAGTATTCGTCAATTGTCAGTTGATCATGATTGACACGAGGGTGGGAAACCAGGGTGAAAGCGAGTGAATGAAATATAGTGGCGATGTAATGGGATATTGTTCGACTCTTGGATGAGTGACTCTGAGAGTAAAAAGATGTATCAAACGCAGTCGAGTCAAAAGTTGGGGTGTAACGGAGAAATGGGATGGGTTGGGATAAAACGTCAGAATAATATCGTGTGTTGGTGTACAAAGATGTGACGCGATATGAAAGCCAATTTTTTACAATAGCATTTTTTTCACCATTGACTCCTTCGTTCATGGCATATAGTTCAGCCCCTTCAACTGCACCACTTTCTTCATACCGCACAGAATTATCTAGGAATGAGAACTACATCACCGCACACCTCGTCAGGAAGGCTACATTTTTATGAGATTATTGAGCAAAATTTATCTGCACATTGCGTAAATCACTTGAAAGCTCATCTTTATTATCTTTTATCAGCCAAGGGAAAGTGCCTCCAGTAACTTTGCTCGTCGATAATATTGATTGCAGCCGTACAAAAAGGCAATTAGAGACACCATCCATCCTTGCTGCCTGTAAGTCAGTGCAATCCACTCATTTTGTGTCTGTGGTAATTTGTGATGTGATGTAAGTCAGCAAATGCCCACGAAAGAAAAGAATGGGCTCCCCTCTCCTTCCCAAATTTTTCTATTTAACGAGATCTTTTTTCTCTCTTTCGCTCTCTTTATTCCATGTACTCAGTTTTAGTCCATCCCACCAAAGCGAATCTCTGATGCCCATTCACATTTCATTACGGGGAAATAATCTGTTCACAATTGGCTTACATGTTCAGGGAGGAGAAGAGGGCTAATTTCAAGTAGGGATAATGGGACAAAAGTCAATGCAATCATCCAACTGGAGGGATGCACTTTTACTTTTTGTCACTTTCTGTACTTTCTTGCCATTCTTTCAGTTTAGATTGTTCAACTATTTTCAGTATAGATTAAATATTGTGCACTAACTATAGAAATTGGCATGATTTCCTAATCGCAAAAAAATCTTGAACCTCGTTTAATCACGTCCATAAAAACAAATCTCAAGAGGCGCTATTTACTGTAAGTAATTAGAGAAAAGCAAACAACGAAGATGAGTCGTGGCTCTCATCTAAGGATTTATTTCATCAATTCGGTCGTGGACAACAACAAGGATAAATGAGCGACAAATGAATTTGAGCCGAGATTATGATGACAGTGAACAAGCGAAGATTGACCTGTCTGTCACCATCTTTACATAAGCGCCGGAGAATGTACATGAGGATAAATTACTCGAGGGTTGGCTAATGTCAATAAAACAGTCCATTCTTTGGTTTAGGTTGGGGTTTACTTGGGTTTCATTCGTGAACGTGTGTGTAGAAAGCTGAGGGCATTATTTCCCTTCGACAGTATACATAAGTGTACATATGCACATACATATGTGTACATGTAGCTCATTCATCACGTGTGGAGAGAGATTGCTTTCGGGGTCACTTGCTCAAGTCTCATCATAAACGTTGTACTGATATTTATGCTTTATACGTGTGAGTCAAGAGAGAAAGTGACGACGAGAATTAAATCGCCGCTTAGGGTTCTTCAAGCTGTATAGGTTTTCGTTCCAGGGTTTGGCTCATTGAGGACTAATTGGCCTGATCGCTCATTTAACAGCCCCAGCAACCTCCCCTTGGGAATACATCATCACATCATTACTGATCTCAAGTCAACATTTACAAACACTTTCCATCCTTGGGGTTATTTGGCTCATTTTGGGAATTACTTACTTACCTATGACTTTATTCTTAGCCCAGCTTTAATTCTAGATGTCTACGAGTAAATCTACCAACGGAATTTGCAATTTTGCAATTGTATATTTTCTAGATATTTATACCCAAAATAATGCATATCTAAATGTAAATTACACACATCTTTGCAAAATATGTGAATACGTTGAACTTATGTGTGCCAAATATTCATCGTAGTTTTAGGGATTGTAAAGCCATACAGTATTTGAAACACTTTGGAACTTTTAAGCTGAATGTATATAGTATTCCGCAGAACACTAGTCAAGGAGAGTAATACATTTACACACATTCACATTTTTGATTCGTGGGTGAAAGGAAAAACTGCTTTGTAATCTCTTCACGGAGTGGTTCACCAGATGAAAGCAACACAGTTATATAAATAACAACCATTTCAATTGTGTGAGCAAGTCCGTAGAATAAAAATCTACTGGGTTTGGTTGTTGGGGTCTATGCTTCTTAATGTAACAAAGAGAGACCGGCGTTTGATTTGCTCCGTTTGTTTTCCTTCAACAAATCCTACATGGTTTTGTTCACTCCTTTTTTATTGTCCTGCACACAAATGCTGAAAAGTGAATTTTGGTATGATTTTACAGAATCAGTGTATCCCCTCTGCCCACTCAAAGCATAACATTCAAGGGTGCTCCTGTGAAAGTATCGCAGAAATAAGACACACTTTCATACATACGTATATGCATTAGCTATTGAGATGAAAGCATATTTGTGCTGGCTTTGATTTTTGCTTCTGATATATTTTTTGTTGCAAATAATCTGATAAAAATCATTCAAGAGTGACAGAAGGGTTTGATGTCATGTTCACTCACGGTTGACATGACCAACATTCATCATCATCCTGATTTGGATTCAACAAAGGAAGCTTTAATTGACCGATTTGTACATAATCACAAATGGGAGCGAAATGAGTTTCTGGAGGTTATTTTTTGGTTTTGAGGCTAATGGGTTGTTACGTAAAAGGACAGACCCAATACTTACGATACCACAAAACAATATGTGTGTGTACTTACGAGCAACACACATAGGACGCTGGAGACTTGTGTGTAATTGAGAAATGCGCTCAGAACCAGAAAAACGCATTAAAAGCGACTCTTGAGAAATGTACGACTTTTCTTTTGCACGAATGTGAATGTCCAAATCCGATTTTATACTTTTATACTTTCGAGAACAAAAATTTTCCGCTTTGTTCCCCATTTTCACACGCAAACTTCCTATCTCATCTCACACTCATGACTTTATAAATATGCACGTATGTACATATGTAGCTCTTACGTAGGTTTCCTTCACACTAAATGTTCTGCTCCGCCGTTATACTTCAATATTCTTGCCAATCTCTCTCAGAAGGGAAAAGGAAATGACCAAAACATGCTTCGAAATGGTTTTGTGGCCGATACCGTTTCAAAATCTAACAGAAACAAATGGTTTTTTCCTTTTCAACTGTTCACCATGTTGGCAACAATATTAAACGCACGACAATGAATGAAACTAGTTGATTGAAATGAAACTATCATTTTCACCCGTGAATATTACTGTGTTATTAACTTTAATCTGCACAGTGGTCACTGAAAAATGAAATAACTCTTTCCTTCATTTTCAGATCCATACCAAATGTTTGGGGCTACCAGCAGTCGCCTGGCGAGTTCAGGCTCAGGTAAAAATGATTAAAAATTATTTAACACAATTTACTTCCTTCTGAAAGACCTACATATATTTTTTTTAATATGAAGGCAATTAGGTATACACTTTTTATTGGGAGAAAAAAGTATGTATGTGCATTGTGCACCTACTTAATGTTAGTGGGATGAGCACACGGTGAGCATGATTGTGACTGATTGTGAAAGTCACACATGAAACACGACCGGAGCACGGGAAAGCATGGGAAAGGGGACATTTTTCATTTTTCTTGTGCAAATACTGATTCATGTCGTCCTTCAATTTGGAAGTGTGGACAATGTCAACAAATCCGGACGACTTTTTTTTTGCTTCGTCCAAGTGATTTGTTCTAACGGTTTCTCTCAAGGGCAGTTAAAGCAAACAGAGAAAATACTGTCAATGATTACACGACGGTGAATGGACACACATTATATGCCGTGGGGGCAAAAGTAGAGTTGTCAAACAACTTGACGCGTTGCTCTTTTATCATTTTTTTCTCCTTTTTATTCCACACTACTGAATGGGCCTTTCTCTTATAGAAGTAAGCGTAAGTAAACGAATCTAAATTTTATGTAATATTTTTATTAGGACAAATCCAACTCTGGCAGTTTCTCCTGGAGCTCTTGTCGGACTCGTCAAATGCAAATTGTATTACTTGGGAAGGCACGAATGGGGAGTTTAAACTGACCGATCCGGATGAAGTTGGTAAGTCAGATCATTTGCTCCTTCACGTCACAGCCTTATATTCTTGTGTCAACTGGGATATTTTTTTTGCTATTGCAGCGAGGCGTTGGGGGGAGAGAAAGTCCAAACCCAATATGAACTATGATAAGCTGAGCCGAGCACTGAGGTTTGAAGCGATTGAATGAGATTTCTAAATACTGAGTTACGTAATTTATATTCCTTATTTAATCCTCGTGCTGACAATATTTTAGGTATTACTATGATAAGAACATCATGACAAAAGTGCACGGAAAACGCTACGCATACAAGTTTGATTTCCAAGGACTGGCCGCAGCAACGCAACCAGCGGCGACAGACCCAACAGCATACAAATACCAGTCCGACTTTTTCATGTCGAGCTATCACGCTGGTAAGTTATATACCTATTACATTATCGTTTATACTGACTTTTTCGTAATTTTGACTTATCAAAAATTGTTCTTCAAAATGCTTGGCTCATGGTAAAGTAGAGACCCAGCAGATTTACTTACACCTTCAGATCTTTTAAAAAAAAGTTTACGGAGAATTTGGGAGAAGGGCAAAATTTGGTATCCAGTAATTGGGAAAATTGATAGAACTTATTAAGTATATGACCATTTGAAGAAGAATTAAAAATAGAACCATATACATAATCAGACCATGAAAATATGCAGTTTTGTTACGTTTACAAGGATTAGAGCTTGTTTGAATTTGACTAATCTAACTTTACTTATTGCTGTTGTTCCACAGGAAGTATATTCCCGTCAGCATCGACTTATTGGGGCAGCCCCAGTGCGAATTTGTACTCGAATATTGCAGCAGCGTCAGGACATTCCATGCCCCCACATGCCAGTCACATGACGTCGCATCTGAGTTCGTATCCTCACTATGCGTGACAATTAGACTGCGGCCAGCAAAATATGTCGCACAGGAACAATGTCTCAGCATTAGACTTTCCATTTATGGACAAGCAGGCTAGTCCCTATTGCAATAGCTTAATGGGGAAGCCAGAGCAGAACAACTAGTCAAAAATCAAGGCATTCGCCGTCATCGCTCTAGTCTGGTCGCAAGACTTGCCATGAAAAATTGTAAACTGTTCCATATTAAAAGAAACGCATTCTGGTCGTACAAGTAAAGCTACTACATAATATTATTTAAAAAATTGAAGCATGTATAAATGTATTTAAACAGGGAATTTTGTGTAAATACAACCTGTAAATTCCCAGCGTGTAAAACGGATTATCTATACTCTGCTGTCTAATACTAAGTATTTAGATGTAGATTTGTAGCCTATTAAAAATCCGGGTTAAAAAAATATCTATTGTCAATTATTGCTAAATACAAATTAATATTGTAGAACAGTTTTGTCTTCCCTATAAGGTTACTACTCATCACTATACAAATAATGCATTCCAGTCATTTGTAGCCAGGTCATTCCAATTAATCCGATTTTCTCATTCGAGGATGCTGGTTTTGTACTCCTACATGAACATGCAGACATAAACCATACTGGCAATAATGTTAGCAGCGAATTTGAATCGAATCAACACTTTGAATTTCTAATTGTAAAATATTATAAAAACTATAAAACCCCCTATAATATAATCGTGACATAATATAATCGAATCATTCAGATTACAGTTAAGCTCTGAAACATTTATAGAATAAATGAAGAATCTCAAGAAACAATCAGTTATGAACATCAACTTTAGTTGAAAGACGACTAGTACGTTAATTTAATTCAACAGAAATGTATAAAAATAAGAACATTAGTTTAGTTGATTATTAACGCGTATAATATTTCAAAAACTTATATAATCTTAAAGATAATTAAATTCGTTGAGATTTAAAAAATAATAAACGCGATTTCGTTCTAAATAAATTGTATTATTTTCTTTCAAAGAATTCCCTTTGAAAAATGTTCCATCCTGGCAGTGACTCAACGAGTTATTCACCATTTAATCTCAGAGCCTTCAATAAACTAAAAATTTCTGCATGTTTTAATATGCAGCAAAATAAATTGTTCATCAGAGTATGGGAATTTTAGCTGTAAAATGTATAAATTGTTTAACAACCAATGCCGCTTCAGGAATTGATGATGCTAACTTAATGGTGTTAAAATGATTGTAGATGGGTCCAAAGAAACCGAAGGAATTACAACTTCGCTTTGATCGGATTCCATAATCTGTATTTCATGTGTAATTGTTCTGAAATTTTCTTGTGGTGGTTGTAATATTTGAATTTCTGTGTCTGGGATCATATTTATACTCTGTTGTTCTCTGCCATCCGAAATCTTCTTTGGTGAGTTTGATCCAGTCGATTTCCGTTCTAGATATCCAACCATTTTATTCAGAGTAGCAATTGTGTCCTTTAACCTATTTTTTTCTTCTTGACCCAAAGTTCCATTCATTTCGGCATCTATTTAAAAATAAGAAAACATATATTATGCATATTTTTATATATCTTCAAATCTTATCACAAACTTATACAGCTTCATACTTCTTTTAATACGTTGAACGCTCGTCTTTTTCATTCCTAGGTCAGTAGCGAGTTTTCTTAACGTCTTCGCAGGGTCATTCTTAATTGCATTTTCGACCAGAGCCATGTTTGTGGGGGTAAATGATGTTTTGGGTCGCCCGGTTCTCAAGAGATCTGCCACTGACCCGGTGGCATCAAATTTCTTGTTGATGGCGACAATTGTTTTGCACGATGGTGGAGTCGTTCCAAACTTTTGCTGCCAAGCCAGTTGAACTTTGCGTGGTTGTTCATGAAGGGAGTACAGGCGGACGCATTCTATTCGTTCTTTCAGCGTTAGCTTAGTTGTCGTCCGCATTTTGAAGCGTCGTATAATTTATACAATCTATACGAATTTGAAAATTAAATGATGAAAAATATGGCAAAGCATACTGACTGACGAAGAGAAGAAAAGATGTAGATTTGTACTTACGATGCTGTGCACTAACTGATAAATTATATAATACACCATCCTCATCTGAGTTAACTAACTAACACGGAAGTATGTATTAAACTGAACAACAATCATCAGTCAAAAATATGTAAATGTCGCCTGTACATTCGCGGAGACTTTCTCTCTTGTATTTGATTCTGGGGAAATGGAGATTGCTTGCAACAGATTCATGTAAATACCTTTGTTTCCTCGTTTTTAACTTTCTCCATATTAATAATGTTTTATGATAGTGAAAGTTCAGGGAATCCCTAAAAATTGGATTTGGTGGACGTTGAAATTTTTTGGAACAAAAATAAAAATTCGAATTTATTTTTTCTAAAAGTTGATGCATTACATTTGGATTTTTTGATTGTCCTTGAGTTTAGTGTCCATACATTTTACATAGTCACATACGCATACCTAGTCCACATATGTGCATATGCATGAAGTATGTGGAGATATGCGATAAAACCATCGTTATCTTCTACAGTTGGGTTGATATTAAATAATTTATTTGCTGTCACTAAAATTAAGACTTGTGTGAAACATTTGCAACTACTTAAATCACTAAATATACGCGTTAAGTTAGATTCCAAAATAAATAAATATTGGTTCAACATGTTGAACAAATATGTCCGAGTATTGCCAAAGTTGGGTGAATTTTCTCAGCTATCCAAGTACACAGGTAATACTTAAAAAATGTTTGCAATTAATCCCCGAAGTTTGTTCATCAACGTTTGTCCTTGTCAAGTAGGTGGTCAGAGACTTGTTAAAAGCATCTCAACTTGTCCTGTCTTGCAAGAACGCTCCAATTACTCACCGAGCTATTATTACAAGATGAACTCGAAGCATTTATCCAAAGGTTCGAGTTATTTAACGATTTGATGAAATACCGGCTCTTTTGCTAAATATGTAATCTTGATTTTATTTCCACAGATTCACTACAGCCCCCAACAACAGAAAAGATTCGCATCTACAGTATGCGATTTTGTCCTTTTGCTCAGAGAGCACTCCTTGTCTTGATTGCAAAGGGAATTCCGTATGGCCTTATATGTACAGTGCGTTCATTAATAGCAACAATGGGGATAATTATAAATTATGCAGGCATGATGTGGTAAACTGTAACTTGAAAGAGAAACCAACGTGGTTGAAGGAACTGAATCCCTTGGAGAAAGTTCCAATTGTGGAACTTCCGGGTGGCAAAGTAATTTACGAAAGTTTGATTGTCGCCGACTACTTTGATGAAATGTTTGAGGCTCGGCGACTGAGGGCAGTGGATCATGTCCAGAAAGCAATTGATAGAATTTGGATTGATAGATTTGGGAAGGTATGCGAAATACGGGATTCATTTTAAAAGGAATGTACATAAATACAATACATATACTAAAATTATGACTACAATGACCATATGCAGGCAATAGCAAACTTTTACAAAGTTTTGTTTGCCATTCCAAAAGATGACCAAGAAACTATTCAGAAATATTTACCACGATTTGCAACCGGCTTGAAAGACTTGGACAAGGAATTAAGCGAGCGAAAAACTAAATTTTTTGGAGGTTGCAAATTTGTTTTATTGCAATGCAATATGCATTGATGTGTAACACTGTTCAATAACAACGCTAAAACTATTACAGGTGATGATCTACCTGGAATGTTAGATTATATGATTTGGCCATGGATAGAACGATATCCTGTTTTTAAAGCAGTCATTCCTGCACAATATTCTGACGACGTACAAAAACTGACGAACGATGTTTCCACTATTGTAAGTTTCGAGTATTAAGATTTGAGTATGAAATCAATAGAAAATATTCTGTAATTCAACGGTATTGCTACAGAATCGATGGACGGCAGACATGATGCAAGATTTTGCTGTAAAAGAATTCATTTTACCCATTGAAGTGCACAAAGAATTTATTCAGAGTTTATTGTCTGGATCCCCAAATTATAATATTTTAGATGCGAAATTGTGATTTGAATACTGATTAAACACTTTTAAAATTTTGTATGCTGAAATTGGATGATAATGACACACAGAGAAATTTTTGCATGCAATTTTACATGACAAATCCAAACAACGAAGCTTGTGGCCGTTTGTCGACCCAAGCTGCGATTTGTGGTATGGAAAATACGTTGGACATTTGTTTTTGAAGGGCCGGGTACTTGTCCAACAGCCCATCATCGATGGTATCTCTCCAGATTTCCAAGAAATTGGTCAGCCAAAAATCTGCCCAGGTCACCGTGTTTCCAACGACATAGTTTCCATTCTTGGCCACAATATCATTAAACTTTCCCAGAAAATGGGGGAAGATGTTGTCAAGTAGGTCCTTTTTGATCGCTCCTTGTTTTTCTGGATCTTGTTCAACATAAAAAGGAGCCCATTCTAGATAAATAATCATGTATTTAAACTCAACCTGACGGTTATCGTAATATTTTATGAACTAACTTGAGCGACAATCTTGAATATGGAGAACGATTTCCAAACAACGAGCTTGTCCAATCGGGTCATTTGGTACCAGATTAAATTTCTTGGCCAAAAACTCACTGATCGCAACCGATTGGGTCATTTCAGTCCCATCCTCCAGAGTTAGAATTGGTAGCTGGCCCCACAGAAGAGCTATATGTCAAATCGACATATTTTTATTAGCATGTTAATCTATATTATAAGCTGGAAATGTTTGTCTGCAACGGAAGTGAAAGTAATTTTCCGTGACGGAAGTAAAAACGGAAAGTTTCACTTCCGTCGCCAACAGGCATTTCTAGCTAATTATATAGTAAAAAATGATTCGCTGGAATTATGTATGAACAATCCGACTTAATTTTCACGAAAATTAAATAAGCTCTCGCCCGGCGGGAGACGGGCTTATACGCTAGTTATCTTTATAAATTAACAAAATTTTTCAAAGCGTGCTGATGCTACTTTTTCATATGAATGTACATACTTGCTTTTTTCTCTGGCCAGTTTGCAGCTTCAACTCTATCATCCTCAAATTCCTGATTACTATGAAGGAGAATCCATCGGATCGGCTCGCTTAAATGTCACCAGTAATTAATTATTTGTTAGCCCAATAACTAATTTTAATCAATAGCTTAATAATTGGTTACCCCAAAACCTTCAAGTTGAAATATGTCAGCTTGTATCCACCCATGATGTCCTAATAAATGTTTAATAAATGTCTAAACACATGTAAAATAAGCTTTAAGTAATATCAAGTTAAACACATGCATTCTATACTTACGCGATGTGAAAAGTTGATTTTACAAAAAATAAGATAAAATTTTGTGAAGCCGGGACCACAGCCAAGTTACAAATAATTCAAGCTAGAAATTTCAACCGCATATATATACAAATTGTTATAGGTATTCACCAACTTTTTAACCTTTAATGTATAGACGACACGAGTGATTTGTTGTTTGTAAAATATTGAGACCAATCAAACCAAAAGACCTTGTATTTTTCTCGACACAAAAATCAGTATACAAAAGTATGCTTATGTACATATGCATACATACATACATTATATAATACCAAACCCAAAACCGAATATATCATTTCACACATAGTTATATGAATTTAAAGCATGTATTTATCCTCAGAACGAACCTAAAAAGCTAATTGGATATATTCATTCATACATTGTTCATGCATATTTACATACATATTCGTCTAGCGTACAAAAAAAACTACTCAAGGCAAACCATTTCTTTTAGTTTTCGTTCTTTCGGTCTTCCAAACTGGAATTGAATATCATTAATAAATTGAAGAGAAGAGTTTAGTTTTTCATGCTACGCAAATAATCTTAGATTAACTCAAGTGGCTTGTTTGGTGCCAAGTGAAGGTTATTTCATCTTTATTGAGTATACAAAATTATGTAATTATTATGGATTCTTGTATGCCATGCTTTACACGTTTTCCTTTAAAAGTGGTGATGATTGGAATTTGCAATAATCAGACTTGTTATCTACAACATTTTGATATTGAAAATTTTGATAAGCATTTGTCATAAAAAATTACGTTCCATGCACGCATTGGCATATGTGCATACGTGGTGGACAACAGTCAGAAATGAATTTAAAAACCAACTGCATAATGCATATATGGATTTGATAGCGTAATTTTTCCAGACATTGGATCACTCGGTTTTTAGGCATGACGGTGCACTTTTACCTCATAGTTTCGTGAGCAAAATAAATGTAATTCATCATGGGTTCTGGAATCTGCGTCATTAATTTTATCTTTACAGATATACGGCATACAATTAAATCATTGTAATCAAACAATCGGATCGGAATAAATATAAATGTTGAGCAAATCAAGGACTGCTCAACAGTTGACCAATGCAAGGAATCACGCTGAGAAAGTCGTGTGAACCACATCTGACAAGAATATATTCTGCTCATCTTTCACATCCACACGTTTGGGACATTTCTCCAGATCGATAATTAGGAGGTGGATTTCTCTCACTGCGGCTCTATCGCTACACTTTTTGGTACAACTGCATTGAATCAAACAGACACACAAAAAGTTGATATCGCTTGAATAGTTTTTATCTAAATAAACAGGAATCACGGATTTAATTCACTTTAATTCATACGAGAAGAGGAAGATCCTGCCTTCTCACTCATCCATCTTCAACCTTCAACGCTATACAGAATGAATTCAAAACACCTCGCTAAAGGTATTAGTTTAGATAATTCTTTGTAATTTAATGTTAATTTTGTCGGAATCCACGGATTCGTGCAAAAATGATTGTTCAAGGTAAAATGAGAGAAATTAAATAGTAGAACCAGTTATTATCTCATCATACATGTGTATATTATGACTTGACAACTTGTTCTACATCTACATATTAGTAGAGTATGGTCGGTTAGGAAAGAAAGATTTGAAAACGTATATTTATTTGTATGAATGAAAAAGTGTCACCGAGTTGGAACGCGGTATTTTTGTAGTCCATGCGATTGACTATCCAAATCAGAAAACCGGAAGTTAATATCTCGAATAGTTCAAAAATGAGAGCACAAAATTCAGAGCAAGTCGCAAAAAAAATTTGCCACTACTACGAAAAAGTGTGCGAGCGCGCTCCGATAATGGTTAATAGCCACTTCGAAGGAGAAAAAAATCATAATGGGGCAATTTGTAGAGTTTTAGATATGTATGAGGGGAGGAGGAATGCTGAATTCAAAAAATAAAAAAATCGTCCAGCTCCTGTAACGACCCCAAAGTAATACGTAGACTTCAGCAGGAATGTCAAAATAACCTTGGGATATCAGATGGTAATTTGGGCTACAAATTGGAAATATCAAAATTAAGATTATATGACATTAAACCTACGAAGTTGGGGGTCAAATCCTATAAGGCGACACCTGCACCAAAGTACAACCAAGGTCAGCAAAAAAAGAGCAAAGCCCAGCTCTCGGCAGATTGCTGAAAAACGAGTCAAGCAAAACATGCCCGTGATTCTGATCATGGATGATGAGACCAAGTGCTCGACTGATCCAGATGAAGTCCCTGGGAGGAAGTACTACTCTTGTACTAATCAGAAAACGTTTAAAGATTTTTTCAAATACACGCCGAAGTCAAAATTCCCCACATAGCACAAAATCGGGCAAGCATTGGACTCATTGGGGGACGTCTCAAAGCCCTTCGTGACCACAGCCACCATGACCTCGGAGAGATATCTGAACTATTGTGTAAAGAAGATCTTGATCAACTTTATCAATAATCGTAATGTACTTTTCTGACTGGACACAGCAACATGTCATTCTTCAAAAGATGTTCTGGACTACCTGCGGTCGAAAAAAATCGATTTTGTTGCAAAAAAGGAATATGCTCCCTACGTCCGTCGGGCAAGACCAATTGAACAATTTTGGGCATTATGCAAGAGAGAATATAGTCGTCGAACAAAACCACCCACAAACTCGGTAAGATTCCGTCACATTTGGACACACACCTCAAAAGTGGTAGCGAGAAAGAGTGGCAAAGCACTTCTGGGGACCTCGAGGCAAATAATTCGCCAGATAGGAAGGATGGGGGTCTATGGACCAAATGAAGCAAAAAATTGAACGTTAAGGACCTTGTTCTTAACCCCTAAAAATGTCATTGGAATTAATTAGGTTTTCCGGATTTTACAGGCATTTTTGAAATGTTTCTTTCCTAACCGACCATACTCTACATATTTTGTTGTAATTCATTTATATAGATTATTGCACGACATCCTGAATATCACTGTAAACGTCATTTCTTATGATAATTCCAGGGTCACAATGTCCTCCACCACCGGTTGACAAATTGCGGATCTATAACATGAGATTTTGCCCTTACGCTCAAAGATCTGTGTTAGTCGCAATTGCAAAGAATATTCCGTAAGTTGAAAAAAACAGGAAAATTACTCGAAATATATAGAGAAATTTTCAAATATGATTAAATTCAAATAGACACGAGATTATCAACTGCAATTTAGTGGACAAACCGGAATGGTTATTCACAAAAAATCCAGGAGGAAAAGTTCCCGTGTTAGAGGAACCAGACGGAAAGATTTTGTACGAAAGTCTAATAGTGTCTGATTATCTAGACGAAGGTATTAACATCAGATGAAATCATGGATTTAATTATGGATTTAATTATTTGTGCAAATTATTTCCAAAGTATATCCAAATCGTCCGTTGCATGCAAAATGCCCATATCAGAAGGCACTGGACAAACTTATGATTGAAGAGTTTAACAAGGTATGTATAAATACTCATTAACGAATAAGCTATTTTGGGTTTGCATCAAGTCTTAAATTATATATAAACCTAACAAAATTACACATTTGTTGTGGCGACAGGTTACAACGTTATTCTACAAAGCTTTGACAAATTTGAAACCAGAAGGTTCAGCCGCTCTGAAAGACAGCCTGGTAGAATTCCAGAAAGGACTTTCACCATTTGAGAAAGAGTTGGAGAAAAGAGGCACAACTTTCTTTGGAGGTATTAATTTGTACACATTTACAGTCATAATACGTATACACATTTATGTTGTTTAGCTCTATTGCTACTTATTATGTGGGGAGTTATGTGCAAATATTAATTTGCAATTCTTGGCATGATTAATAATTCTGACCACATTAACAGGAAATGATGCTCCTGGAATGCTAGATTACATGATTTGGCCATGGATTGAACGCGTCCCAGTCATGAAGTTATCCACAGACCCGGATATTTTCGATTTCGAAACTGCGAAGAAGGATAATCCCAACTTGGTAAATATATGCATACAGCTTTAATTGCAGATAGAATGACTATCATTAATTGCGATTGTTTTTAGGAATCATGGCGAAATGCAATGAAAGAGGATGATGCGGTTAAGCAATACTATTTGTCTGCTGAAAACCACCTTAAATTCATCAAGAGTTTTCTGGTTGGAAAAGCCGATTACGATTTTCTCGTTCAATGATAAATTTTGGAACTTTGAGATTATTATTTGCATGGCGCTCACGAACCGACAATATAAAAATTGTAAAGACATTTGAACTAAAATTATAATAATTGTACATGTATAGTATAAGTAATTGCGAACTTGAACGACAATAAAAATTTGAATATCTACGTTATAAAACTGGAGATTAAATGTTTATAATGTTAACGAACATTGAAAGCAATCGCAAACGGTTGTTCCCGATAATTAAATATATGTAAATTACAAGTATGAAAAATGGAAACCTGTAAATTAGAAAATACAAAGTATGGCAGAATCTTACATTTAAATTTACAATGTCATTCATCATCGCTCATATCCTTTGCCCATGAACTGTTAAAGCTCATCTCCATTATTCCTTTGTCATCAGACCAATTTTGTATTAAGGACGACTTATTGACTTCTGGTTGAGTAAGGTTGGAAGACGATAAAGATGTTCTGACTTGAAGGGCTAAACTTGAACGTCGTGAATTAGGATTTCCACCGAACGAAGTATTGCACGTAAACTGTAACTCAGTAACACTTGAGTTTGCTGAAGCGGTTGGTGTCATGCATAAGGAATTCAAAAGTTTTGCAAGTCTGGCTTCAGTTTCTGGAGTGCATAACTCTGAATCATTATCATCATGATCTACAACTGGATCTTCATTCATAACAACTGTATTATTGATGCTCGTGTCGTGTTTGGGGGGTGATAAGATAACTTCTGTTGAGGATTTCTGGTTAGACCTAGAAGGTGGGCGGCTCAATCGAAGGTTTGGCAGTGGTGGTTTTTTAGGATTCAAATCAACACTAGGAACGGGGGATATTGGGGGTTGTGTTTCCCTTGGAGTGGGGACTGAGTTAGCCACTATTTCACCAACCACCGATAAGTTAACGTCATTATGTGGGTTGTTTGTTTGATTAGTAATATCATTAAAGGGAGACGAAGTATACATCCGTTGAGAAATTGGGTTCGGTGATAAAATTTTCACAGGTGTAGAAGTATGACCTATTAAAATTATATCAAAATCGAATTTAGTTACTCACAAAATAATATGTTCGATACTTATTTCAGATCTTACCTTTACTTATAGTTGGTTGTAGAAAATTTAAAATTCTTGGAGTGTAACCACTTATTCCAACTAATTTTGTTTCCTTTGTAGGAGTTATAAGCATTGACTTGTTCAATGTGGGAATATTGACCTTAGAAAGAATACTCCAATCTACATCCACAAAATTGGATTTCGCGTCATTGAGTAGCCTATTCAAATCACACTCTGAGAATTGTGTTTTAATTGCAAGCCTCTGGGCTTCTATAGGCTTCCAACACAACTTTAAACTATTAAATTTTAAGTTTGACTTTTTGAATTTAAGCAGCAAATCTGGTGGTACAGGTTCTCTCAGTCGATCATCGTCCAAAAACTTTTTAGTCACGGTGACTATAGTATCAACATAATCTTGAATACTCCATGGTTTGGGCAGAGATGTTGACTAGGGTAATTGCAAAAATACAAAAATAAATATACAATTCAAATTAATTGCAATAAATCAAGTTGTAAGCATTCATTATTAAATAGGAAGAAAAAACTTACAATATATAATTGATCTACATCCAGCACATTTAATTCCTGAGTCGGCCGCCCAATTATATACCAGAAACTTTTGTATCGGTCAAATTGTTTTTTCACGTCTTCTCTTAGGTGGGCAACACTGTCTAATTGCGTTGAAAACAAACTATCTATTCCTTCAAAAATACATCAATATATGACATTAAAATTGATACCGATTGTTTGTTCGTACACATGTCTATACTTTGGCAAGTGGAAAAAATACCTTTCATCGCCTGAGAAAACGTGTCACTCTGTCGTGAAAGTAATCGTCCTAGTGTTTCAATACAGGATGAGGGCGAGTACTGGAAATCATTGGTAGAATTTAGTTCCGGAAATTTTTGTTTACAGTATTCAATTTGTCTCGATTTCTTTTCAACTTCTAATTCAAACGACCGTTTACGTTCAAGTAGCTTCCTAAACCAAATCAAAAGAAAATGACAAATTATTTTATTCTTTGAATAGTTAATTCGCAAAAACATGATAAAGACCACTAACACTTGTCTCTTCTGTGCATTTATGCTTGCTTTTAGCATTTGGTTACGAATTATAGTTGTATTCTTAACAAGAATTGAAGTCTGGTGCCTAAGAAATAATATCTGTCGGGACGTAACGAAGGAGTTGCTAAAGTACTTTGGCCGGTTATACACTGGAGAACATTCTAGATAAAGGTAAAAAACAAAATATTAGTAACACTTGAGTACGTGGAACTCAAGGAAAGACATAGTGTACAGACCTGGAGATAGGGTCATGCCACCACTCATGGTACGTGATAACACAAGATCTACAAAACATTCAATCAATTGTGTGAAACGATCTCTAATAGGATTCACCAGCAAAGATCCCAGCGCTTCTAGTTTGACTTCGACAAAAAACTGCGAATGCCTCTGTAGAGTTGTAAAACGAAAACGTTACGGTATGATTGAGTAGAATTTTATTTGGTATATTTATACTGGAAGCTCACCGGAATAATTTCCTTTAACCAGTTTGAGATGACTCGACGAAACAGACTATCCGTTTTCTTATCGTAGATGGGCCAAACATCTCTGAATCTTACTTCAGCTTCTTTATAGTCATAACATTGACACAAGAGATGAAAAACGTGACCAGTCGCTTCAGGGTTCTGTACTGAAAAGCAGTCCTATAATTTAAAACAATGCATTTAAAGTTATTTTAAATATAATACTTATAAATATAATATAATACTTTTACTTATAATACTTATATTTATATAATACATAAATATAATACTAAGTCTCTAAAATATATGCCTTTTAGCGACTTACTGGTGTGAATTGGAACTGCAAAGATGACTTATTATCATCTGCAAGCTCTTTTACTTGAGATAGTAGGCAAATCTGAAGAAGTCGTAAATTTTGATTCAACAGGTCACAAGAATCAAGTCTTAATTTGTCTACATCATCATCTCCATAATTCAAATGTCCTGTTAGGCCACCCTAAACCAATTAAAGAACAATCATCAAGAGTACGATTTCGGTTCCACAAACATAAGGATCACCGTGTTACCTGGAGAGTGCAATTTGGGGTTAAACAAGGCCGACAATTATTGACTCGAGAGGTGGTGTCGAGACGAACGTCCGATGAGCAGGGTTCATTGTAGCTTTGGAAAGCTTCTTCAGCCACAAACATTGCGATCTTTTTGTATCTTCTTTAATTTCTGAGAGATAAATATTTTAATGTGGTTTAACCGTTGTCGAAATATTTGCATGCCTTCGGAGTTCGGATGTTATAGTGCTTTTATTTACCAGCCTGTGGGTGTGGAATTCAGAAGGGATGTTTATTTTTGCTGAAATGACCTCTGATTACAGTTCACAGTTGAGCAAAAGTGGTGGTAAACAAGGAGAGCGCGGGGTGCCGGTGTCCGCTCCTCAATTGAGACTACACGCTGTCACAATGCTAATGCTTCTATTCGTCTCATGTTCCCACACCGACAAGAATAAAATGAGATCAACATGGCATTTTTCATGATCTTTATTAATAAAAGTCATAATAGGGTTGACAAGGGCAGGTCAAATGGGACAGAAATATGCACATAATAGAAAAAATATCGAGGTCACTTCCATCCCGAAAAAGTTGGTGTCCCAAGATAGTTGTTTTATCACATCCAACGGATCCAACATAAAGCGTATTTTTTAAATTGTTAAATATTTTTTAAACATTTTCTGATCAGAATCGCGTATTTACATATATGCGCATAGATTTTGTATGTCTTTGAGAGAATCAAAATTTCAAAAAAGTTGGGTTTAGTGTTGGATATGAGAAAGCAGCTCCATATCTGGCACTACAATGATGCAAAAATTTATATTTAATACGAGAAGAAAATCCTCCTTCACTTTTCGCACACTCACCAACGTATCTATTACCATAACATAAGGACATCAAAATATAAAAATCTAACTCTACGTGCTGACCCTAGCATTATATATGAATATAAATATTGATCTGATGTCACTACGTCTTTCTGCGATTTTTTTCTGCCACTTGTTGACTTGGGCATATGTATGCGTATTCATTCATAACAATAAAATTACCTATTCTTTGTTTACATAAACCTAGTATCGAGTCATTCTTGCATATTTTATTTAATATCCACATAATGAAATGTACATGTTATGTCAACCAATTTATGATTAATTCCGGATATCACCCACCTGCCTTTAGTAATAAGTATTTCCGTATTTCCCGAGAAAAACATTTGCGTCACTGTAATGCATAATACCTTATATCATCACTCATTATCAGCATGTATATTAATTAAGAACATATGTATGGTCAATGACTGCATGAATTATAGCATGTAACATGCAAATTGTTTGTTTGCTTAAAATTGTCATCGGAATTTATCTGGTTTGTTCTCAGCGCATTTACATTATCAACCAACAATATATTTTCGATAATGACAATATTATTTGAAAGATGTAGGTATATCTGGCGTAGTTGTGTGGGAGGAGTGTGCCGTGTGCAAATTTTTTAATTGGTTTTCCCGATTTCAATTCAAGTGTCGATAAAATCGATCGTTCATGATGCACATAGTCCAAGGTATATATACGATATACATACTTATTCCTGGTCAAACTTCACCACGAGCCACCAAGACAAACACGTATATTAACTATATTTGTATGTATGACATTGCATAAATGTACTTCCAGCCTTGTAGTGAATTGATTGATGTGATATCGGGAAACTCACTCAGTATTTGCGAGATTTTGAAATATTCCCTTCAATCAATCAGGCCGTGTAATTACCAATGAGGACTTGACAATCATGTAGATAAGTTGACAGATTTGTACGGATTACATTGCTTTGTTAAAATTATAATCATCCGATTGTATATTCCTTGTTGCCTGTATAAAAAGATGGGGTAACCTTTGCAAGCTCGCATTTCGTTGCGACTTGGTTCATATTCGGATATCGTCATGAAGCTATCTCTGTGCCTTGTTTTCGTCGGCTTGATTGCCTTGGCTCTTTCAAAGCAAGTCAAATACGACAATTACAAAGTATTCCGTATTACTCCACAGACTGAAGAGGAGCGAAAGGTCCTTCTCGACTTGGAGGAAAATAACCCTGGAGTCGTTTTCTGGAAACATGTCCGACAAGTTGGTCTCCCCGTTGACATCATGGTACAAATGACATATTATCACTTTAGTCTTGCATTATTAGAGCAGCACTTAATTTCTGGCAGCAAATATACATAGAGCATAATTAAATTCGCGATCTTTCTCACTTAAGGTTCCTCCTCATCTTCTTCCAATGATGGAAGAAGGGGTGAAGGGTAGAGTGCTCAACATGCAAGAGATGGTCGATGACGTTCAGAGGTAATTTAGGCATAAGTGGGTATAAAATAGTTTCGAATATTTTTTATCTAAACTCATTCTTACTCAGCCTCATCAATGCTGAAGCTCAGAGCTCACTTAATGCGGCACCCAGACTTTCATGGGACGCATACTATCCAGTCAACGAGGTACTTGTTTTAGAATTATCAGCTCTGCATCAACTGATATGCATTGCCACCAGTAAAAAGCTATATCATAAATATAATGCTGCATATTATCCACGTAGATCTACCAATTCTTAGATGACACCGCCGCAGCTCACTCCGCCATCGCTACCACTGGATCATTCGGTAAGTAATAATCTGATGGTAATCAAGCTATACATCCTGTCATCACTGGAATAACTTTTATCGCTATGTATATTGAATTCGACAGGAAACTCCTTTGAAAACCGTCCACTTCGTTTTATCCGATTGAACAAGGGAAACACCGCTAAGCCAATCATCTTCATTGATGCCAGTAAGCAAATGAATAGCAAAGAGAATTAAAATTTAATGTCTTAATCAGGGAATAACAAATTTTTTGATTTTTTGCATTGCAGATATCCACGCCAGGTAAGTATATACATATGTATACAATACAAGACTTGCAAATAACAGCTAAAAGCATGACATAATTTATATATATTATGTTTAATTAAATTAAGAGAATGGATCACAAATACGATTGCAACTTGGATTACGAAGGAATTGCTCGAGGGAGAGGCCCAAGGCTGGTTGGATACCTTCAACTTTGTCATTGTTCCAGTTATGAACCCTGATGGGTGGGTGTTTTACATAAATATTCTTTTCAATATGATTTTCTCAATGAGATGAGATATAAGAAGTGTACGTTTCTGACACAGTTATGAATATTCCCGTACTACTGACCGTATGTGGAGGAAAACCCGTAAGACATTAGAACATAATTATTTTAGCATTATAACTGGTGTTACCTTACTTTCACGATTTCTTAGGATCCAACTACGGTGGAGGTACGTGCCGTGGAGCCGATCCTAACCGAAATTTCAGATTTGGATGGAATAGTAAGTTAAATTTATGACATAGCCTCATACATGCATATATCTACATATACGATGTATCCCCAATTAAAAACGTTCATTTTTTCTATCTTTTAGCCGGAGGATCCAGGTAATGTCCGTAGCTTATCAGCCGTGTTTTGGAAAATGGACTCAATCCGCCCTTCGAACAAAGTTAAGTGTCTAAACGTGAGATGTTACAGCCAAACTTTTCCATTTTTTCAGCAATCAACCTTGCTCCGACACATACATGGGAGTTTCTGCCTTATCCGAACCAGAGACTGCCGCTGCTGCAGCATTCCTCGATACCATTGCCTCTGAGACAATTTTCTACCTTTCCCTTCACAGTTACTCTCAGCTTATCTTGATTCCTTATGGAACTGATTTAGGCCGAGTTCCAGACCACGCTCAACATATGGATATTGGTAAGTTAGGCTAAGGTTAATTTAACTACTACGCAATTTTTACTGATTTAAATAAAATGACAATCTTACAGGAAACGCCGCCGCAACTGCTATTGCTCGAAGATACGGAACTCGATTCACTCCTGGAAATATCGTCGAACTTTTGTGTAAGACATACACTTTGTTGTGATCGAAATGTGTGTTTCTTCATATTTTATCTTCTATTTGTCTGTAGATGTTGCTAGTGGAGCGAGTGTTGACCATATGAAGGGAATTTATGACACCGATCTTGCGTGAGTTGGGCAAATTAGTGAATTCAAAGTATGATTGGAAGGGTAGTAGATTACAAAAGTATATTTTACGATTAGGTACACCTTTGAAATGAGAGATACCGGACGATATGGTTTCGTTTTGCCAGCTGATCAGATAACCCCCAGTTGTCTGGAGTTCATGGATGGGTTGAACGTTATTCTCGAGAGACTTGCTACCAAATACGCCAAATAAGTCAATCTAATTATTGAAACTCTGTTGCTTTAATATATCATTTATTTCAAAAGAAACTGTCAAATGACATAAAATCCGTTCACAAAAATGTAGTAGATACCAGATCTGGCAATCATAACTATAAACATTAGCAATAAATCATCGCACATTTACAAAAATAATGACAATCAATCAAAAGAACTTAGAGTGGGTGATTGTGCTATAAACTAGGACAATGGACAAGAACCGTAAGAGTTGTCGATTAGCCAATCCGGTTCTTGTCCAACGAAATATCCTTTGCATCCCTTTCGCTTATATGCAACCTTACTGATTAGCGCATTCATTTGTGCTACTGTTTTTGCATCACCCAGGAAATCTTCTGGACAGACGTGCAGATATAACAGTTCTTCAAAGTTCCACAAAAATCTGGTTAACGCCAAGCTCGAAATCCCAAATGGTCCAGTACCGTATAATCGGTCATGTATGTCAGCACACGAATATAAGTAAAGCACTTCTAGTTTTGGTAGATACTGGTCGATGCACTCTAAATGCTTGGCTTTTACTAGCAATTGCTCAATAATAAGTACCTATATCAATATATACATATATATATATATATATATATATATATAAATAATACAATAAAAGTGCATAAATGATTAATGACCTTCAAATTCTTGCATTTCCGTAACAAGGAAAACTTGGATAAACGCTGACCCCAAAGTCCGTCAAATGTTAATTCCAACCGAACCAAGTAAATAAAATTTCCAAAAATTGCCTACACAAAATTCATTTTAATATGTAGTTTAATTAGCCGCTTGGAATTTCATACTTGTCATCGAATTTTCGCATTTTAATTTTCGCATTTAAACTTACGCAATTTACAATCCTGCTTTCGCTCAAATTCCAATACAGCGTCAAGTTCTTGAGGGTTCGTGGAAGATTGGAGAAAAATTCAAGTGATTTATTATACCACAAAGCTCCAATATTGAGAATTTCTAGATTCGTTTGTGCCAAAGTGAATTTAGTCCAAAAATTTTCACTAGTATCACGGTGGTTGTTACTATAAAACGACAAATGAAGATGCTGTAGATTTGTTACGTAGGGATAATTGTCAACACTAGGCTCATGAGACTTTAAAACACTGCTTTCTCCAACGGACACCTTCTTGAGAGTTGCACGGTACTTTTTTAGAAACCCTAGCAGAGCATTTCTCCAGTTGTATCTCATCTCAACTCTTCCTTGTTCAACATCCCCATCAAGAACTAATTCAGTAATTTCTGGGCACCACAGGTTACTGAGAAAGTCAAGTATGTTTCTAGCCACGGACACTTGATTCTTTGGGGTATCAATAAAGTATTCCACCTCTCCGTGGAATGGAGAATTTAAAATTAATTTCTTCAACTTTGGCAAATATATGGACTGCTGAAGGCTGAGACGTTTAAGCAAAGTTTCTTTTCCAACGATTAGCGTTATCAAATTTTGAAAATGTAGTACTTCTTTTACAAAGAGCTTGCAATGGACCGGACCCAACACAACAAATCTTTTTAAAGCTTGAGGATGTCTAGGACTACATAAAGCCTTCTTCATTGCATGGCTAGGCGCACTTTTTATGATGACACTCTTCTTTACAACGGACTTGACAAAATCTGTGTTTCCCTTTTGCTGATTGTCCAATATTACAGTCATGGGAATCAGAGAGTTTATCAGACTGCACCAACTTTTACATGTAAGTCTTGCTGATTGGAGGTCTGCATCCTTGAGGTTGCGGAAAACTTTTACCATCATCTGTAGAATCATTAGCATCAGGATTGCAATCAAAATTGTGTGATCATCATGAGAAGTTTACCTCGGGTGGTAAGGAATTCATCGTGGTTGGATTGTTCATGACGTCTCTTTCTTGGCTTATTTCAATGTTAATATTTGTGGTGGATGAAGTGTCAAGTTGCCTCAAATATATATTATGTCCCCAAGATCTGAAAACCAAGAAGGGTCATTTACATTAGGTACCAAACGGGTCATTCACTTTTAGCTATATAGTTGCAAAACAAATTTTACACACTTTTTTTTAGCAACTTAAAAGGATTTTACACACTAATACAAGGAATATGTATGTACATCCTTATTTATACCATATATTTTATAAGCAAAGAAGTAAACTACTTACCGAGTTTAAGTAGGTACGTTAAAGAAACTGCTACTCTTCAAACAACCAGCTCACTCTGTTCTTCAGGGCCAAGTTTTTGTTTTGCGAATAGCGTAAGACGTTGTTTTCGTGTCTTACGAAGAAAGCGACGACATCTTGATAAGAGCTTATCGGCTTGAGATTATCTTTTCAAAATTTTGTGCTTATCTATTTTTATTTTGAATAGAGAATATTTTGTTGTGGTTGACAGGCCTCCGTGTTTACAGCGAGTTGAAAGACCAAGGGAAAAAAACTGGAAAATGAATGACCTTTGTCTCGTTGGATGGAAATGTTTGTAATTTTCTGCAAAAAACAAAGCCATGTAATCATGTTTTTGATCGTCCTTTCCCTACTAGCAGTTTTGTCAGAATTATTAATTTTTGAAACTTTGAAAAGCTCAATTACTTTTGGAATTATTATCCTGAACTTATGTCATCCATCTGTGACAAAATTAATCCACAGTAGGAGATCAAACAGGGCAATACTCACTGGCTTTCGAAATTAAGTTCGAGATAGGAAAAATGACCGGCTCACAAGTCTGCCCTGTGGGTTTGATATTCAAATACATGTTTGTGTGCATTTATTCAACAAAGAATTATGTTAACAATATATATATATATTTATGTGTATCTATATTATATAAATAATTTTACTGCAAAGTATACATTCATATTGATTATCCTATAGACGAAATCAGCTTCTCTTCAGTTTGAAGGCCCGTTTCCAGATTTCGCAAAGACACACTGTGCTATGAAACCGATAAAAGATTGCAAGGGGCATTGAAATGTGTGTGATTATGGTCCATCCCCAAACCTGTTAGAATTAAGGGAGAAAATTATTAAGAGACACCTTTCCAATTATGCGACCCATCATCAATTAGGTCGTAAATCGTAAGGAAAATCGTACTCCATAAAATTGCAGTTGAGCCGGGTGACTTTCTCCTCTTGATTTTTCCAAGGCATTCATAAGCCACATGGCCAAGTTGGTGACCAACAAGTAGGTAACCACCTATAAAATTTAAACGTATGCACGGCTGTAAATTGTGACATTTTAAAAGCGACAATTATTAAATTATGACCTCTCGACCCGGCTTTCTCCGTGCCTGCTCCACTGTCGAAGCCGTTCTGTTGCTGGCGTCTAAAATGAACAAGGTTTGAAGTAACAGTTGGACAACTTTACTCAGGGCCAGGAGGAGGACTAGCTTCTCCCCTTTAAAATGACCACTTATGATCGTGAACACATTAAAAATGAGGCTCCCGGTTTGAGCCACGATGAGAAGAATGTTGTCCAGCTCTAAATTTCTTTGTTTTTCGAAACGAAGAACACGAACCTGTTATGGACGAGGTTGGATTTTAATGCATTGCCTTTTTTATGTGAGTAGTGTGACAATAATTTAATTGCTGTGGACCTGATACATTCCGAGAAGAACGGCAATCGACGCAGCAGTATATAGCACAATTTCCGTGATATTTACCTCAAGGTGTGCAATTTCTTTATATTCTTCTCGAGTGTCGAGAACCAAATTGATTATTATGCTCATTATGGTGAGTACCAAGAAAAATATCCCTACAAAAAGTCCTTTATTTGCCCTGGCACAATCGACTGAATAGTGATGTGGAGATCGGTTTGATCCGATTGTTGGAGGCTGTAATTACAAAGGTGTTTGTATCCAGAAAATTAATTCAAAAATGAAAAATTGACTGCCTTGAATGAGACGTAAATTTTTAAATTCATAAGAGTAAGTTCATACGAATGTGGTCTGGACATGTCTGCTGTGATGAATCCGAGCTATTCTTCTTTTAGCAAAACTTTTCCACATCACAAAGCACACTGCAGCACAAATTAGTGAAAACTCGATAGTGCAAGGAAACAAAAATGGTGATGCCGAGTCAACTATTGAACCCATTATATTAGTTCTGCCACACTCTGTTATCGTGTGAGGTCCTGAATTATCATTATTACAACATAATTAATTAATTACTAAACTCCATCACCTTAAAAATAAGTTATTGACTGATCTTGCCTTTCAATCCACGAGCCATTCGATGATGAATATCTTTAACATTGTCGTTGTGGTGAGTAGCTTGAGTTATGTGAGTTTCACTCCCTCCACGCATTACTGATGAGTCGTCTATCAGATTCAAATATGCTTTATGGGCTTTTTCGTACCGGAATGAAATTGTATTGTTATCCGGGTTATAAAAATTTAAAATCTCATGTTTTGTTTCTTGTACAAGAACATTAAGCCAGATGCAAAGATTAGTTCCAATCAGGTGCATTAACCCATATTGTGTAGTTAGAGACACCTTAGAATAATAAAAAAGGTTTCTCGAATGAAATAATAAATTGCTTATGAATCCGCGTAGTCCCACTGAGAGTTATGTACTTACTTTAGACACTGCCATTTTTGAATTTAGAAAGATAAAATACATTTGCATAAATGTAAACACCATTCTAACAGCAGGAGTCAACGCGGCCATGTAATTTCTACATTTTTCATCCGGCTTAAGTTCAAAGTATTGTCCAAACTCAAGGCCTGTGTAAATCATACTACCCACGCCGAAAGCTACAAAGAAACTGAATTAGCTCCATATTTACATATATACCTCATGAATTATAAATTAATTATGTATCTTTGTCAGCACACACCAACTGCTCCAATTCTCTGAAAAAATATTAAAAAGTTTTTTAATTTGCGGTGAAAGGTCTAGTTACGTTCCATATTTAAAAAACCAACCAGATAAAAACTTCCGAAATGAGTCCCTTTTTCACGTACAGTTTCTTTCTCCGCTTTTAGATTTCTTGCACGAATTCGTTCCCTTCGACCAGAAACAGAAGCTGATGAGTTTGCTTGGGAAAGTGGTGGCGATTCGGTTGACGATGATGTCGAATACTCTGATGAATGTTTTCTCAAGTTTGGAATTTTCTGGGATTCTACGCCAACCTGATTTTCTGTAGTTATCTGTGTGGGAGTGGTTTTTGTCCTGGATCTACTCCTACTCCTTCGACTTCTTCGTGCAACCCCTGCGCATCGTAGAAGTGGTGTAGTAAAAATCATTGTAAGAGTCCATTAAGGAAATACGTTTAAAGAAGTTTTATTAAATTAAAGGAATATGCAAGTACCATAATAGCAAAATTCCGTAATTACTTTACCTTGGGCAAAATTCCGTGCATGCATGTGAGCCTTTTCTTTTACAACATTTCCTAAAATTGCCGTCATGAAAAGTATACTCATGAAGTAGAGGTACAAGTAGAAACCCTATATTTGAAGTTATGATTTTATGTATATTGATTAATTATGATTAGGAAAAAATATTCTAATAATAGACATTCATCTTACATCATAAAATGCCACAGGAATGTAGCTTGAAATTACTTCCGACAAAGAGAATCCAGTGCCACAAACAACCAACAGCTTACAATACAGGGCAGATAATACTAGGCCGAGATGATCGCTAAAGCACAAGTTTCTCAAATGAAATAATCAATCACTCTGGTCCTACCAACACTTACTTTCCATGCTGTTGCCAAACTTTGGAGTCCATTTCTTCCAAAGTGTTTATTGGAATGATGCAAACGTCTTTGGTGTGACCTTTGACGACCAGGGTGCCCGTTTCCTCCACCAGCAGCGTTTTTGTCTCCACGAGTTCCAGCTCTTGATGCTCAACAAGGTCTTGCATAGTGGGAGAGGATAAATTCTTGGGAATTGGCCTTGGAATGGTAGTGGGAGCAGTGAAATCATCGGGATTGGTGGTTTTGCTAACTTTTTTGTTTCTACATTTTGGAAATATATATTGTATGCAAATTTATTTTTGCATTGCACGTGCATGCTGCTCGTACGTATGCGTAAAATATGTATACTCACCTTTGAAAATATTGAGTTCCGCCTGACCCTGTTCGAAGTCTTGTCATCAGTTCCATTGAACCTTTACGACCAAATTCGAGGGCTTGTCCTATATTGTGGGTGACATTATAACCACTCCACGCACTCATTATTATGCAACTATTTTAGTGTATTTTCAGTTATTTTATGAACTAATTTCGAGAACTTCGAGTGGTTAAATCCAAGTCAAAAGGTGTACTGCTCCTTTATTTGTATGAATGGCAAACAATTTTCAAATACGCAATATGCCATTGGTTGGTTCACTAATTATAAATAAATCATCCCATTCCAGCCAGTTTTTCTTTAACAAATCCACCTTGTTGCGAACGTAAGTATTCCAATCTTTATGCAACACTAATGGCATTCATCAATATTCATAATATAGCTCGTCAAAATGATAAACCAACTGCACTTTGTTTTTGAGAAGGCCTTTTGTAAAATTTAGCGTTAATAATTACTTGTTCCCAATTTTTGCACATATACTTTACTCATTTCGCATTGCACGTCGTCTATTCTATGGGATTTAGCTAAATGCTTAAGATTAGTTGTCAAAATCAAAGCCCAGGATATCACGGGATTTATTAGCATTATCCATAAACAGTAATTTTGCATTCATCAAATGATAGGCATGAGTAAACATTTTATACATCCACAACAAATAAATTGACAATTTTCGAAATATATTTCCAATAACTTTACTTATTTACTAAACGAAACCAAAAATGAAAAATAAATGCAGTGTCTCATTTTTCCCATTGAATGCATGAGAGACAGGTAAGTGTAGTGGTCCTATTGGGGCACGTTGAGTCCGCCGCAGTTGTTGCTGGCGCAGCTGAGAGCTCCATCTTCATCAACAAATATCTTCACCAACCTACGAACCAAACCAACACCATATACATTACCATTTACATTACTATTACAACTAAAAACTAATAGCCAGACAAACTGAACACACACACAGCCGCTTTTGCAGCTCATTCACACAATCTCGCAGTAAATAGTAGTGGAGAAAGCACTCTCGTCGTCTTCTTTACTTCTTGAACCTTTTCTCAAGAAGGATCTCACGCAGCAGATAATAATTTCTTTGATGGGTTTCTCTCCTCCAGACTTGTTGTTGTTTGTGGCTATTGTTGATAAGTATATTTCGGATCAACGGTAGTTTTTGTAATTAAAAGAGAGAGAGAGAGAAAGGGTTGGACGATGGTGGAAATTACCAAGGAGGGAGTGTTGGACTGGTACAAAGGACTCAATGCCTCCCTGCGAGTGGAACTTGTGTGTGCCCTGCTGGACCACAGTTTACCTTTTGAGCTGAGATTTCTAGGGTCAGTGATTGAACATTTTGGAAGAAAAGATTTCCATATCCTCAGAGATGCTGAAAATAAGGCAAATTCCTTGCACACCTCGCTCAACTCGACGCCAGCAGCAGTGGCAGCCATTCTCCAAATCCTGTCTGAGGGTCCGGCCCCTGCCAACAACTCAGTTAACCCACAAATGATGTCCAACCTGGGGGAAAATCATCATCACCATCATCTTCACCACACTGGAGGTCATTCCACAGGTATGGGAGGTGAGATGGGTTGTGCACACATTATACAGAGCATCGATAAGATGGAAAGGACAGTGATACATAATATATTATGTTATTTACTGATGCTTCAGCTTCTCCAAGTGAGCCTTTGGGTCGGGCCAGTCCTTCGCATGACCTGCGAAGACCAACGACAGGGGACACCAAGCAACCACAAACGAGAAACCATCATGTCGAGACAGGGGTTTCTGGAGTGATTGAAAATGGGCTGCCCAAACCTACGTCGCCAAAGCCTTCGAATCATCCTGGTGGAAGTAGGGATAGTGAAAGGACAAAAAGTCAAGAGCTTGTGAATCACGAAGTGAGTAATAGTGAAGACGAGAATGGTCCTAGGAAAGAATTGTGGCTACATGAGGTAGTCAAGAGGAGAAAATTAATTTTATACTTGTCCTTGTTGACATCTACTAATCATGATAGTGCCAAGTTATACTTTCTTCTCTTGTCGGATGTGCAAGATCTGTCGGAAAATTTGGACTGGTTGGAAGAATTGGACGAACTCGCTCAAGATGAAGTACTCTTACTCTACACGATTGGATGTCACCATCCAGCATTTAATTTTGAGCAGCGCACCTTACTAGCCAGCGTTATACTTCGTTTCAAGGATTGTATGGATAGGTACACAAAGGACTGTGACCCCCTGTACCACCAGCACCACCACCCAAGTCAATACAACCACATCAATCATCAGCATTATTTTCCACAGCAGTTTATTGGACTAATGCAACCTCCCTCTGTACATGTTCCAAGTGGCTCAGTGACACATTCCGTCGTTATTAATTCTTCAACTCCTGGTTATGGTCCTGCTGGTCCTTATGCTCAGCCCATGACCCATGGGGGGCTTCAAACTAGTGCGGGTTCCTTCCCCGGTTTTCAACAAACTACGTATGGGTCAGTAGTTTCGGGGGTTTACCGACCCAATAATAATATTAATCAGCAACAGCAGCAGCAGCAACAACAACCGGCAATGATTAATCGACCCGCTGTGTTCATGACAAACCACGGATCAGTGATGAATAATCAACCAAACAATCTTATGAACTATTCCTTACCTTTCTCTATACTGTCAATACCTCCGCAGCAACTTGCAGCAACTCCAAACTACAATAACAAACCGTTTCTCAATAGTCCAAGTAATCTCTTGTCAAAAGACCAACCCAAAACCTTATCAGTGTCTCAGCAGAATACAAATTTTGCAGTTGGTTCTAGTTCTGGGGGAGACAACAGTGAGTAGTTAATAATTATTTTAACTTGTGAATCCAGTTTGTAACACATTTCTATATATATATCTGTATTGTGTTTAGGTCTGATGTCCCAACAACAACCAGGACTATCGCCCCAAACTACGACGACGACAATTTCCAATCCTCCTCGTGGCAGAAGTTATGAAACAAATCTTCCGTTACAAGGTAACAATCAATTTGATAGATTTTGAAAGTATAGAAAACAAGCGATGTTGAATATTGTTCTTAAATAAATAAATAAATTGTTTATCTACATTTTTAAGGTAACGATTTCCCAGTCCAAACCTCTGTAGATAATGCAGTATTGCCAGGATTGGACGACCCAATAGATGTTAGTTGTCGACCAAGAAGAATATCGTGTTACAACTGTGGTTCTAATCAGCACGTAGGACCTGAATGCAAAGAAATGTCCATGGAGGAAATGACAAAAAGTAAATAATTTTTACTAATGATTGATGTAAAAGATATTACTGACTGACGTGTAAAATAAGTATGTACTAATTGTGGTTGTTTTCTTTATAGTGCAATATCGTTTAAATTATGGAGGTGATTGAGCAACAAATCAAAGGGAATCAGTAGCATGCCTGCCTGCCTGTTTAAACAAGCAATACGCACACCGTGTAATATAAACTATGAAGTGAGTTAGTTTGTATTTCATTCAACTGTGACCTTTATGTTTTGACAAATTTGGTACTTTATTGTTGTTGTTGTCCATCTTCTGATTGAGATATCTTTAATTGCCCTCTACGTATATTACCATAATAATTATAGTGTTTTTGTTGAATTTTAAATAATTTTTGTCAGCGTGCACCAACGACTTTAGTGTTTTAGTTCGCAAGATAAATACGCATGATGATGGTGCATTATTTAGAATTAAGAGTTTTGTATTCAATTTTGTTGCCAATTGAACTAGTCTCCCAACACACACACACTGAAGTTATTGAATCATGTCTAGAGTGATTTTGAAATTGGAATTGTATGCCTTATATAGAACGTTCCAAAAGTATATAGAGTATAGAATTGTCAGTTGTGTCTTACCTTTTCTGTATTGAGGGTAGTAAGTATACATATATGGTAGCATGCTCCCGGCAGTAAACAGTGTTTGGTTTTATTTGCTCATATACTTATTATAACTATTATTAAATTAAATATAATGCCAATTGTAAATGTTTGGTATTTTAAATTCCACAATTTTAATGTTCGTTCACAAACTTGTTTAACAGTTGGAATAATTTTCATGTTCTGCTGATTATCTTATATTATGGCTTAATTACACACAGCTACAGACTAACGCCAAAGATTTAAGTCAAGTTTTAAAGGCCCTTCTTATTATACTTTCAGTGGTTTTATATAAAACGTTGTGTATCCTCATAATTGCAAAATATGCAAGTCGGAAGGTATGTGTTACTGACGAGATGCAAAGCTCTATATGTATATATATATCACAATATTTCCTCAAAGAAGCTTTGGGATAATTCCAACTCTATCAATGCAGTTAACATATTTACTACATATGTACGTAAGACTTTGTGTAGTGTCAATGTGATATCAGTATGAGTCATTTACGTTAATTGTATTTGATTTATTGAACTTGCTCAGTCAGACACTCAGATCTATGCACTATGTTACGTTACACAATGTTATTAAGCAATACCTTTTCCATGCATTTTACGTTTTTACAGTTAGTCTTTTAATGCAGTTGACATGAAGAATACAGGTGTGATGAGTGGTCATCCAGAAGAAGATCTGTGTATACAGAGTTGAAATACTACCTTATTGCGTTCAATACATAAAACTGTCTGTCTCTTGGAATTGGAAACAAAATGCAAAACAAGACAAAAGTATTTATAGTCATCGTCATCATCTGTGAAAAGTGACGGCTAAAAAATTATACGAATGAGAACTGATATAATACTACTATTAAATATTTTAGGGTAGTAATAAGAACGCTGCTGCTGTTGTTAATTAATTTAAACCTATCGAATAATCATCTATCTTGCGAATCATAACATTATATGTACATGTACGCCCACTGATCTTACTATGCAAAACTGAACTAAATAATTTTTTGTAATAAACTCTATATCAATAATAATATTCAATATTGTACCATGATTGCTAAATCGATAACGCAATTTAAAATGTTACAAATCGAAATAAAATATGCAGAGTTATTATAACACCAAAATCTGTAACTTGTGATTTATTCTTGATTTATTATCCTCCAAACGCAATCAAATATATTTCTTATCTACAACTAAAATAATACATACGTGTAATTATTATTTAATCTGATCCAGTGATTCTCAGTTTGTAACACAGCAATTTGGGTTTTACAGTTTTACAGTATTATTCCTTCATTGAGAATAAACAAGCTCTTAAAGGACAAACTACTGTTTGGTGGAGGAATGTCAATTTCTGGTTTTCGTAGATTTTCTTGATAAATAGATAAATGAAAATAAATGCTTGTCAGATTCATTCACATTATAATTTCGACGACAAATGTTTCTATTAATTGATGATAAGCTCGGAAATTCGTTACGTCTTGGCCATGCCTCCGCAAAAACTATGAGGGATGGTGTGATCAATGTGAACCTACAATGAGTGTTCAATGACATTTTATGTTTTTTTCTTAATTTTGTGACCATTTCAATTTCATGCAATGATCATCCTGTCGCAGTTTGACTGTTGTTGTGTATACCTGTTCTCCATTCACTTCTACGATGTGTTGACCCGCATTTTTTTCTTCGATGTGGTGATCACAGCAGAATTCCATGATCCGATCCATAGCTATTAAAAGCTGTTCTTTCGGGATGGTCAGGACAATCTATGCAATTATATAGGAATGTACGACGTTATTAAATATTTGTAAATTACAATTCGACATTGTCCAAAATATACTAAGGAGTGAATCTTACCCGGAAATAATCAGGATAGTCGAAGCACTAAATGATGAGCAACAATTTTTTTAGCGTGTTGGACATAAGATAGCTTAAACTACAAGAAAGTTGTTACCTTTCCAGGAAGGCAAAATACGGATTGCTCTGAAACAAGACGCTCCACGAATTGAAATTCAGTTACGAATTCAGGGTATCGTCTCATCTCAATGCCAATCTGTGCATATATTTCGAAATTGTAATAGTAATTTTACAATAAATTATAAAAACCTCAAACCATTATTGAGTTATTTAATCCAAAATTTTACCATCATGTACATAGCCCCCTGCGGCTTCACTAAATAATAAACAAGTAGTTGGTGTAATTATTTCTGCACATAATTTTCGTTTAGATATGTAGAGAAATGGCAAGCAAATATGTACCTGGATGAAGCCCTGGGCATAGCTGTAGCTTTTCGAACGCAATTTCCGCGTTCTCCTATATTTCAAATATCGAAACAGACTTTAGAATGGCAGGATTTAATTAATTAACACGATGTAGATTAAGCTGGTCAATCTAACCTGAACTGTTGCAATTGTCTCATCAAAAAATGACTTTGGGGTGTTCCTCAAAATATCGGGCAAGGCACCTTGCACTAAAATATCCCAATCAGATTATTGACAAAATGAGGAAATGTATTATTGCGAATGACTTGTATTTCAAGGACCATTTGAACCAAGAAAAGTAACTAATCTCAACAAGTGTGTAGGTGCTTGTAAATTATACACAACCAGTAATAAAACATATCAAACAAAACATAGTTGCAAATTACCTAAAGTGTTACTCCCAATAATTCTCTGACTTAAAGATTGCAATGCACCTCGAACCTGAAAAATTTGGAATTGAAAATAATGTTGCTCATAAATATAGATACATTCAAGTGTGCACAAGTCTTACTTCCACGTTTAATACATTGTTCCTATCATGAATCAAAATCCACCCCATCCTCCAACCAGGAACTAGAAATCTGGGGTCATTCATTGAAAAATACAAATTACAAGATTGACTTAAAAAATTCATTAAAAAAATTGGTGAAAGCACATACAACATACCTTTTCGTTAATCCACTGCACGATAAAATTGGCACGTTTTGACTCAAACTTGCAAGAGGATGAAATTCTTCCCCTTTGAAAACCTATTGAATTTTATAAAAAGAAAAGTAAGATGATTGACTCATTTGAAAGCAGGAGAAATTGAAAAACCTTACAAAGAAATCATATATCTCATCAGCAATGATTGGCAAGCAATGACGCTCTGCAATTTGGAGAATGTCCAGCAAATGTTGCTTATTGTACACAGATCCGCATGGGTTGCTGGGATTGTTCACAATTATTGCGACTGTATTTTTGTCGATAAGTGATTCCAGGTGGACAAGATCTAGATTGTATACAATAATCATGAGTTAATATGCGTAGATATCATGAATATGCTTTGACATCAGATTTTGAGTTATTAAAGGTCAGCGTAACACATAGATATGTAGTTACCTACCTACTTCCCAACCAGCCTCAGGCTAAAAAAAAAGATTACACGTTAATTAATTTATGTATGAACTTTATTTTGTTTAGTAATTTGCATTATGTATGAAATTATTTCTACTTGTAACATACCTTTAAGTTGTAGAATTTCGAATTTATTCCATATCCAGCACCAAGGGTCCTAAATGATTTTTTTCTATAAATTTGTCTCATTTAGTAAATCCAATTATGATGCCTCCTAACCTGTAAATGGAGAATCCAGGTCGCGGCATCAAAACATTTTGTCCACGACTGCAACCATTAATAAGAAATGTGTATTAATGCCACCGGAAGGAAACATGTCACTAATTCGTTGATTTGGTTATTCATTTCTACGCACAAATACACAAGTACCTGGCGAGTTTGGTTGGTTTACCTGGCCAGAGCAGAAATGCATAAATCCAAGGCATGTGAGCATCCACTACACAATATCACGTCCTATAAACCAATTAAAGCAATAGATAAAACAACTTTCATGCGTCATTTAATGGGCAAATTCCTGAGACAACAAACTAAACAACAACTTTAGTACAAACAAGTCAACGTACATTTGGGCTGACTATGGTGTCAGCAGTCGTGTAATATTCGGCAACGGCGGATCTGGCCTCTAAGTATCCTACGGTCTGCAATTAACAGTGACCATTTTATGCATAGACTTGTCATTTATCACTAAAACTTATGAATCAAACATACCGGAGCATAGCCATTGAACTTCATCTTGTGCAAGGCATTCTGGACGGCTTCAATTATTGCATCATGGGGCTTTAAATTCCCAAAAATCGTAGGATCACCTAAAATTACAAAATAGAATGACCTTTTATAATTTACAGATATATTTATGGTTGCAACATTTGCAGTTTTTTAGGAGGGGTTTGTCAAATTGAAAACGATAAACATTAAAGTTTCATTTAATCATTTGCAAATAAGTTGTTCCATGATGACTTTTTTGCAAACGGATCATGTTCACTGTTACTGTCGTCACAGTGTAACTTTCGATAATTGATCAAAATCAGAATATTAAACCGGTTTGTAAAATGGAGAACCATTACCTAACTCATATAAATCCCATCGTGTTCGTAGTCAAGTTTTTAGTTTTATTAAGACCAAACCTAGCTCAAGCTGAGTATGCAAATTTTTAACCACCTATGCACAAAACTAACCTTTTGGGAATTGTTGCAATAAAACGTAGAAAAAGGAGGCTTTTGGAACGCGTCATTATGTTCGTCATGAAAAAATGCAGTCTTGGACTATGCACGTATGCAGGGTACATGCATGGACAAAATGTCCCAGAATACACGCTGAATTTTTATGGTGAAATTGAAATTATGAAATTAATTAAATTCGTTCAATTAAACTACCAAGATGATTTTATCCTGGTGCATAGCATAAAAAATATTGTCAATTGTCAAAAATAAAATCAAGTAATAATCCCCGAAAACCGCAGAAATGACTGATCATAAAAAATATTGTTTGCCTACTCATGTAAGCCAGATTTGTTTATCGCCTGATCAATTTGTCCCGTCAATACTACGCTTAATAATATGAGACGCTTAGCAAATCTGTTCCTGAGTGGAGGCGTTTTGAGAATAATTAGGTTTCTCTTACCAATGGATAAAGCAATCATGTGTTTATCCGGATGGGGCTCTAGTTTCATGCTGTCCACGATGGAACGAATCGGGTTGAACGTACATTTCGCAAATTCTGAAGCACGAACGGTCCATTGTCGCTTCTCCTTGACTTGAGTTGCCCCAACGCTGTGGTGATCAGGCATCTTGGAAGTCCGACACTTTTCTAAGAATATGTTTCCCAAGAAGCAAGTATTTTCTCGGTAGACTTTAAACACTTAACGGTACCTACCTATACACTTAATTATGTTACAAGATTATAACCACTGTACATGCACAAACAGTACACACTGTAACTGAGACGAGAAAAATAGTTGTAGGCAGTGATGTCAAACTGGGGTACAAGTGGAATTATTACAATGAATTTCATGAGCTCAGAACCTTTTTAGGTGGATAAAAACACTGGCAAAAATATTTCTATAATATATTATAGACTCTTAAATACATAGGCACACTCACCCGACTGGTACGGATTTAATAATTAGTATAACAAGTGGATAACTTTTTTGTACAACAATATGCGAATAACAGACAGCACGTTATCAAATCTATTAAATCGAGGAATAAAATGTATGTATACTTGCTTCGTACTTTATTTTAGGTTATGAGAGGATATATGTTGTCCAGTGAGTATTAATTGAGTATCTGTGAATTAGGATTCAGAGGAAACTTATGCTAATGGGAATATAATTTGGAACTACTTATAGCTATGATTTGATATATCTCCCAGTGTCAATAATTTGCTTTGTTAGGCTTATTTTAAGTTGATGAGATTTTGCATACGCTGAAATATTTCCCTCATGCATAAGTTGATACAATGTATATCCAAGCGCAAGAATCTGTCTCTCGATCAGCCTTTCTTAATGGGCAAGTGAAACAAACGGTATTTTTATATGTTCAGTTCAAGTCCAGTCAGCACACCACACTTTTCTTGAGTTCGTGGGGTTTAAACAATGAGTTCAGAAAATTGTAAGACACGGCAAATAAGTGCATTTGTATGTTTTCGATTCCATTGCCCAGTAGATGCGGAGCCTGAACAAATGACTCTGGGTCTGGCTGGATTGGAGAGAATGATGGAAGATTTTGTCACGTTTTGGTTGTCTCCGTTCGTCGTCCGTGTAAATAATTTTGAGCAACAGTATTCTGTTCTTCTTCTTAGGAATGCATTCCACGAAGAAAGATGGACAGTCGAGAATGTTGTTTGGCTCTGGTGTGTTTAAATTGGACTTGGCTTTCAGTGAAAATTCTCACGTTGACAACAGGTTGATCTTCAGTAAAAGCAGTGTCTCACTCGCTCCGTGCTTCAACTTGGTATGTCTCATTAACATCAAATTGAAGGGGTTTAGTTGGTTTCAAGGTGGTCAGTAATTTCGTCAAGAGTGCGCTTTTCCATTTGCAACAAGTGACGAGGGAGGACTTGTATATTGAAGTTACTTACTCATGTACATGTGAATGTGCATGTGCCTTTGAATTCCAGTTTATTACATAAAATTGGTGGTGATTGGTCAAGAAAATGGGAAGAACCTAAGTGACGCGTGGTCATTGGCTGAAAACTGGTTTCACAATAAGGCGTAAAAATGAGTGAGCATAACTGAAATCGCAATAAATCAGACTCAATTGATTCTCTCAAATTAAATCAGAAGTGCAAATAATAAAAGTGATCATGCTTACAATTTTTGACTACTATTGTCAGATCGTTCTTATTCTGTATTGTGGCTTGTTGTGTGAACATGCATTAATTTAAGTGGAAAAATTCTATAAATAAGTCTTATAATTTAGTCTTATGATTTTTCGAAACAATTAGGAAATGCATATTCTACACTACATATATTTTTGAATAAAAATAAATATAGCAAATTTTTCCTGGCTGCTGAGCGGGGAAATATCGAGTCAATTTCGGTACACTTCCCTGAAGACAAAAGAATTGGAGGCGGTGTACTAATTTTAATTTATTTTGACTTTCTCTTAAATTTGTCATTTCTTAAATTAAGGTTACGAGTTTCTATAAGGTTAGGGTTTTTAATGTTCGACTCCTTTATGGTCAGTTATTCCAACATATTTCTTGTAATCGATTAATCATGCAAACCGTGGTATACACTCATAAAATTTGTGATGCATACACACTACTGAATAAAATAATGAACGTGGTATACATTGAAAAAAGTTAAATATATGAATATGGTGCCGTTTGAAAATGCTGCATGCAAGAAGTGGGTATCATGATGCAATAATGAAAATGATGCGATTTCATTGCACACGATATAAAGTTACATGTATGAATAGATAGATTCCATTGCAATGGCATCCGTACTTGATGTCACCAACTCGTACAATCATAAACTTGTGTGTGACAATTGTATATAAATTTGTAACTTGTACCTTACGAACTTGCCCATGACCCAATTAATTGCAAATCTTGGCGACAAATACTGCAAATATATGTAAAGCTATATCTATAAAAAATGTACTGCCAACAATTCGTATATACAAACTAATTGCGCTTTAATAAAAATATATGCACAAAATTGTTATTGCAATTGGGTGTGTAAAGTGAATTAGCCAATCGCTGGTACGATCACTAAATAAATACATAGCTGCAGAATCACGAGCTTTGTTAGCTAATCACATCTTAAAAGTGTGCACGCAGCATTTAACCTGTTCATCGAAGCATTTGACCTTGCATATGCTGGATGTCAAGATGAGATCCTGCTTTTACTGTATAGCGACACATTCGTGAATTAAAAATCTCACTGGTTTCTGAACGCCAAGGGATTCACGAAGCACCGCGTTGTAAAAAGAATTACAAGCTCGCAGTCAAACCAGTTGTGGAATTTAAGGTGGAGCGATGTCCACTAACTTTCTTTAGCTAAATGTACACTAAGATCATGGGTCATGGGTAATATGTATGGTCTCAATAAATCACCCCACATGACATTTACTTTACTACAAATATTGACAATATTTTTAAAATACTAATATTCCACATAATTTTCGACATTTGCAAAATTTAGGTCAATTTAGTGTGTGAATGAAATCCCTTATGACGTGCGGTATGTACGTTACAATAAATGTCTTTTAAATAACACACACTGACGCAGAGCGCAATATGCGCCTTATTTCATTCAACGTCAAGTCCTTCTTCAACTTTTCCATGGACGATTTGATCGGCATGCAGTCAGGGGTAGTGGTCCAGTCATAAGCAAGTTTTGAGGATCGTGTTATCATGCAACCAGATAAAACTATAGGCTTTCGGTCCGGTCGTGATTCTGATCAACAATAAATGTTGTGATTTGACGGAGTTGGCATAAAAACTTGTTAGGGTTTAATTAGCATATTATGAAATTACGAATTTATCACAACCACTTGGAAGACATTCAATAAATCAGTCCTGATGTCCTAACATGTGCAGAGGTATGAGTGCTTATGGCGAGGAAAACCAGACAGTCGTGTCGGTAGTTGTTAACATCTTACCTGTTGACTGGAACAACTATGAAAATATACTTTCTTGTGAGATGTTATGCCTCTTGCAACCGGTCCGGTTAAACTACTTTTATCTTTGCAATATCCAGCTTAAACCGTTTTTAGCGAATAATGCAGCATTTGAAATTGATTTAATTTGAAGGTCAAAAATAATGCCGAGCAATGAAACCCACCAAATTATCTTATTCTTGTCGAATAAACAACTAGGATGAGGCTCGTTTGTGTATCCGATGAATATTCTTAGACCCTTCGCATTGTAGGATCAACATAATGGCGTTTTAATTAAATATTGTAAATCTGCTAAAATTCAAATGAATTATCACTGCATTTTTCTATTTAATAAAAAGTGATATCCGCATATAAAGAAATTGGTAATACATGTAGAAAACAACGAAGAGACAAAATAGCTACCATTCTAGGAATTACCGATTTAACGACATATGCAAATCTACATATGAAACGATATATGTATGCAGTATTTATGCACAAGGTCGTTTTCTTAAGGAAACTCTTCTTCAAGTCTAGTCTAGACGGGGATGCGTAATTTGCGAGGAACAAATCAACAACGTAAAGGAAGGAGCTTGTGATTTTGCAGGAAGTCGACACTCCGTTTACAGAGGAATTTCATCTTGAATTACCTGCAAATGCAATCTCACATTATTAATTAATACAAGCAAAGGTTTCTCAGATTCATGTTAAGTGTGGTTAGCAAACATGATGAAATGAAACATGAAGCATTTTCATTAAAAATATGCAAGCTTATTTAAATTAATGATGGAAAACGTTTCTCAATTTGCTGAACAAGTTCAGAAAGACGTTTTGTGTTTTGCCAGTATTTTTCCATGATAAATATGTGCCTGCATTCTCTTCTGGCATGGCTAGTTTAGCTAGATATGCAGCCAATTGTTTTAATGGTTTCACCTTCAGCAACCTGTTCCTAAATTCTTCATCAGTTGTAGCGAATGGTCTGCCAGGATGTTTCTTATTGGATCTTCGAATAATGACTTCTAAATCGTCACAGCTTAAAATTGAGGTTGGATCCAATTGATTTTGCCAAATGAGGAGCCCCAAATATTCGACATAATGGCCACTGGAAAACGATGCACGTTGTTATCATGTGCATACGTGATGTTTTTAGTAATTGTCACTCATGCATACTTGCAGACAGTTGCATAGCCAACGGGAGCATCTTTTCCACAAATGTCGTCTCTTAATCCTTCGTTCGTCTCTTTCTGAATCGGTACTTGGCACGTTCTTTTTGTGGGTCGATCGTCATTTGGTGATCCAGAATTCTCTTTCAAGTATGGAATAGCATTTTCCTGCAAAAAATAAACACTGAAATGAGCACATATCCAGATAAAAATAGTAAAATACTTGGCCATTTTACTTAAATATGGCACTACTGCATGTGTACATGTACCTGCATATGTAACTCTATATGCATTACTCACCTCCAAAAGTTTGCAGAGGATTTCTGGCTCTTTGTCTCTCAAGTAAAATAGACAATTCCTAGGATGATGGGCTAGAAAATATATTAAAAAATAATAAGTAGACAAAAAAATACCACCAGAACCTCCCTCGAAGAATACGTTTGATAATGATGCATACATATGCTGCTTATACAAACTTATCAAATACTTCATAAGTTAAGTTTGGCACATATTTCATACCATGCAGCCCGAGCCTCTCACAAATTGGAAGTTTGGCATCACACTTATCACCCATTCGAAAACTTGCAGAGCATCCAGAACAGAACTCGTGGCGACATTGTGTGCCTGCATAATAAATTCATCAATTATATATGCGCTATTAAATACTATTATTTTTGCCGTTAAAGCGAAGGATCAGAATAAACCAAACGATACTTACAGGTCAGATGCATACAGCCTCCTCGTGCTAAGGCGAATCGAAAATGACATCGCTGCGAAAATTGAATGTTTGTGATTACAAGAATGTTGGTATTTCAGGTAAGAACATCTGTGTCAATTGCCAGTAAGCGTCCGATGCTCAATTTGTGCTTGCTATCTTGAGATGCGTCGTGCCCTAACGACAGGAATAACTAATGCAGGCATAGGCATGCTTTCATCCTCTGTTTGTTTGAACGACCCTGTTGCAAACTCTCCTCGAATTTTGTACGTACAACGTTAGAAATAATTTGCATGTATATTTTGTATCGAATACGAGCATTAATTAGTAAGATGAGTTTATCAAAAATAGCAAAATTTGATTTTACTGATCAAGCAGATTCGACTCAGATCCAATATCAAGAAAATATTGAAGACCCGGATACATGTTTTGAAAGCGTGGAGGTATCTGGTGAATTTGATTTGTTAAATTTGTGGAAATTTGAAAAACAGGCTTAATTTGGACCCTTCGAAGAATTATATCCTCAATGCACATTTTTTCATATAATGTCAAATTAATTGTGGCGTGTGAACAACAGGGATACACAGGGATTACTTCGACTCTATGTATTATAATTCAGCCAACGGACGAGTCAAAATATATTATGGAACCTCTGAACGATCAAATACATAAAACCAATTCTTAAAGAAGACAACATGTAACGATTCACCCCAACCCCCAAGTTAAACTTAATAAAATTGGTGATAAATAACATGCGGCATGTTACATGCCTATTTATGATCTTAATTATTAGAGAACTAAATGCATTTACCATAAACTCATGCCAATTTTGTACACGAATACTTACCGGACACTCAATATTATTCTCATTAAGATAATCCACAATGGTTTTTGAGGAAGAATCGCAAACTTTTACTTTGCTTTCTCTGTGGTCGTGATTGAACTTATCCCACTGAAAACCAATCAAATAGAAAACTCAATTTATTGCGTCACGAGTTTGCGACGAAGTAAGGAAGACAGCAAGGAAGGGCAAATAAGAAGAAAGGAAAAAGTTTTTGGCACTGGAGGCTCTAGTTTGACTCGTAGGAAAAAGATTCCTTATTGTTTCGTATCTAGCTTTCATCAATCACAATGGAACCACAATTCTCGGATAACCTTTCAAATGCAGACAAAGAGGCACGGCATTGACATTGAGGATATATTTCTTTAGTACTTCGTCTCTGGTCCGTAGCCAATTAAACTTGTCATTTACAGGGGCCGACGTGAAGAAAATAATACTCGGATAGCTCACCTGCTCCAGACAGATCGCACACGTAACCGCGTTGCAGTCTGAAAAGGCATGTTTTTAATTAATCTCATATTCCGTCAATATCATACCAACAATTTTAAAATTAATTTTAAAATTGAAAATTATAAAACTAGGAACAAAGTGTAGTAAAATTACACTGACGGACAGTAACGACTAAAAAAATTGACTGGCTTTCTCTATTAATGAGTAGTCTGGCCACTCACTTCAAAAAAATAAATTAAACACTACTAGTTAACTAGTTAATTGTAATTATGAATTTATAATTTCACTCACCCGGACAAATTAGCCGTGTTTGCAGAGGTTCCGTAATAAATCCTGAAGAACACTGCAATAAAACAAATACATTTGCTTAGAATTGGGTCAAGGTCGAAATGGTTTATCCATCGTTGCACTCATTCATCCGCAGGTCTCAAACCCATTCATCCAGACGTACTTTTGAGCACCACTTGAAATTCGGTGTTTTCGCGAGAGCCCAATCTCTCAGTTTTCTTTGGAACATTTCATGATACCGAGGTTCCAAAATGGATTTGAGCAGAATATCCAAATGATTAAAGTAATCTGTTGCGGCCTCAGTGTCATCCGTCAAATGAGTCGGCTCGCTACAAAATGGGCATGTTGCATCCACAATCGTCTTGTCCCTCACTTGGACCGTGAAGTACTCTTTGGCACAAGTATGGCAGCAAACGTGTGTACATCGAAGCATAGAAACCATCTACACAAAAGTATTAATATATATTTACAGTGTTTCTGAACAGCAACCATGCTTTTACAATTTATCGCATAATTAAATACCTACAAAAAAGATATGTATATCTGTAAATTCAGTTAAGCGTAATGTTTATGAATGTATTAAAAACCTGGCGAGCGCTGAATTTTCCTGTACAGAGATCGCATTCTTGTTGGAGAAAGCTAAGGGCCGAGTAGAGTGAGGAACACTCGTTTGCTGCGTAGATCGAATCCTCATCGGTGAAATTCATGTCGATGAGTTGCACGGCTAATTCTGCTTTCTCTCCCGTCTCAACTTTTCCATCAGTCATGAGTTTCTCCATCTTCATCTGAAAGAAAGTTTTACTTGTCAAGGATGTCAAGGTTGGTCCGATCATGACAAACTTTAGAAAGTACAAAGTTGCATTTACTATGAAGATTACCTCTTTCTCCGTCTTTGTCACATTAGGTTTCGTCTCCACATCCACTACGGGAGAACTCGCCTTCTATAACATAAAGTACAGATCAGCCCAAGTTTTTCATGAGTAGATACATATTTACATACGTACTTATATGATTAGTTAGTTATGATCGCCTATTTTACTGAAAGGTATATAGTGTCCTGAGTATATATTGCATATTTACCTCTAATTTTTCCATGCCCGAAGGAACAAAAGGCTTAGAATTGTCTATTGCCTCATCCGTGAGAATCTTTTCAGTGTCCTTGTTATTATAAATTTCGAAATCAGAGGAATGGTTCACATCGATTTCTTCATATTCGCCCTCTGCTAATTGCTCCAGCTCAGAATCATCGGCACTTGATGGAACCTCATCGCCATTTAGCTCATCACCTTCATCATCCTCCTCCTCATCATCATCCTCATCAACTTCTACTTGTTGGCTGCCGGATTTGCTACCGGAAGAATTCTTCTCATTTTCACTCTCATCAAATTCTTCATCTGATATCTCAGATTCATCGTCTGGACTGGAATTGTACTCCCCTTCGTCGCGGGGAAGATCATCTTCGTCTTGCACCAATCTTAGTGAATCATCCAAGTCATTGTCTGTTCCAACAATCTCAACTTGAGCATTGGGAAATGGTGAGCTTCCATCGGACACATTGCCAACTCCCTTATCTTCACCTACTACTGCTTCATCCGGTACGATATCTTCAGACACCGATATTGCCACTCTTTCCGACAATGACGATCCTGGTGACGATGAGCGCGATGTATCTTTCGCCCGAGAGCTTCGAGCATCCGGTGATTTGTGTCTGTTACTTTTTCGCTCCCTTTTCGCAGCTAAACGTTTATATTTTGCTAATTTCTTATCTACACCTTGACTTACGGACTCTGAGAGAGTAACTGGTTCGTAGACTCGTTCATCAAAATCTGTAATTTGCATTTCAAAGAAAGCACAGGTGTGCATTGGGAAACGTTAAATATTTTTGCATAGAGCAGTACAAATTTTGTTACCTAAATTTGGGTCCGCAGTGGGTATTTTTGTCTCATTCTGTGTTGTTATTGCATTTACAGCAACAGCTAATTGTTGATGAATCTGGGAAGCAATTTGATACCTGAAATTGATATCCGTTGCAAACTGTCCCATTTCTGTGAACGTGGTGGTTAGAGTGCTAAGAAGCTGCTCAATATCAGTGGGGCTCATATGTGGACCAATAATTTGGGATCCGGTTGCTGGAGCGTCATTAATTTTGTTTTCCAAGTCTTGAACTGGTGCACTTTCTGGTACAATTTCCTCGACCTTTGCAAGTTGATCAGCCTGATTTTCAACCGTAGGTTCTGAAGATGGATTAGCTTCTAAATTATTGTTTTCATGTCCAATTTCAAGATTTTCCATCGATTCATTGTTCAGAATGGGAGCGGGGATTGTTTCAGAGGGTTCGTTATTAGTTTGTACATTTATTGAATTTTCATTAACAATTTCATAATTTTGAATGAATTCGCTAATATTGGCTTCTGTGTCATCAATTTCAATTTCCAACACGTCCTCGTCTTCGTCCGCTAGGTCTTCGTTTGACATGTCTATATTGTCGGATGAGTCTTGTCGTGGGGAAATTGCATGGATTTCATAATCTGATGTGGACACCGCATCCACAAAGCTTTCCTCTAACACAACCAGAAGAACAATAAGTGAATATCAAAACAAATAAATGCATAAAAAGTCATTATTATGTTGGTACAAATGGTCAGTCAATTTATTAAACACGGCAAATAACGCGACAACTCCAAAAACCATTACTTTATTAAACAAATAGAGGTTAATAATAATTAATGTAAATAGGTTTGCTGCTGTTTGTAGCTTTTCTGCGGTTGACTATTTACCTTCGTCGCTTTTAACGATTGTAATTTGTCCCTTGGGATGGAATTCTACTGGTTCCTCCTTGATTAAGCTGACCTGTTCCGGATTCTGATTGTTTTTTTCATCACTAGCTGATTCCAAAGTCTTTGATTGTTTTGATTGCTTTAGTTCTAAAATAGCTTTTTCTATTTCTTGTGAGACTTTTGCTGCATTTGACACAAGTAATTCTAAACGTGGTTCTGGTTCCAGTTCGTTCAGCGCTGGGACCTCCTGCACAGTCTTTGAATTTTGCGTTATTGCTTCGTTGACCCTCGCAACTGCGTGCCCACTAGCAGTCTGATTCGGTGAAGAGGGAATTATGTCACCTCCACCAGAAATATTAGGACCCTTTGATTCAGCTCCTTTCAAACTATTAGACGCTGTCAAATTATTATCCAACCCATCACTCGGAGAAGCCCACATTCTCATTAAAAATGGCTTAAGCTGCGCTTTAGAAAGTTCTATATAAGCAGCGTCCAAATTTCCGTGGTTTGCTGTCAAAGCAGTTAAAATATCTTCAGGCAGAAAAGTACCTCGAGACTGCAGCTCCAAGAACTGTGTTGGTTAAAAATTATACAACTGGTTAATTAACAGGATAATTAGCTGGCTGGGTTTCCGATAAGCACAAGTGTCTGATGTAAACATGGGAATCTAACCTTTTTTCTTCTCTGTTCTATACATTCAGTAACTGCTGCCCAAACATTTCTACGATTTGCTCTTAATGCATTTTTAGCCTCAGTTGATGAGATTGTTCCAGTTTGATTGTTTTCGCCTTTCTCTCGCCCGTACTTGGTTGCCAAAGTTTGTACCGTTTCTACCATGCTGGACCAGTTTTCCTGTAATTGCTCACTTTCATTGTAATGATATAGATTACAAAACTTTGTGTTAAACCAACCTGCAGCCATTTCACAGGATTTCTATCTCCACACATTTTGAGAGCTACTTGAACATCTTCCGTCGTGTAATTATAATCTTCGGCCTCCTAGAAAAATTACAAACCCCAAATTTGAGAAAAATGTCATATTACGTTAAAAGAATGTTTAAATTACTTTTAAAAGCCGGTTCAGTTCAAAGTCTTGAGATCGCATTGAATCTTTTCTTCTTCTTGAGACAATATCTTCAAGTGAAGCAAAATATCCTTCAGGGGCAGGAAATCTGTCCCACGAGGGAGGTGGTTGGAATTGTCGGAAATCTTCAAAGAATCTCCCATTCCTGGGTGGGGGACTTGTATCACGTGATGATGGCCCTGACAAGGGCAGGCTCTGCATACAAAAAACGACACCAATTTCGTTATTAGTAGTTCATTAAAGGACATATGCACACTACGAACAAACATCAAATTAATTGTGGCAATTATTGATTGATACACATCGTATGTGATGGTGGATTATTTATATGAGTAGCATTGCAGAAAATAAGGACGTACTCTTGTGTCATCCATTAGCGAGTGACGGCTGGAAGACCTGTACATACTTTTTCCGTGCGAGTCCATCGCGTCCATCCAAGGATCACCTGAAGCGGAGTACAAATGCGTGGACAAGCTGCGCTTCAGTTTCGCTTCGTGATGGTGTCGCGCTTTTCTCACGTAGCGAAGCGCTTTCTCTGACATTTCGATGGGCTTTGGCGGAGCAAAGTCATCCGATTGCAAGGACTGCATTGATGTTTTGGACATTGAGTTTTGATGCATTGTTGAAGCAGGGAGCTCCTCATACGTCTGTTTGAAATTATAGAACAAAGTCTTCTTACATGCTGCTCATTATTATAATTATTACATAACATTTGTAATTAATCAACATTTCAGGCAAATGAGAATTTCTAGCTATTATGTAAATACATAAAATCGTATTTGATATTCATTAAAATTAAATGCACAAAGGTTTTCATTGACACTGAATATCTTTTGGAAATTGATATTTATTTGTGTATATTTATTTGTAATTATTATCTGATAACACCGCTATTTGTGTAGATATCTATCTACCAATATATGCAAGCACATATGTAAGTCAATCTGCGGTTATATGTAACTATTCTAAGTAAGTACGTACGTGGATGTCAAAGTCAAAAAGCTTAAAGTCAGTGTCATCATGCATTCTTACTCTGCAGATTTTTGGTCTTGTGATGATGTATGAAAATCATGCAGGCGAGCCAAATGATACAAAATAGAAATAGGGCAATTACTTGAGTAGAAATACTTTGGGGTGGTGGAGATGTGCCCTTGGAGCTCTTTCTCTCCAACTTTTTTGTGTTTGACACAGTATTCTCGCCACGTTTATCAATATTGACGGAGGAGCTGGTAGCGATTTGACCACTGCTGCTTGTCCCACTACCACTTCGATTGCTTTCACTCCCACTTTCCCCACGGTTGTCTGCTGGACCGTCTGCCTGGACCCCAGTAGACGAGACAGACAGGAGTGTTTGCTTTGACGTTGATGAGACATTTGTCGATGGGTTTGGTAATATTGGTTTTTTGATGGAATCAGACGTACTGGAACTGGACGATGAGGGGGAGGATCTGGTTTGTTCAGGATTTGAGCTGCTGCTACTGCTACTATCATTTCTATTATTCTTATTCTTATTCTTATTCTTATTTAACTGACTGGAAGAATTTTCATCTTTGGAAATTGGTTTAGGTAGTGTTTCGGGTGGAGGCTTATTTTTCAAAGCAACTGGTTTGCGTAGTTGCTGGTGGGTTGTTTGTTCATGGTGTGGTTTGGGAGGTGAGCTACTGACTCCTGTTGACACCATTTTGGGATGTCGCCTTATGTCTGCAAATACGAATAAATATACAATGCTTTAGGTAACTTGTGTTGAAAATATTGAAACTAATATTGCTCGACTTGTAGAGAGTTGAAGTAAGACTTTAATCTTTTCATGAATTGAAGCAAAGTGCTTGGAGAGTACGTAGAAAGTAAACAAATATATCTAAACTTTTCAAATTAAATTGTATTAATTTCATCGAAATTGTACTGTGCATTGTTGGAGCTTTCCAAATAAATAAATATTCGACAAATAATTTTTCAAGCAGGTTGCTGATAAAAATGCATGCTTTATTTTTCAAAGCATTAAATGGTAAGTATATATGTAAATATGAAACAATGGTGGGATCGGTCGGTAACAACTTTGAAAAGTAAGAGCATGCATTTGAATTTATGAAAACCTCAAAAATTCCGTAATAACCATCAAGTACCTATTTTTGGGCTAATAGTGGTGGCTTGAACAGGGACACTGCCATACACGTCTTCGTTGCTGTCGTTCATTTTAGACTTTATGGGGACAGGTTTAGGCTTTTTCGTATTAATTTTAATTTGGTGATGTTGAGCAGTTTGGTTCAACAGTTCTTGATCATCATCATCCTCCTCCTCCTCATTATTGTTATTTGTCGAGACGGCTGAAGCAAACCCAGGCCTTGATGAAAGCTTTTTGCGATCTTTTGTTGGAGTTTTGACACGTTCGATACTTTCGATCAAGTTAATCGTCGCCTGTTGCTGTTCTCCTCGACGAGAAATGCTGAGTTTCGACTGAATCACAGGTATATCTTCGTTCTCATTTGTTGAACTACTTGAACCTTTACGCTGATGTGTCTCAGGTTTGCCTCCAGCATACTTGCTTGGTTTTGACTTGTACCCATGAGCCGGAGTCTTACAGCATATTGTGCAAATTTTTGTACTTTTCGGATTAACAAAAGTACAATGCTCACACGTCCAAGGACCATCAGGCGTATCACTGCCAGCATATTCCAGAGCTGCCTCTTCTTCCAAGTCACGAATGGTGGTTTCTTGGAATTGAATTGGAGACGGATTCATTCTCGAAAGACCAGACTTGGGTGTGGGTGGGCGTTGAGTAAATTGCTGATTCTGGACGAATCGCTCATGAGGAGGGGGCGGCTGATGTATGTTGCGAAATTGCTGTTCTCTTTGTTCTTCGTGCTGAATGGAAGGTCTCGTCTTTCTTCTGAAACTGCCCTGAGGAGTTACAGGCTGTGATTGGGTGACGGATGGAGGTCGAGGAGGTAGCGGCGGTTGTTGCTGTTGACCCTGTTGCATCCACATGGATTCAGACCCTCGTCTTGCCATTATTTCCATTTCCATCTCTTGTTGAGACATGGGGGGACCAAATCCCATGGGACCCCACCCAAAAAATTGTTGTGGAACTCCACCCATGCTCTGATTCGATGGAGTTCTTCTCATTGAGCCAGTATACCCCATCATCGCAGCCTGTTGGAATTCCATTGGATAACCTGATGATCCGCCGCTCGCAGGAGGATAATTCCAAGGGTGCATATTTCCAAATTGCTGATTCTGGGGAATCCCCATTTGATTAATGTTGAAGGCCGACTGACTTGTTTGGAAACCGAGCTGTGACTGAGAAGGGTATGATCGAGGCGGAAGTGGAGGTGGGGGTCGTTCAGGGGCAGCCATACTGTTATTTTGACCTCGACGGGGTCGCTGCAAGGTGGCAAAATGCGATGCATCTTGGGATGAGTTGGGAAACCTGTTGGGTATCGAAACACTGGAAGCTCTTTGTCGGGCAAAGTAGTCTTCTTCCTCCCATTCTGGATAACCACCGTTGTTACGACTTGGTGGCTAAAAGAGAAATATGTCAATTAAATAAATAATAATATCATTCTGGGCTAAATAGTACATACATATGTGTACAAGTTGTTGTACACAAATTATTACCCGTTGCATGCTGAGGTTGGCAACACTGACACTTTGAGGGTGATTTCGGGGAGCTTGAAATTCATGCATCGTTTGCGGTATAGGTCGTCTCCCTGTCGGGGACATTTGAGGAGCTGGCGAGCTGTGTCTTCGATCAAAATCAGATATGCTCTGTCCCCGCGTCATTACCGGGGTCACTGGTCTTCCAAACTCTATTAAATCATATTAAGTTACTGACCTGCTTTTACGGGAAAATCATTGCAATTCGCAACTGTTATGTAATTTGCAATGTACCCGTAGGTTTAGGAGGAAGTGGGGGACCGGATTTTGGGGTTGGTGGGAGTGGCCTTTGCGCCATCCCACCAACAAAGCGCTTCAAAGTTGCCATAGGGTCAAAGGTTTTCTTGGTAAGGGTGGGAGAACTCGTTGCAGAACGCATTCCCATTCCAATGAAGGGAAAACGCTTGTTTCGTCTCGGAGGGGGAACAGGAGGGAGTGAAGAAAGCACTGGTGGGCCATCTGCTTGTTGAGGTGTTGAGTTATGCGTAGCAAATGCTTTCGGTGGTAGTGGAGGTCTGCTGTCTCCAGCGTCAATTAACTAAAAAATTGTGTGCGTTATTAGTTGTAGGGTAAATTTCTACTACTGATCTACTCAATTTATTTTATGGAATTACTATCCCTGGTACCTTTCGTGCGTGATGAAGGCGTTTTGGGTGTCTATGATAAACGTCGTTACAGCCTCCACAGAAAATTTGACCTTCGCACATTTCACAACAAACAACGGCGTTCGAATCTCCACACAAGTTACACACGCGTCTGCCTCGACCTAATAATCACGCGGTTTTATCATAAAGTATTCCAACTTATTTTACTAATGCAGAATGTTCACTTTCTTAATACATACCGCGTCTTACTCCATTTTGGCTGGGCAAATGGTCAATTTCTTCATACTCAGATTCGTCCATTATTGGAGGAGGTTCTTCTGGTAAAGGTGGAGGGGTGGCCATAGTAGTTCTAGTAGCATTTCCCTAAACACAGAAAAATGTCAATTTTGTAATATAAATATGTAAATCAGAAATGCAAATTAAGTAAGTTAAAATTACCATTGGCGTCGGGAACCAGGAAGGCATTTGGCGACCCCCAACCTGAATCCTGGATGCCGACATTGGATTTTGACTCATGTTCTCCTGAAATTTTTAATTGAATTTCCTGAAGCCTTTCTTGCAAATTTTCAGAGTATTTTTTCACAGTTATTTTTTATAAACTGTGAAAAGTCTCAGGTACGCAAATGGGTAGAAATAATAAATAATATTTTAAACATCACAATTTAGCATATTATTACACGAAGATAAATACTTATCACTCATTCAATTCGAAAGTAGACTTTCAGGTAATTCTTGACTCGAACGAATTATATTGTGTTATCGAATTATTCTCCAAACTTGTCTCAATTAATTTTTATCCATTTTTTGGGGATTCTAGCAGTACCATACTTTCACAGAAATGCTCCTGGAGTTGTGCTTATTGCAACTTACTTAACGGTAAATGTTTTCATATGTGTGGATCGTTGCCCTCAAAGAAGAACGCTTTAAGAATAAAGGAAAGCATATCAAGATTGACGACGTCAATATGCATAAGCACAGTACGCTAACCTCTTTATACGAGCTGCATGGTCCTTAAACTCTATCAGTCTAGAAACCCCAGATTTCTCTACTAATGAACCAACTCGAAAATAATAAAAATCTACGAATGCAGCTGAAAAATAGGACAGTTAAGAGCAAAGCCAATATCCTAAAGGAGAACGACTCATCCGGCTTGTAGACGCCAAATCTCACACAATTAACACCGAAGCAAATTCTGAACTACTGCCAGACAAGTGCGGAAATCGGTGTAAACTTGCATCTTCATATCGGCTAGATTTCGGATTATTATGTGTATCTGGGAGCCATTCACTGGTTTCCTGGAGCATCTTAGCCACATTTTTGACCAAAGTCACGGACAGCAGCAATGGACAAAAATTAATCAAATGTAGCCAATTCCTTCTCACTTTTCAACTAAAAATTAATTATTTTTAAAATACCAAGTGCTTGGGCGATCCCTTGTGATAAAAATATCACACACGGCGACATTTGCCAAATTCTCGAACATGCATTTAGCCCACAATAAAGTATAAGCGCAAACTTAAAAATTTGTACACTTCATCAATTACTATTTCTCAATAATCATATCATCACATTTTTTAGAATTAAAACATCTTAAACACAAATGCATGCTATGACGTAAAACTACGTAAACGGAAGCTCATTGCAATGGTAGCGGCGAATAAAATATTTGCCAATGAAATAGACTGACTGAACATCATCATGATTATAAATAGACCAAAAAGTATGTCGTTTAAAACTTTGGTGTATGTAGTTGTAGTAAAACTTGGGTTAGATTTTCAAAGATGGCACAAAAATGAAGTAAAAATAATAAAAATATACGCTTTCAGAATATGATTTTACTTCATGACAGTTTCACTTAAAAAAATTATGACGAGTTGTCATAAAATTTTATTAACAAATTGCACGTCGCTGAATAAATATGTATCTATGTATATGATAAACCGGTGAAAGTAAATATCTCGTCAACACGCAGCTACATCACGCCTGATATTTGAGTAATGACTTTAGCCATGCAATGCACGTGTAATGGTTCGTCGTATGCATGTAATCAAGATAAAATATATTTTATCCTTCATTTGTATTTTCGAAGCATGTAATTGAATAATTCAGTAAATCCAATTCGAAGATACGTCAGCAATATGATACTGCTGACTCTGAAGTACTTAATGTGCTGTATTTCTGAAGTGGCAATAATCCCGAGTTCATGTTTGTAGAAGGGTTTGGAATGATATAAATGTCATTATTTGAACAATATTTTATTCATCTTTCAATGCTCAACTGGCATCAGGAGTAGTGAAAGTATGATCACCTTTTTTCTTGAAGACATAACTCTGTCCTGTGAAGAGATGATTTTTCTATAATTGTAACTTGTACATAAACCTCAATTTCTTGCTAGACCATAAATTGAACAATTCCGTTCAAAATGCAAAATTTAATTCCTTCGAGGTTGCTTCTCTCGAGATTTTGTTTATTCTAGAAATCAAACTTGGTTTCATGATGTCGGATCTTGTTTATACAAATACAAGGAACTGGGTCAATGGGGATGCGATTCAATTCAGATCTTCATCGATCTTCTCGTGCATCCATGGAAGTTAGGAGTCTTCAGGTCCTTGAGGTATAGATTGGCATGATGAGAGAAAGTAAATAAACTAGAAATTGAGCTATGTATTCAAACAAAGTAATCAAATTCTGTCAGATGTCAATGGCAATATAGAGTTGTCCAAACGATATGCATTCATGATGAGCGTCCTTGTTAGTTTCATCTCAGAATGTTTATTTTGTATGATTTAACCCAATAATTATAACTTGCAATTACTGCAAACACACAAGTACTGGAAAATATATTCGTTAAAAACCACGTCGAGGGAAGGGTAAACATTAATTTGTGCTCAATCTAAATACAAATGTACACATGAATATGCATAAATATGTATGCTGAATATGCGACGAATGAATGCTGTAAAGGTGATTAAAAAGTGATCTGCTTGTGGCTGTCCATGCAGAAGCTTTTTCAGAGGCTGCATAGATTGTCTAACTTCGAAGTGAAAGCTGAGACTCGCTTTCACTGGAAACTACTGGTCAGAAGCTGGTAGTAGTATTAGCAGATGGAAAACTATTTCACACATCAAATTTGGCAAGGTTTTATCTACAGATGAACTGTTTTTGGGAAGGAAAGGTGTATAGCGGAATATTCTTTATATAACGAAATACATCTGAAAATGTGAAGAAAGGCATGAAGAATTTCACCAGGACAGTTGTACGTACTCATCATCAGAACATGGGCAGAATCCTTCTGTCATATTCAAGGCCGCACAGACAGAAACTGTTTTCTGAGTTATGTATGCTCATTAATCATTTCGAAATCTACTGTAATAACTCCTTTCATCTCTATCCATGATGAAAGAATCTGCTCAAGAGACTCGTATTTTTGCAAGATTTCAACAGAACTTTTCATTCACTTTGTGTTGTAAGTAAGGGCATCTTGAAATTAATTAGCTCTTACATAAATAAATTTGATAATAAGTATTGCAATTCGACATTCTGCGCATTTTAAATTATGCATGTATTTATAAGCGAACATTGGATCTGTACTTAGATTTTTTAGACTCTCGAGCTGCATTGTTTCACGACTGTCTACGAGCAAGGAAATGAATTGCCTTCTGTTTGGCATGTCTTTTATAACTCTAGAATCAGAGAATGTGTAGCTGAAATGGAGAAATTGCGCAGAAAGAAAGAGCAACCTTATACCAAGTGCTACCTAGAATTTATATCGTTCCTACCCCAACCAGAACTAGGTTGATATCAAAAACGAGGATTCAAGGTTGCATAGTTTCACACGCTGAACCTCAAATGACAATGTCAGTCGTTACGATCAGTTTTTTCTGCTATTTTGGGGAGAACTAGATTTATTTACCAATAAAGAACGATTCAACTATGTAACTTTCCCAAATTACTCTGGACTTCAAAATAATGGGCCAAAGTTTTCCTCAAACCTCCATCAGCATAAATATAGCTGAACTATATTGAGCCCTGGATATATGCATTCCCTTACAATCTAATTCCTCTTCAATTCCTCGAATTAGGTGAAACAAGGTCATGGCGCAGTTTGAGGTTTGCTCGAGTGAAAATTCTACAAGAGTTGCCTATGAAAAATCCCATATCTACACCGTCACCATTGTTCATCTACGTAAGTTTGCAGCCAACCCTAAGTATACCATTCCCTATTATTGTGTATCCGCTATTATGGTGAAAAGCATATCAGCTCGTGACTAAATATTCCGTGTGACTCATCACTTTGGGATATGGTGAAAATTTCCAAACCATATCTAAATCACATAATCGATAATTTATTTCCCAGAAATTATCGGATGACATTATTCTTATGAAGATTAAGGTCTGGCTCTAATGCTAATAAGCTATTTTAAGATTTGGATATGCGCATATCTTTCAAAAAGTATTCCAATCAATGTAGTGTAAGTTCATTGACATAATTTAATGTGTCTAAGACTGGCGACAACTGGTTTAAGGAATGTTTGTAAATAATCTTAGTGTGGTCCTTGAGTATTTCACAGAATTTTGCATAGGTATGTAAATATAGCATGAAGGAAAATTCCATTATGTATGCCATGCTATGTACACATACAAATGTATATGAATTCGAACTTTTGTTTCATGCACAACGGAGTCAGTTCATTTATTGTCTCGCGTATTCACAGACTTTATAATTGTAACGGCGTCTCTTGAAGTTATAGGGTCAAGTTACAATCAAAGTTTGAATGTGTACGGGTTGAAGAAATGTATTCATCGGCTCTTCCGTCCAACCAATGTTATGGTTCGTAGGTATATATTTACATTTTTGCAACTTAAACAATTTAGTTGGGGCCATAAAAAATCACAAGCAATGGGCATTATGAAAGGCGATGCACATTCAAAGAACTTTGTACTTTTCCACTAGTCTCATTCGCTCCACATGTAATTGACACCTCTTAAATTAGTATATGCTCCAGTTTGGGTCCGATACATATGTCAAATTCCTTAATTTTAATGGACCAAAGGAAATAATGAACATGATATACGCCAAGTTGTCATCTTAAAATAAGAGTGTCGATTACTACGATTTTGCATACAACAGAATAACCTTCTGGAATCGACATAATATGTAAGCAAGTTGTGAGATATTGCAGATATACATATGCAGAAATCGAACCGGGGAGTAATAAAACTGAAAGTAATTTTCTCTGTGATTTTCGTACAAAGACGCAATAAAATCCAGCCAGATATCACCATCCACATATTAACTTGTCCAGACTGCTGTCGATCTAGCGTGAACGGCAATTAATTATTTGTGATTTGTGATACTGCTTCAAATTGCATCCGCAGTGTGCAATAAGCTTGAGACTTATGTATACAAATGATTCTATATAAACTGGTATATGCATGTACATACATACTCATAGATTTATGTAAATAGTTCCCTTAATGCTTGTACTTTATTAGATATTTCAAATACACAGATACTTGATCACATCCTGCCAAGTGCGGCAGACGCCTACATAAATATTTTTACATGTTCATTTATTAGCAAGTAGTTAGCACGGTACAGCCAAACATGTCCCTATCTGAAGACTGAAGTCTCTTAGTTGCACGGATTTCGAGGGGAAATTCCAGGTTAATTGAATTAATGTAACCTTGCACCTTGGTGATCTCTCCTCCGCCTACAAGTCATGCAACCATCGCTTCCTTTCTCGGGTTTTGACGGGAGAAAAGAAAGGGTTTAGTAACTCGTTCGATCATCACATTATTCGAGTAGGCGAGGGAGAAAGGGTAGCTCATGCATCAACCAAGCCAGGCTCAGCAGAAGAGTGACGTCAATTCGTAAATAGGGCTGCAAAGGAGACAAAGAGGAAATCGACTAAAAAGTCGAGTATAGATCGACGACGACGACGAGTCGCTTATGACGGTATCAAAGCTATGTTTGTATCTCAGAAAGCCTCCTTCTCCATACTCGGTCACGAGGTTTCTTCCCTAAACATTATTACACCCGACTCGAGAGATGTTTTTGAATGGGAGAAGTGCAAATGTACCGTCTAAAGCAGGGCAAGTTCGCCAACTACGCAGAAAGTTTCATTATACATAAAACCTGCCATACCTCAGCTTAGGAAGTCGGTAGTAGGAAATTATACTCCCGCATCTGCTCCAGCCTGTGCATGGTGGGACCAGGCCTACGTGATGTCTGAAGAAGCGAATTTGTAGAAATATCCAAACTCACTTCCTTCCTTATCCGCATGATTTAAATATCTAAATACATATACGCACTAAACCAGGATTGGCAGGATTGACAACTCATGAAAGCTTGTTGAAAGAGCTTTTCAGTTTTCACCACTGACTTGCAACCTTTCTGCAGTGAACTTGACATCGTCCAATGCTAAACTAATTCGTTAAATTGGATTGGCATTTTCAGGTGTAGTCAAACTTACATAAGTCAAGACTTTGTATGTGGTCTTATACGGAATTTTCCAGAAATAGGTTGAATGAATGAATGACATTGGATTGAGTAATGCTTTGTCAAATCCAGTCAGAAAAATGCAACTGGGTATCGCATCTTATGAATGTACATATGAACCTTGAACTGATAGAAAAATAGCATTAAGCATAGATTTCACACAGTTGCTACATATGCATGAATGGTATGTGTTGGTGACAGAGAGCACGATGATATCTGCTTCATTGACATTCTATACCAACAAACGTTTGGAAATTAAACTTTCGTTTGATTTATGTGTTAGCATTGTGAACAGTTGAACTGAATGGAGCAAAAAATCCACTCCATAATGGAATGGAGAGTTTGTGGCGTCATAACCTTTGAGGAAGAGACTTGAAAGGTTTCGCATGTCAGAGTACATATGGTTTCAAATAATTGAATCATCTCTTTGCTGAGCACAAATGAATAAGCGTCAAAGGACAACACTATCATTCCTCTAGCATCACGTTACTGCATTGTCCACGTCTCCATCGGCCAAAGTACCTACATGTATACATACACTTTATGCATATACTTACGTATACAAAAACCATTCAAAACGCTTGCATTATGTTCCAGAGACTGAAATTTGACATTTGTTGTGAATGTATGCAGACAAATGCATATTGGTTTGTTGATAACGTAATTACATTTGTACACATTTGTTATGAAGTCGTGTATATAATTAGGGACGCATGAATCCATTATTTGTTTCTTACATACGTCTTGCCTAATTAATAAATTGCCAGCCACGTTTAGCCCACGTTGAAGCAGTATTTCAAATAATTAAAAAGTTTAATCCTTGACATTTTGATAGAGCAAAAAGCATACAAAATTGGCAAATGTACATATACACATAACGGTAACATGTACTTACATAGATATATGTAAGTTGCATATACCCGAAGCACGGGACAGTCCGGGAACTGTCGGATCTCAAATTCGGATCGGTCGATGTTCTCGTGTTACACATGCGTCCCCTGAATATAGATGTACCTACAAGATTTCAACTTGAGAGGATTTCTAGCTATGCGATTTCGGTATGGAAATAAATTATGGAGCGAGAGCAGTGGGTGAAAGTTATTCTCTAAAGAATTCGGACATGATATAAGCCCACGCTACGGATATACGAAGTGTGTACATACAACTGCCTCACTTTTCAGCAGGAATATTTCAGTTAGCTTTCACTACGTTCTTCCATATACGTTACAAATGCATGTATAGTTATATGTAGTCCACGTACGTACGTGGTTTCCACAATTCGCGAAAAGCCATGTCGGAGAGACCCGAATGAAGGAAGAAAGGCATGCAACCACGTACTTCAAAGCGACCCACGATCCCCATACCCCACATCATCATTTGGCCAGTTTGACGGTAAAAGTGGAAGGGAAAGCAGGACGATATTTTGGCAACATTAAACAGCTACATCGCATTCCACAACCCAGTCATCAAATAGGTTGCGGACTATATGGTCTCAAGCTTTCGTGCCATTAGCCAATCTCGATATCTTCCTCGAAGCATACCACGTAGCAAGGTTTGCATATATACAATGTGTCATCGGTTGCGTCATCCAGTACAGTAACATTGTCACATGGCAGACGTATCATGGCTAAGTGAGGAGTCGTAATACCATAAAATAAAAAAGAACAATTATTCGGAGAGTATTGATTTTTAAGAAATTAGAAGCCCAGAACGTTCCCATTCTGTCGGTTTCCTTCCCATCGCACACATTTACATATGTAAGTGATGTGAGTGAATCGAGTCCAACGTTTCATTGTTAGTGTTATTATCAAAGGCCAGAAATTCGAAAGAACCAATGTTCCAAGAGAAATTCAGTGTTTGTCGCCGGTTTCATTATTCAAAATACAAAAAAATTCCCAAAATCTTCCCTTTTCCTGCAGTGCTAAATGCCAACGTGGGATCTCGGCTCGGTTCTTTCAGACAAAACAGCAGTGGAGCAGACTTTTCCGAGTACTATTGCTTCTATTACCATCAACCTTTGTGTGAAAAACTAGCTATCTAGCTTTACGAAAATTGCATACTAAATATTCGATATTTTCTTTAACATAAAATAACTACCTATACAGAAGTTGGTCCATAGGTTTACGACTTTTGTGTGTTGAAGTAAGCCAAGCAAATAATAAGCGGTCAAGACCTTTCTTATAAAGGATAAAGGCTTAAACGGGTTGATGAACCAGTTGAATAGATCGACGCAAAACAATATTTGCAGGGCTCTGCAGAGAATTTTACAAGACTTGTTTGTCCGCACACGTAATAATAACGAAATTCATATAGTATAAATCTCGTGGGGTGGCAAAGTTGTTGGGGTCCTATACAACAACACACGTGGATCATAATCAACATAGTAAAATTGTAAAACAACCCTGGTTCGTGATCTTGCGTACGTATCTCTGGTTGCCTCTCTACATGCGAAACATCATCTACTACCCCTCGATTTGATGATACTGGAACTCATCATTTATTGCAATTAAAAGAACCTGCTGCCGCATTGCTATCGTAGAACGAGACATCCAATCCTGTTTACCTGATAACCTTGCTCTTGCATCATAGAATTTCTTCTTTTCTGAGTGGAAGGTCAGCCCAATTACTTATATTTCAACTTGTCACTTACCGTGTTGATTGTGGCATCGTTTGCCATCAGCGTATCAGCCCCAACGGTGCTGGAAGGCTCCAACTTTTTTTTCCTAAAATTGACTAACACAACACAAAAAGAAAGTGATTTTTTTTCACAAATCTCAAGTGGCCTCATATCAAAAATCTCCCCATTGATGTGGATACATTTTGTGCAATTCCTATAAAACAACTCTATTGAAAACTCGATGCATATTGGCAGGAAAACGGACATAATAAGTGAATCATATCATTAACTTTCGAATGGGGTCGAGAATTCTTGGAGGGACGTGAAGCCTATCTTCTTGAGCTCAACGAGATCATTCATTGTTCGAGATCGTCTCATTTTCTGTCAAAAGTGGTAAACAAGACGGCGTGTAACGTACAAGTTCGGGTGGTCTTTGTTGGAGTGGCGAATCACTGCGTGACTTTGACTTGAATTTCCTTCACCTACACTCCAAAGGGGGAGAATTTGCACGCTGTCTGTGGAGGAGGTTTCTCTCTCAGAACTTTACTACGAAACTCTGCTCCGTGCAATGCAGTGCACCAGAATCTAATCCAGTCGCAATTCAGACATCACTCTCGAAGCATACTGACTGAACCCTTGACTCGGTGTTCTCCTTGCACTTCACTTTGTTCTTCGCAACCCCTTCCGACCACGTTGTGACAAAATTACACCATCCGTCGCACGTTATTGCTACACATCTTCTCAAACCAAAGTGGGACGACAGATTTTGGTTTCTGTTAGATTCTAGAAATCTCATTGTATCAACTCAATTATTTTAAGTTTTTCATAGATTATACGGATCTTAGAATAATTCAGAATTAAGGATAATCATGCGATTCAATGTCGTTGGATCATGAGATTGTTGCATGAAAACTGTTAACATATTGTTCAATAGAGTCTCGAAAGTGATTCCACTGTAGTATTCAAACCAATTTAGCTATTACTATTTAAAGTACGGATGTTTACTAACAGATATTTAGTTACTCCTCATCATATATTACGATTGCACACTATAAATAATTTAATGTTACGTATGCATAACTTAAGTTTACCATTATAACTCTTGAGGAACGACGAAAATTACCAGCCACGCAAAATTCGTATCTTTCGCATTGCACACACTTGCACTGTTACAGATCAGGTCGATAAATATACTGGAAAGTTCCGTAACGCAATTCAAAAGTTTTATGACAGGCAGCGAATTTGCAATATTATAATCTATACAAATTCTTCCTATACCGCAGCAACTTTTGCTCAATCGCAACCGTGTGCTTCAAAAATACTTGTATTGAAAGCAACCGAATATTTGTTTGTGAATCCTGTAAGATATGTACACATAGTTTTCGTGGTAATCCCATCCCACGTGAGAGTAAAGATTCTAATCAGTCATCAACAACATAATTTGTCGGGATCTCAATAATAATGCGTCTATAGAAAGCCAATTACTTAAGATTAGTCTCAAAATATATTGTACTACTTGACAAAACAAAACTTATCTGTGGAAAATCAGTCAACTAATAAAACTGGTCGAAGCTGGAACTCCGCAACATGGACAAGAAATCGGTGAATGTGAAGGGTCCGTACTCCCACAATGCGCTCACAGTCTCCAACAACACCGAGCTGGACGAAGACGGTCTGAGAAACAATGGAGTGCACATGATGAGAGAAATCCCGGTAAGTTTTTCGAGCACTTTCGAACACTGATGGTTGGAATTAGTGAATTACGCTGTGTACCCTAAGTTTTTTAAGAAAACGAGGATATGCAAATACGTTGCAATAAGATTTCTCCTTTCATTTCTACATGAAATCACATATTAATTCATAACATTTAATGTCATAAAACTACATGCATACATAACATATGTCAAATCATGCACATCTCTTCTATAATTAATTAACCCTAATTACTAATTACAACTTATGTTAATTTGCAGTCCGAAGCGTGTTTCGCAGTAAATGGGGGTGCAACCGGTCCTGGAGGGGCGAATGACACTGGTGAAAATGCAGGATGGGAAAGGTAAACATATTTTTTTATCTCCATATTACAAATTACGCATGCTAATTTTTGTGTGTCCTCTTGATATTTCAGCAAGACTCAATTCATGCTCAGTGTTGTAGGGTACTCTGTGGGTTTGGGAAACATTTGGCGTTTTCCGTACCTGTGCCAGAAGAACGGAGGGGGTGAGTACCATTTCGCTTTGTCTGATGAAATGTCTGATCAGCTTTTTTCATCGTACACAAATTAATTGGGAAATACATACAGGGTTTACACCATGTATGTACCAGAGTCAGTTTATATGTAGTCCCTGTAATAAGTATTTTTCTAGTTGTGGCAACACGTAACATGTTGAGAACAAATTTCGTCGTAGATTAGACACAAAGTCATTAGCAATACGGCAAAGGCCTTGCTAGTTCATGGCCGATCTGACGTCTCTCATTCTTGATGGGAAGAAAGGTTACCTGAGTTTTTAAGGCTAATACGTGATGACACCGGAAAATGGGGATCTGAGAAAGAAACAACATCACGCTGTATGTACAATCTCACTGACATTGTCACCCTGCATGTAGTCATTTCGGATGCCAAATATTTCCGCGTGATGTGCCAACAATTTACCCCACACACATGTGTGTCGAGTCGTTTTGTAAGATCCTTTGGACGAACAGAACTTGCAAAACTCTGGCTGGAGTATAAAACAAATGATTCAGTTGGCTCCTGATAAGATGAAGGATGCACAAAGTATGAATGACTTGACGTGCTTCCAAAAAATACACTTCGGATTCAAGACTCTGTTTTATGGTCTTCTTTATTGTCGCTAAATGTGTTTGCCAGGCATAGTATTTAGTACATTGAAGAAATGGTATGTAACATTCAGTAGGTCAAAAATTGATCAATGTCTCGCATTCATATACCATACAGATCACATATTTTGGAATTGATTTCAAGTTGCTTGCAGTTTACCGCATATTGATCAACAGAGAGTGCACTTTTCAAGATTGTATGCTTTTAAAACTGACTATATGTTCATGTCTCCAGCATATGTGTATGGTTAAGGTCTGGCTCAAGAAATGGCTAATTTTAGTAAATGTTTGGCAGTGCAGACGACGACTGGTTTGCACGTAAGATTTTGCTTCGATCTCATCTATTTCTGGCTACACAATTCTGGATGCAGAAGGAAAGCTGTACAAAACACTGGCCAAAAATTCTAAGCGTGTCATTCAAGACCACAACTATGTGAAAGCCCTTTCCATATTATGTAACATTCACTTCCTGAGAGAACATGCATCATAAGAAGTTATCGTGCAGGAGGTTCTGCCAATTTTTGTTCTTTGAAGCGTAGTCTTAGCTTCCTTAATTATTTGAATAAACTCAACACAACCTGAATTATTGATTACGTCACGACGATAGAGTCCGAGAGTTGCTTATCCATGTAATCAATAAGCCTTTAATTGTTGAGTTTTTGTATGAGACATTTATATGCATACGACTATCGCATATCGATCTTTATTATGACACAACTTACACAAGGTGTTCATATTTATTTGATTTTATGCTACACCGCCAGTCAACGATGATAATAAAAAAAGTTGTGCACGTAGTAAAAAAAATATAAAGGCTTCTTATATGCTTTCATCGATATTGACCCAAAGTTAATTGTGCCATAAATACAAACTGAAAAATATTTTGGACTTTGGCAGTGAATTAACTGACATAGCAAATGAACTCGTCGTGCATGCATCAACATTTTTAATCTGGACTCGGTCACTGCCGAAGACAGGACTTTTCATAAAACTCGTAAACAATAGATTCTGGAATAAAATTGAAATCGATTTTGTGCTCTTGTATTAATAATCATTCAATTCAAATGCGAAGCCAATGCTGCTCATTTTTCTGTCCTGTAATTTCTGTCGTACGAACTTGTTAGTTGTTTGTATGGTGTGAGGAAGAAAGAGAATCACCATATTTATTTATTTCTTGACTTATCCCAATCACCATTCGTGAACTATTGCAATACTTTCACGGTACATTTTTCCAGGAGACCGCATCATCTCGAGTCTTCTTTACTTTCACTCCATCAACCCTGCTTTATGAATATTTTGATTGGTTTGCTAATGGCACTTCAAAGTAACACAACAAGTGCCCACGTGTATGACTCATGCGTTGGTGCTCGTCAAATTCGTTAGTTAGGTACCATTAATCAGAATTCCATGAAGTACACAATTATATTACAAATTCGCGTAAAATTGCAACATATTCAGATTACATTGATGATTTCTAGAGTTTAGCATGCCCTTCAATGTTGCTTATTTTTTAAATTTTGTAGGAGCATTTCTAATACCGTTCCTGATTATGGTCTTGCTGGAGGGAGCCCCCTTGCTACTAATCGAACTGGGAATCGGCCAAAAGCTACGACAAGGGTCACTGGGAACTTGGAATATGATTCATGCATCGATCGGGGGAATCGGCATTGCAAGTAAGGCCAAAATCTCGAAATTTCGGAATTAGTATTGTTCATAAATATGGCTCTATTTTAATTCCACCCATTTCAGGTACTATCGTTGCTTTCCTTGTCGGTAATTATTTTAAATAATTATTACATAATACTTTGTATGTTGGCGACACATTTATGTACTTTTTTCTGCATTGCAGGACTCTACTACAACGTCATTATCACCTGGTGTTTTTTCTTCCTCTTCCAATCGTTTCGGGTAAATAATAACGACATACATCGTCAAAGTTAAGAGCTTATTGGGCAGCACTGGATTAGCACTATTGTCCTACTTTGCACCACTAAATGTTACGACACAATAAAAACTGTAAGAATCCGAAATTATCTGGTTCTTAGTAGACAATTACATATATACGGCAGGCACTATTATAGCAAGTTGCGTGGGTCATTATGTTATACCCTTTCCTCCCAAAGCGGTCAGGTCATATGGTCCCTAAGTAATTTCACCTGTACATATTCCAAAAATTAACTTGTCAAAATTTTTGTGTTCACAGTCACCCCTGCCGTGGGCTAGTTGTCCCACAGTTGAAATCGGAAACGTCACAGTGCCAGTCCCAGAATGTGTAAAGTCTTCGGAAACTGCATATTACTGGTATCGTGAAGCATTGGACATTTCTCCATCGATAGGTGAGCATTTTTATAGAGATTGAAAGAATTTTACTATGATTTTATAATCTCGTTCATTGGGTGCAGATGAAACTGGTGGAATTAAATGGTGGATGGCCCTTTGCCTCTTGTTGGCTTGGGTATTTGTGTATTTCATTATAATGCGTGGCGTCAAATCTGCTGGATGGGTGATCTACTTCACAGCGTGTTTTCCATACGTCGTATTGACAATTTTCTTTGTTCGGGGAATTACTCTCCGAGGTGCGGCTGCAGGATTGATTCACATGTACAAGCCAAAGGTACAGTATTATCTAATACATGTTTGACGAATAGGTGCCAATATTGAGCGTTATATAAATATGTGAGATGACCTTGTGTTTTAAAAATATCCTAAAGATGGAAAAACTTTTGGACTTGGCAACTTGGATGGATGCGGCTACGCAAGTCTTCTACTCGTTTGGGCTAGCGTTCGGGTCACTAATTGCATTTGGTTCCTATAATAAGCCACGAAATAACTGTGTGAAGGTACGTAAAGTCATAATTTTTATATAAGGTTTGTCAACGTTTACATTTCAGTAAAAAAAATTATGAAAATCTTCATATTTTATGTGTCTTTCAGGACGTGATCTTCATAACTTGCACTAATGCATTGACAGCCATGTACGGTAAGTCGCTATCATATCCCGAGTGTCCGGTGTTATCGATCTCACATCGTTCCTTGTTCTTACTTTGTTCTGTCTGATTTTAGCGTCAATAGTGATATTCTCCATTCTTGGCTTCAAGGCTACCGCTATTCATGATCGTTGCATTGATGGGTATGTGCTCGAAAATTTTGGCAGTGACAAAAGTTAGAAGACACTAATGATGATTGATTGCTTATGTAATGTACATATGTAAATATATAGGAATAAAAAAGTATTACGAGAACTCTTGTCCGACAAATACTCGGACATCAGCAACATCACGGACAATATATACGAGTCGTACATGAAGGAGCATTTTCCGGATGAAAAATCTCTGAACGGTTCTGCGTTCTTGGATTGCAGTCTTGAGAAAGAATTAGATTCTGCTGGTGAGTAATGTATTTTTTGCACGCATAATTTATTTTCGCAGCATCATATCTTTTAAAACATCCTTCATTGAAGGTAACATTTCTGTTAGACTTACTGAAAGTCAAAGAATACTCGAGTAATTTTACATATATCTTGCATAATAACATCGAAGCTGATGACAAAATTTATAAAAGTACTGATGATGAAATCCGATAGTGGTACCTCAGAGACTGAGTCTTCCTAATGATAACCTGTCTTCAAACGAACCAACTTCTGCACATGAAATTGAGACTCAATTATTGAATGCGATTTTAGAACTATGTATAGTTCGCTCTATTGTTACAGACTATAAATGCGTGTCTGGTTTGATAAATGGTCCCTGAATGTGATACCTCTCCATTCTTACACAAAAGATGCGTATTTAGCATTATGATCTTCATTAAATATTGGAATAATGATACTAACGGTAATGTACAATCGCTAATCAGTATTACATCTTTTTCGCTTTCAGCTGCTGGAACTGGTCTCGCATTTGTCGTAAGAATAATAATTTACTTTCACCTTCATCGCGATCTATGCATTTATTATTTACTTGTCTAACACAGGTCTTCACTCAAGCAATAGTAGAATTACCGGCGTCTCCTTTTTGGGCCATTATCTTCTTTCTTATGCTGCTCGCTCTCGGTCTTGGCTCACAGATTGGAACTATGGAAGGAGTTGTGAAGTACGGTTTTACATAATCCGTTTTATTTCAAACACACAAACAACTTAGGTTAATCGACTTTGCATTTTTGTTACAGCACTGTTTTCGAATGTTCATACTTCAAAAACGTTAGAAAAGAGTTGCTGACCGGTGAGATAAATTGCTCTGATAGTTAGAAGTATATATAACGTATAATAATATGACTTATTTTTGTAGCCATCGTCTGCTTCATTTCATTTGTGTGTGGATTGATTTTTGTGACTGGAGCCGGAGAGTATTGGGTTTCTCTATTCGGTGAGTGCTGCTTTTATTTGTCGAAATTTATCGAATAATTTTTCTGTGGTCTTCGTAAACTAAACTGCAATAAACGCTTGGGTAATTAAACCCTATTCTCGTATCCTTCCATAATTAATACTAATTCCAATTCATATTTATTTTTGCAGATGGATATGCCAGTACAACTGGTAAGTATAATAAATATGAATGAATTCTCGATTTGCCTCTCAAGATAATAACTATAATTGCTTTTGGTTTTTGCGTAGGATTGGTGATAATCGCACTCCTGGAAATTGTTTCCGTGATGTATATTTATGGCCATGAAAGGTCAGCCTAATAGATAAAATTTTCAACATTATGCGTCATACTATAGATTTACTTAGATATGTACATATGCATACATTCACTACCTAAGATTGTGTGGTAGCGGAACTTATAATATGTAATACGCTTTCACTTGCGTTATAGGTTCTCTGCGGATGTCGAATACATGACAGGGTACTATCCAGGTTAGTCATTTAGGACAAAGCTCTTAATTAAAGTAATACAAATTATATTATATAACCTATAATTATTCATTTAATTTCAATTATTCGTACAGGATGGTACTGGCAGATCACTTGGAGAATAGTTGGGCCTGGTTTCCTCTGTCTTCTTCTTGTTGGATCTCTGATTGAAAAAGTTAGAAATAGCCCCGTCTACGATGCCTGGGATAGCGAAAAGGTACGAGTGCGAGGTTTATCATCTGAAGTAACTCGATATACGATGAAATTAATTACGCAATAAATGGACAATCTTTCAGGGGGAAACACACTTGCTGCCATATCCTGGGTGGTGCATGTGTATTGCATTGGCCCTCATTATTGTGGGGATTGTTCCAATAATTGCAGGGTGGTTAATGGACAGATTTAACATACTTGGCCCAAGTGGACGACCACGAAGTGCTTCCACAACAATGAGAAGAATCGATACTGCAGGTCAGTAAAATTTGTTCGAATGCATCTCACCCAAACGATTACTAAGTGTATATATGTGATAATTTCGATTTTCCTTTTCTTGTTGCAGCTTCAACAAGGCCTATGATGGAGGATTATGAGGTGAGATTTGGAGCTGAAGAACGGCCCTGGTACAGACGTTGGCTTTAGCCTAAAACGATAAAAAAACCTGAAGTAAAACCGAGTTAAATATTAACCCGAATAGACTATATATGCAGCCAATAATTTGTGAGAGTATTCCAAGTCTCAACGATCTAGTGAATCAAGTCGACACGCTATAATATATTGAATATAGAGTACTAATATGTTTTACAGAGATCTACTAAGACTACTAAATACATACAATTTGAAAGTACTAAAATAGAATTTATAGTGAGCCAGCAAGAAGAATGATCATCAATTAACCGTGTGCGGAGTAGTATCAAAGAATTAAAACTGACTATATATGTAAAATATGTATGTAGCAATGATAATTAATATTCGTACTACTCCCCCACCCCCACTTGAATAGTGGTGGACAGCTATATTGTATTGTGCGAATTTGTACTGTGTTGATTTGTGAAGTTTGAACAAAGACTTACATCATGACAATGAAAGATCTTCAAGATTTTACAACCTGAATAACTTGTGCTATAAATATTTGTTGCAATTATTTGCAGACGGCCAATAAATGTCGGATCATGTAATCCTCACTAAAGTGTGTATTCTCTACTAACGCCATTCTCAATCCCGATTCGGGTACTTGTTTTTAACCACTTTATAACATTATTTGTGCACTACACTAATTTAGCACTGCACTTTTTTCAATGGTTTTGTGTTTGATTACTAATTTGTATGTATACCACACTACAACCTCCCTTGTTATCATAATCGAACCTCAAAAATCATCACTATTTCAGTGTTGAAGTCATGTTTTCACCATCCTTGTTGCATTTTACTGACGTATTTTTCCCATGACACTGGTTAATTTCGAGTCAAACTTGCATACCATCAAATGCGTGAATAATTTTGTTACCAGTGAACAATGATTATATGATTTAATAGGAACCTTAATTTCTTTGCATACTATTATTTCGCATAAGACTCCCTCCTGTCGCCTGATCTCTACCCTGACCTCTACCCTGGCTGGATGAGAGTTTAATTTTGTGTATTTTTGAATAGGTCACAGAGTATAGAACTGATATTTTACCGGATGACGCTGATGACATGATGGAAGGTCCTCTTCGGATGGCCCCTATGAAATCATTTAGGATGGAAGTTATAGACTGCTAATAGTGTTTCACAGTTCAAACGTAGAAACAAAATGTAATATTTAAATAATTATACTGACAATTTAATATCATTCGTTCATGAGTCACCCCTTAGCTTACAATATCTTATGACATATATTACAGTAAAGTCCATTCTCTTTGCATACCATTTGTCGAGTCTTATTTTCAAATGTCAACTTGACTGTGCAAAAATTAACGAACAACATTAGTCAAGGTAAAATGCAGTAGTTTAATGTATGTTCTACTTATGTGTAACAGTTCTAACGGCTTAATTTAAATACTAAAACTTGGTGTTGGAGTTATTTTGTAGTAAAGCTGTCTCGCTAAATATATGAATTTTACACAGTTAAAAGAAAAACTAGTTAAAAACAACTCTTGAAAATTAACCTACAAATAAATATTCATCAACGCCACACTGCAAGATCAAATGCAGTGTCATTCCAATGAACTTTGTATGTGCAATAACTCAAAAATTACGTTTTTATCCAGCTCCCCTTTGTGAGCCGTACCACCACCGCAAATTTTCTCAATCGCCCAAGAAATGAAGATGTGAAATTTGGTCAAACTGAAGAAGGAAGCAAAACGCTCATTGTACCTCAAATTAGGCAAAATAATAAGCCCATTCCTTAGCTGGTTATAGTCATAAGAATCAAACTGATTTACGGACTGATTGAAATTTATTTTTCTTGTTCGAAACGAATCAAAATCGTGATTAGGTAAAATATAGCAACATGTCATAATTATGGATTTATTGTACAATACAGAGTTAAAGCGAGTCAAGACCATTTATATAGCGCTAGACGACTGATACCAGTGTAGGGTACCGTTTTAGTCACAGGTTAGACAATTTGTGTATGTACTTTGCATAAATAATTCGTGCGACAAAGTTTGTAAGAAGTAGCTCATATACGAAAATACCTTCATCAATAATAAAATATAGAGTGTCATGAGTTTCTATCGGCAAAATATATGTATGTAGATAGCGATCGAAATGACTTATCGATCAAGATTTAGTTCTTGTCGATTGGACAGCCTCCCTAAAGATTATACGTAATTGATATCATCTATGCCTGAATGTAATGTGTGTACTTTGATCGACCAGCGTAGTAAAACCCGTAGAAACCTTATTGTTACATTGTTATGGGATGTCAATAAAACATTTTATTTTGTAAAGTTATGCGATTGAGCTATTTATTTTGATTTTGCACATGGAATTGAGCGTGTAAATCGACTAACCATTTAAAAATAGACTCCTACGTTCTGATTTTAATGATAGCACAAATTTAACCTTAAACCATAAAATGCCCGTAAGAAATAATGTTCCATCACTTCAGACTAAATCATTAAGACGTATAGCGTGGGTAAGTTTCCTGAAATAGATATTTATGCATGAATCATCGAATTCCAGAAGTAAATACTTACTTCTTTCCGGAAGCATTCATTTGTCGATTATCAATTCAATTTCGATTTATTTGCAGCCTGATGCAATCCAGAGAAAGGCAGGATATTATTCTTCATAAATATTTTCTAATCAATTCACAACTTAATGGCCTTTTTCCAAAATAGGAAGTTGAAATGTACCCATGTGCAGAACAGTATTGTCGAGGTACGAAATAGTCTGCCTACATAATGTCACACTTAACTAATTTCAGATCAAAACTGCAAAACTTAAATGTATTGCAGATACAATTTATCGTTCCTACATTAACGACAACGTGCTAAAGTTTCGAAAATGGATTGGCCCGGAAAAGCTAAAAAGTATTACTAATGCTGCAGTAAATACCTGGATTCAACTTACAAATTACTATGAAGCTACCTTAGCCGATTTTAAGAACATGGATCTATTTTTACAACTACATCCAGCAGAAGTATTGGATTTTTTGCAAGAAGGATTTTTTATGATCAACGAAACTGACAAAAATATGTTTCTTAGATTTATTTTAGTTGTGCCATTACGATATAAAAGTTAGTCGATATTTCATGTAGGGTGGTCTATGAAACACGATGTCACGGAAAAATCGGCTTTTAGCACCCCATCTTTTACCCCTTTATGCCCACTTTTAGCATGTAAATGCAGCTGTCACTCAAACAGTTAACCTCCTACCTTCCATGCTGCCCCTTGACATCAGTTTTGGGCCATCCCTGTGAACAGATGCGTTTTTAACCTAGTCAGTTACATACGTGTTTTTTTAATTCAGATCAACCTGTCGATATAGCTGCTTGGAATTCAATTGTCGAGACCTTAAAGTCAAATGAAACAATTCAGAATGTCAGAGAAATTCAAATTCTATTTGATGACGTTATTAGTTCTTCTCCAAACCCATTGTTGAATCTCGACAAATACACCGGCTACGACTTTGAAAAAACTATGGACGGATTCAATAATCTGACAAAATTAGTCATTCGAGGTAAAGCAGCCAATGATGACCTCCTTCGTGCAGTTGGGGAACATTGTTATCGTCTTAAATATTTGGACATAAATGGAAGTGCGGCAACAAGTGATGGCATTCGCCTACTTTTCTTTAAAGACGTGGAATCTGAAAACAGGTACAGAGTGAGATTCAATCAAGCAATGGCGTGGAACATGCCGAAATATTTATTGAGACCGCTGACAAAAACGTGAGCTCATCAATGCATATGTACTAATATGTACATTAACAGGGATGCATAATTAATTACGATTGTCACCTAATAGGTTGGAATATTTCGACATGTCTCAATTGTTAAACACCAATCGAGTGCTTTGCAGCTCTATTTTAATGGCATGTCCCCAATTAGTTGCAACTCCAAATAAATTTTTCTTTACTCCGACTGGGAATACAAAAATTGTTTGCAAAAATTTCAACACCAGTCCAACGTTGATGCCCCTGAGACAAAGCTTGGTGCTGAATGTTCGAACACAATTTTGTGAAGACATCTTCTGCTTTGTGAGAGGTCTTTTAGCCTGCACGCATGCAATTTTACCATCATTTGAAGTGAGGATTGACGATATTGGGTATGAAGTTGGATTTCTGCTGTTTTCTGTAAGTCCTTGCATTTTATCATTACGTTTTGATTTTAACACATTTATTGTTAAAAAAAAATTTCATTTAGAATGAACGTCTTATTGCTTACTGCCAACTGGATCAACTTACCGTAATCAACTTCTGTAGCTACACGCAATCAGTCTGTCAGTTCATCCCTATTGACCTATTAGGTCATTTTGCACCAAATCTTCAGAGGATCAAGGCCCCCTTAAAAGGAACAGTCAGTGACAAGTATCCCTTAAACGATTTAAAACAAGTTACAATTTCAATGGTCTATGAATGGGAGACTATAAAAACTATTGTGAAAAAATGCCGTGAACTAGTTTACTTGGAAATCCGGGAGTTGCTTTATCATCCAAGTGCCGTAGGGGACGAAGATATCTTTCAATTGTTTGAACGCGGCTCTGAAAATTTAGAAGTTTTCCGATTATTGTTCAAAAACAACATTACTTTGCTCGGAGGTTTGACAGATATTCTAAAAACTTGCCCTTCCTTGCGGATTATTGGCGACTTAAAATACTGGAAAATAACAGAGAAGCTCTTTTATAGGCTACATAAGCAAGTAAATCTCCATAATTTCAGAATCGTAATAGAATATGATGGGGTATTGACTGAATTCTAATTTATTTCTGCCAATGGTAAAGAAAAATGTCCTCTCAGAATATATCACAATGTATCAGCTAGAATTAAATGAATAAATGGTTCCGTTCAATTTAAATTTTTTGAGGATTTGCAATTAAATTGGATACGCCAGTCAAATGATTTCACGAGATTTCATATATTGCGATACCTTAACATGATTACATCAACAGTACAATATTATTCTGCATCACCTGCAAGTCGATTTGATTAAAATACTGCATTACAAAGTCAATCATAGAGGATTTTTAATATGATTAATTTTTACGGAACAAGAATTTCTGGCAATGCAAAAATATGCAAAAATGTAATAAATAGACAAGGTGAACAACTCTTTCCCTGAAGGAAAGTCACGTCGAAAGGTGATGATACTTATTGTTAGAATTAGCCTTGCTTGATTTTAAATTAGTCTTCGTAGTATGAATTTTATAAAAGCTCGCGTTACTAAAAAGCTAAGCTGCTAAAATCAAATACGAACGAAATTACTTGACTATTAGTATCTTGGCAAGATTATTAAATAATAAAGTGTCAAATTAAAGTGATAAAGTGTCAAATTTTGACACTTTATCAGTCTATAAGGTTACGACAAATGGCCGAGTTACAAAATAAATTTACATTTTTATTTGCCCGACCCGAGGCAGGGCTTATGGAAACGTCATGTCCGTCCGTCTGTTTTTCGATAACTCTCTAACGAGCTCACCGATTGACTTGAAATTTTTACCATGTATCTATGTACATATTGGACAAGTTAGGAAACGAGTTCGAAGATGGGCGAAATCGGCCAAGTGGTTGACTGGTGGGGGTCATGTGAGTGGATAAAATTTCGAAATTCAAAATTGTCGTAGAAAGCTGAAATTTAGTACAGAGGTAGCTAATGACTTCTAATAGAAAAAATGAATTTAAGTTGGAAAATTTTTCATCTTGAGGGACTCCATGGATGGGGTGACTCATACTGGATTTTCAAAATGGTCATATCGAGATGTGGCTTATGGGGCCTAATGGAAGAATATGAAATGACATTGATAGAATTTTATTTTGAGGGACCCTATGGGGTGACCCATACCGATTAGAAATTGCTTGAAAAACATTAAATCCGGCACGGTGATACTTATGACTTCTCATTAAAGAATATGAAGTTAAAATGCCAAATAGTAGAAAATATCTAGCAAACATTTAATCATCCACACCACGGAGGTTGGTAATATTATCATGTCGGTGAATTCGAAAAAAATAGAAGTGAGCTCGGATTCACCGAGTCAGGGACAGAATCCCTGACTCGAGCTAAATGGATCCTGCACTGAAGATTTCAAAAAATAAGACCTGTTGAAAATATGTCATGGGTTATATACAATGGGGAATCTAATTTTTAGGCCTTTTCGGATGGGCTTATAGATTTGTCAAGATGTCTGTGCGCACGATAACTCTCTTTAAACACAATATGGCGACCTGAAATTTTGCGAAGTTCATCTTCGGGTCAAAAGTAAGGATGAGTTCAAAGACGGGCATGATCGGTTAGGTCGGTGGGGGTCTTTTAAGTGGTTAGGGGTTGACTGAAAAAATATTAAATGTCATAGAAAAGTCCCAAATTTGTAGTAGGAAGTTGAAATTTTGACAACGGGTGAGACCGTAGGGACTAATCCATACAGATTTTTCAAAAATATGCCACTCCACTAGTCAATGGTCGTTTTAACCGACAACCGCAACGCCTGACTCGGGCTAAATAAAGGCTGCACATTGCAAATTTCAAGTTTACTATTAGACATAGTACCCTCAAGATTTTTAGCTTAAAAAATCAATCAAAAAATTACGACGATTTTGTCCTCAAGAATTATGTCTCTATGTCTGCCCATTCAAAAGTTATTAAAGGTCAAAGAGTTGGTTCTCACGCCCATGGGAGAAGAACCAAAGATTTTAAAAAATAATTATTTTATTTGTAACTCGACCATTTGTCGCAACCGTTAAGGGAGACCCGTTACCTAGATACTTAATGTCAAGCAATCGAGGTATCTTGGCACGATTAACTGACATCGTTTCTATGGGGTTGGGGCCCCATAGAATGATAAAGTGTCAAATAATATTGGTATCTTGGTAATGGAAATTCAAATTCTGTAATAATTGCGTAACAAGTGACAACGGTGCACAATAAAATTGTATTTATTAGCAAAGTTATGCCACAGCATTTTTGAAGGGCGACACCGCATTGCAATTTAATTGAACGATGATGCATTTAACGCTATCCCTAAAGCCTGAAGTCATTTCATAAGGACAGAAATTTTTTATATTGCCATTCGTGGAGATGGACGCAATACGTGGCATATTGATCCACGCAGGTATTTGACAAACTCTCAACACTTACGTATGTACAATAATTAGTACTCGCATAGGTGTGCAACATATTTTAACATGGGTTTAAATTTTAAATTCCAAAAAGCAAATAAACATACCCTGCATTGGTTGAGCAGCTCTGTATGGACTCCCATCATCGTACTGACGACGTATTTTCTATTAAGCTTCGTGATAGTGCCAAAGATTGCAAAAGATCGAGAACCACTGCAAATGACATACTTTCTCCATTATTACAATGCTTTCATTCTACTGAGCAATTTTTGCTTACTTATTTACGTAAGTTTTGACGTATTATTTTCACGACTAACATTGTACGTGTATGTATCGTTTAAAAATATGACATATTCCACAGTTTTTGTATTACCAAATCACCGGACGTTTTAGTCCCATATGCCAAGCAGTTGGAGGAACTGATGAGAAATTGAATTTGGGAGTGAGAACTTTATACAAGCTTTATTTATTTTATTTTACAATGACCACAAATGCACTGTTTTTTTCAGCTTGCTAATGGATTTTTAGCATATTTCATATCAAAAATATTTGAGGTTCGTTCATACGTACACCTAGTGAAACCCTGTACGCATTTAACGTCGTTCTATTGAATAATATTGAAATGCAGTTAACTGACTCGATGATTATCATACTGAGACACAAGACATCTCAGAAAAACTGTCTTCACTTTTATCACCATTCTTCAATGCTGTTCCTGGTTTGGCTGGGCCTGCGATACTTTCCAGGAGGAAGCAGTATGTACATAAAACATAATAGCATAGATAATCATACAAAAGTTACAACATGTTTATTATTATTATGTGAATTATGTAATCTATATATTTGACTTTACTTCCATTTCAGGCGTAATATTGGCATCGATCAACACATTTTTCCACGTGATCACATATCTTTACTTTCACATCGTAACGTTACACGTAGGTGGAGCAAAGTTGTCGTCCTTTAAAACTGTTGCAACAATCAGCCAAATTGTGAGTATTTATTAATAAATAATAACAATTAATAAATTAATCTATAATTTGCTTAGGTGCAATTCAGCTTGGGCATCGCACATTGTATAACGGCTGCCATTAAAAACTGTGGCTATCCACGTTCGGTGTTGATCTTGCTGATTATTTATATTGCGTCTTTTATACTTCTTCACGTTGGTCGTGGTTATATTCCGGGACACATTATTTGCCAAGGGCGAGGGGATGATGACCTTTCACAGACTGTTCCATCAGTCACGCATTCACAACGAAGTCCAGCTCCATCAATTTCTTCGGCAAATTCGACATTTTTGCCACGGCCTGCCTCAATGCCTTCTGAAACTAAAACTGCAATAATAAAGCAATCGAAGAAACAAATTAGTGAATTTGGTGGTTCTACTAGCAAACAAGGGACTGCAAATAAATACAATGGCTCAATAGTGTCCACCGTAGATGGAGATGAAGACATTAGAGTAGTATCAACTGCAATGAATGAATTTGGGACGTTTTTAAGTAGAAGACAAAGACCTCGACCAATTGAAAATTCATTAGACCGATTAGTCGCCAATGGCATAAAACTAATTAGAGACGTAAAAACTAAAACTTTGTAATTCAATTTCCTCAAATAAGTCAATGTAATAAAGCTCAGACTTGAAAATTATGTATGCTGCATGTAATATGTAAATCCGGATATGATGAGCAACCCATTCAATTATGCTATGCATGTAGCAGATATGCTTGGTGATTCCAAGAAATAATATTTGTTTGTTTATATTAAACAATAAGTTTAACAAGTGCTGCCAACTGCAAGGATTAATAATTTCAGGTTTTGTGCATAAAATTCAGAAATCAATCGGTAGATCATTTTTAAGTATCGAATAATATGAAGACGTTGGTGGTATCATATCTATTACTGCTAAATGTTGTACGCATCACTGCAGGTATTTGCATTTGAGAATTATTCCACATGCAGTGATTATCCAGACCAAAGTCATTTTTTTACTCTCAGGTCCCGTGGTCACTCCAGCACTCCTTATCCCGCCCCCAATGAATACTGAGAATTTAGCCGGTCCTACCTTTAATTTTGTCCGATCCCGCAGACAGTCTTCAGGTAAATAGATAAATAATGAAAATAAATTGCATATTAGATTGAATTTCTTATGATAGAGTTAAACATTTGAAGCAAATTTCTTGGTTATTGTTTGATGCCATTATGCAGATGACAACGACTACGGTGAGGTGTCGGGTGACATACAAAAATCATCATCTCCACATCCACCTTCAGGAATGAAACCAACAGAAACTCCAAGTAAACACGAAATTTCAGCAAACACCAGCATCATAAACATGGACAAAAGCAAGGCCACGTTCGTTGACGCGTTGGTAAAATGCATGGGACCAACAAAACACTGTTCGCTGACATCGCTTAAAAGTCACATTTGCTTCCTTGCTTGCGTTGTCGATCCATTTCCTCCCATAAAAAACCTACTCAATATTTTCGAACCCGTCGTCAGGTCTCTCTGTCGACCAATCGGTACTATTTTTGACATAAGACTTGGTCGAATGCGAGATTATTTTGGAGATTTCCAACACCTTCCAACATATTCAGACATTCAGATGGATCCAGAAAGTTTTGCCTATGAGATGGATTCGCTATTATTTCAAATCATAAGATTCGGCAAGTCACCCATCGCAGACCTCTTAAAACCCGTCATTGGGACGCTCAGTACAATCTTGCAGGCATCAGTAACCCCTGGCGCAATGGGCATTCCCGACCTACTCAACCCCAAGTGTCACAGTTCCGACATTAATTTGGGGTTACATATGTTGGCCGATACTGCCATCTCGCACTCGTTCGCAGTGGATGTTCACCTTCCAGGATGGTTTATCGCCATGAACCTGTTCAACCTCAACCTGGGCCCGATCGAGGGAAGCATTCAAGCAATTACGGCAATGGCCAAGACATTCATGGGCACGGAATGTGACCTCGTTGGCTACTCCAACACGGGCGTCGTTGCTGACTGCAATAAGATCTTGGGGAAAATTAAGCCGCTTCCTAAACCGGCGAAAATTGATCAAGATTTCATTTGTGGTACACTCCCCGATTTGCCTTCGGTTGATTTGCATACGTTACTTCCAGACGTCGTTCCTTCCGAACAAGGCGGTGGTAATGGAGTTTAGACATGTAATTTGATCTATGCAGTGTGCTCTGTATGCTCTGTGCTCTTAATGTGGCATCGTTCATTACATGATTAAAAGAAATAAATGATGGAAATAGGTAGAGCTCGGTGTCAATGGTATCGGAGGATGTGGTCAAAATTTAAATTTTGTGGGGGACTAATTAATTTTAATTGCAGAAGTACATATATATTTGTCAGCAAAGTTGCGGTCATGTTACATATTGCATCGAAATATCACTTTGTGTTGATGTATTTAATTCTGGTATTTGCAATATACCGGAAATCTGAAAATTTCAGAGAGTTTTGTATGCATCCACGTAAATCATGCATTCACTTTCCCCATTTTAGAGAACAAAGAAGTCTCATCTCTACTGCATAGAAAAACATTATTATTTGTTGTTGGAAAATCCACTTCAGCTGTTCCACAATGCAAACGCAAACATTGCATCTACCACCACCACCAGATTAAAGAACCCAATGATTAAGATAACCCATTACTCACACATTGCATCGAAACATTACGTATACATACAGCATTTAACACATTCGTCAATAATCTACCGTATTCTGTTCGTGTTATTAAGCTGGAAATAATTCAGGAGGAAGATTGCATGACAATCTATCAAATGGTAGACTTCTTAAAGGACAGATTGAACGAGGGTTTGGGCTGGATAAGTGGTGCACTGCAATATTCACCAGGAAAAATGGACGATTCTGGTGACAAAGAAAGTTTATGGTCATCCGAAGATGGAAAGAGTCATGATATGTCGCTTACGGACGAGGCGGAAGAAAACTACTTTTCCTTTCCTATTGTACGTATATTCATTCAATTCAATGTTCTTATTTATTAGTAGACATAGATTAGCCAAGTATTTAAATAATTTTATCACAAACAGGACGATTCCTTGCTGCAAACCCCTGACGAGATTGAGGATGCCATCGAGAGAGTTAAGGCATTGGTTTTGGAGACGGAGGGTGTGTCTGAAGAGCGACGCAAATTAGTTCAACGCCTCATATCCCTCCGCCTTCGCCTTCAAGATGTTAAGGAAATTCAGGAAGAACGTGGTGAAAATTCATCGGAGGAGCTTCGAATCATAAATCACCATCAGTTTATCCACCAAAATCAAATCGTACATAGAAGCCCACAGTATTGCGATCGATGTGGGGGGATCATTTGGACGGTCGTGCAACATTGGTATAGATGCAAAGGTAAGGAGGAGACACAATAAATCTAAAATGTGTGTATACAAGAATGACGGATTTAGGATTTAATTATATTTACTTATTTGTATTTTTTTAGCTTGTTTGTTCCAGTGTCATTCGAAATGTTTGAACAATGTAATACGCACATGTGTAATTTTAACTGTAGGCATTGATACTGAGTATATTGCTCAGATTTGTCCTGAAGTAGGGTTGCCAGATCAAAACTTTACTTGTTTTGAGTGCAAAACAAGGTTTACATTGAGTAAGCTGCATTAATTTTGTAAATATAGAGGGTTGAATTTGAGAATAACATTATAATTTTACAGAAAATAGTTGGATGGAGCCTAGAATATGCAATTACAACGGGCGATATTTTTGTCCAATTTGCCATAAAAATAATTCACATAGCATTCCTGCAAGAATATTACATAATTGGGATTTCGAGGAAAAGCCAGGTAAAATCAATTAAACGATTTAAGTATGGATGAAATCAATCTAAAAATTCACGACTAATTTATTGGACTCTAATTCACTATTTAATTTGCAAAAATGTATTAATTTATTCGACAGTTTCGGAGGGATCAAGACAATTTTTAATTTTGATGGCAAGAAAGCCAAACATTAACCTGGATAGAGTAAACCCAAAGCTGTTTAGCTTTGTCGAAGATCTCAATATTGTAAAGGTATTTTTTGCTAGTCTAATTTATTGGACCAAATAATCAAGGGAGATTCTTGTATAGTGAATATCGACATATTTAAGTCAATTGAAGAAACTGAAATGATTTTTTTAGAGATACCGAGAGGACATCATCATTATGAAAGATTTTTTCATGACATGTCGTGATGCCGTTGCTCAAAAACTATTGCGACGTTTAGATGAGAAACAACATTTCGTTGAGTCAAGTTGTATGTATTCTTTACAAGATTTAATAGACATCAACAATGGGACAATGCTGAAATTCATAGAAAAAATTCACGATGCATTCGAACGTCATATCAAAGAAACTTGTCAGGTAAGGTCATAAGGAAATTAATCCAAATAATTAATAAGTACATGGCCATAAAAGCCATAATTAAACTGTCGCCATTGTTGCAGATCTGCAAAGGAAAGGGGTTTATTTGCGAAATTTGTGAAAATGAACAAGTAATATTTCCCTTCGATAGTGCCACCCATCAATGTTCATCATGCCATGCTGTCTTTCATAATATTTGCTTCGCAAAACGTGAATCATGTCCAAAATGCCTTAGAAAATCTCGTCGAGCTCTGAATGTTTTATAATTTGTTTTTAATATTCTCACATTTTAACTTTTAACTTTTATGTTTTTAAATTATTTTATCGCACACATATGCATGTAATGTAACTACTTTTATGGAAAACACATCAAATTTTATACTGGTACTTGATGTATCTATTTATTTATACTGACACTGATAATACAATAATTATCAAGTTTTAATTATATTGCATTACATTTTTCGTGTGATTTTATTTTGTAATTGAAATATGGCGATCGTAAGTAATTGTTCATTGCTTAATTTCGAGGTGGGCTGAAAGTGTAGCCAAACTGAGCGTTATACCGAAAGGCTGTTGTTGGATTAAGCTTGACATTATTGTATCCATTTGCGTCTATGCAGTAGTTAGTTCCACGACTCCTATAAAACGTCTGAGTAGCATGATTCCGGGGCAGAGGTCGTGAGGGATCAATTGGTGGACGATGTCCATAGTTTGAACTTGTGAGAATAGGAACCGTGCGACATGGGAATTCTTCCTATGCACACAAATATTCTCAGTAAATTCGATTGTCCTTTGAAATTTATTTACCAACTACAAATCATCGACAGTGGCGTATATGTATTATGTACCTCCAAGTCAATATTCATGTATCTTGTTGCATGTTTTCGATCTTCACGGTGACGGTATTGGTCATACCCATGGTAAAAAAGATAGTTGTAATCATACAATTGCTTACAGCAGTAATTACATTTTCCATTGTTGAAATATGTCAACGGATTTTTACAACTGCATTCAAATGGTTCAGCAACTATTACGTTGTCTTCCTCATCCTGCGCTCCTTTCTAAATTGTGCATGGACAAAATAGGACATATTAGAAACAATAGAAAGACGCAAGTTGTCAACACCATACATACCTTGCGAAGTCTGATACGCCAATTGTCTTCCAGCTTCCTCACTTGAGTCTCGTATGCCCTCATTTTCTGCCATGGCGTAAATTGTTGTGCCATTTTTGGTGATTTTAGACTACTGACGACTGATCGGCTAGAAAAATAAAAGGCTACGATTCATGCGTAAGCCTGGCCTTCTTGAAATCAAAGTGTGGTGCATTAAATATTATTCCTTTTGTTTGATTATTGACAGGGAACTCCGACTAGTAACGAGGTGCCAAATTCATGTTAACCTTTTAAAAACGGATTCCACCAATAAGGTGGAGGGCGATTTCGATCTCTTGGCGACGGACTACACCAATAAGGTGTAGGCCAAATTTTTCGCCTTGGCGACGGACTACACCAATAAGGTGTATGGTTACAGAATTCCGTTGAGACCGGGCTACATCAATAAGGTGTAGGAAAAAAATAAAAATAAAGTGACGAAGAAAATTTTCTCAGCTGCTCCATTCTTTCCTCCTTATTTATCGTTGGACTTTCTTCACGCTTGAACTGCAATTTTTGAGGGGAGAGCTGTAATTGGGGGAGTAATTGCATCGTGCTGAACATACAGCCAGCCAAAATTCCAGAAAAGATAGGAAAATATCCAGTAAGTGTTGTATATTTTGTTGTAATATGTATGTGCATAAATGTTAAATATTCCTCGAATATCGACTCAAATTTATTTCACGTTTCAACAGGTACTCTCAACTTTCGGAAATCATGGCTATGCAAATATCGGAAGGTGATGACGACGACCTCTACTACGACGCTGCTTCAGAAGATGATTTTGAAGCTGAGGACGAGTCTGACAGCGATATTGACGAGGTTTAATATTCTTTTCGTTTGTGACCATTCCTCGGATTATGACCTTGCTCTACTTGTTAGGATGAAACCATAAACTGGGATGAAGAATTTCGTCCACCCGTGCATAATTTCCAAGGTCCAGATGATCAAATAAAGGATGATTTTCGCCACCACTTTGGAACATCTCTAGACATATTTTTTCCACAGCCTCAAATTAGCAAGGATGTTGAAAGATCGTCTCACGTATGTTTTGGGGACTGTACAAAAAAGACGGAAAGGAATTCCAAGAGGTGCAAGGATGACTCGAAAACTCAGAAAAGGAGAGGTTGAAACCTTTAGTGATGGAGACGTTTTGATAGAAAGGTTGGTGAAATATTTCTATTTATTTTTTTTCAAAAATTTAGAACCTCTTTGTACATACAAGATGGCAGGACAGGCGGGAAGTGCTTATCCTCAACACTTTCATGCCCCATGGAATGACGGAATGGCCCTCCACCAACCCCAACAACCAACGAATGAAGCCAGATACAGTTTTACTCTACAACAAGACCATGGGTGGGGTGGACAATGTCGACAAAACGATAAAACCCAACCAAAGTCTCCGCAAGTCATACAAGTGGTATAAAAAGGTCGCATTTTATTTGGTCGAGCTCTCGGTATATAATTCAATGATTATGTACAATACGACCCAAAACGATCAAGTTGGATTCCGCCGTCTTAATTACGAAGCGTTCGTCAAATCAATAATCCACAACATTCTCACGAAGTTCCCCGTAGCACGGAAGCCAAGAGGAAGACCTTCCCAAAGCCGTGTCTCAGTACCCTTAGCGAATATGCATATTCCAGAACGAGTTATGAAAGAAAACGGTTACCCAAGCAAATCCGATTGTTTCCACTGCAAAACAAAATTGGGGAAGAGGACGATTACGCAGTTCAAGTGCCTTGCTTGCGAGAAACGTTTGTGCATTGGTAGCAGCGTCTTCAACTGTTTCAAATTTTATCATGACGAAATGGTAAGTCGAGAACATGCTGTTTATCTTTGCTGAGAATTTATGTAGTGTATTCACAAATAGTTGCAGTTATCGCAGCAAGTAGTGCCACTAGCGGATCGCAACGAGTCACAGAACACTGGACAAAATTCACCACGTTACGATTACAATAACTTGTTTGAAATATATAATGCATCCCAAAATCATGATAGTAATGTCATCAATGATGATGATTTACTGTTCGTTTAGTTAATTGTTGTACTACTATGAAAATCAAATCCCACTGTCATGTCAAAAATTTATAGTGTGTGCCATTTGGCTCAGTTATATTGTTGATTTATAATTGAAATTTCATGTTCAAAAAGTGTATAATGTTCTAATTATTGTTCGCGAATCAGTTCTTGGTTCGTAATAAATCAAAACTGCATAAGCAGAATATTCAAAATCGGTTTGCATTAATTCAGTCCCCAACTGATTTTATCACCGCCCCACAACTCGGTCTCAATGGTATTTTGCACCCCAGAAAGTCCGCCCTCAAGAGCAATAGAAACCATTTTAAATTCCGTTTTTAAATGGTATCCAGGTCAAAATTAATTAGTTTTTATAAGGTTAATCACAAAGAGTCACGGAATGTCATAGAAATGGTGACAAATGACAAATAACAAATAACACTTGAGTCCACGCTATTCCTATAATAATATGGGGTTTTCGATAGATACCGGAAGTTACCCGACTCAGATTGTCACGTATGCATATGAACGAGAATGACTTGGAGTCTAGTAGCGTAGTCATTGCACGCAATGCAATGACACACATATTGTGTTTGAATAAATTCTTATTTTCTTATCTCGTAAGTCATCAAATACATAAACGTTTACAATACATTGTTTTAGTCTATTTTAGCATCGACCTAACAACTGCCGCATTATAGATTCAGTGTTATCAGGACCGGTAACAGTATGCCCAATGGTGCGTTCGTCTTTAAATATCTCATAGTCATTTCCACCGGGGCTAGTTTTGTCGCCAAAAAAGTGTATCACAGTTGGAACATTTTTAAAAAAGTTGAGCGAGTAAGTTTTGTCCCATCCTTTTGGAAAAACGTCAATACTGGAAAATAAATTAGGCAAGTTAGTTAGGTTAAGTAATTATACAAATGCCGATCGTTCGATTCTCATGCCATGAATCAATATTATTTACCTGATTTGTCCACCAATGGAGAAATGCAAGTTAGTATGGGAAAATTGTTGTCTCAAATCTTCAACCATTTTGTCCCGAATGTTATGGATCTGGGAGTAAAGAACAATCAATGATTATTTTGATACTAAAACTTTAAACTACGTACTAGATTAAAAAAAATATTAATCTTGTAAAACCTTGTCGTATTCGTAAAATTCGATACGCTCCTCTTGACTACAGGACCTCCTGGCAAATAAAGCCATCCATGTAAATTGCTTCAAATCGTGAACTTCAAGATTAAAGTACGTTACCTACCCAATCGGACAAATGTTCATCATTCCTGCTCTCAATTCAATGAAATTTCCACGTTTTCGGGGTAGTTTCAATTTCGAAAGATACCCCAACACGTAGTTGGTAAATTCCTGCAATTGATCGTCACCAATGGCTTTGGACATGGATTGCGTAGCCTTCAACTCACCATTGGCGTATGCGACCAATCCGTTTTCAGCAAATACATAGTCAAAGTCTTTCAGAGCTAAAAAAACATAATAATATATGCACCATGATAAATGTTATGAGCACTGCTCATTGAGCAGGTTATGACTATCTGTACTAGATGATAATATCCACAACAAAATTCTCTGGAAGTACCTTTCTCGCCATTTCCAAGTTGTTCTAAAATCTTGACCAGGTCGGAACCTCCCACAATCCCAATCCTTACTTTATTTTTGACTTCCGATACCAAATACTGATAAAAATGGGGGCTGATAGTCTGAAAATAATCACAAGAAGCAATATGCATAAATAATTTCGAAAGAGAAATGGTTTTTCTCGTTTTCATGAAAGCACATATGTATAAACCAGATCCTTCCCAATGAAGGATTAGTTGTTCCAGTGAAAACGCTTGCGCCCTCAAAACCCCTCGTGTCGGATCTTCGTCTTCTCTTCCGTTGCGTTTGTTTACCTCCAACCGGATCCCACAACCAACAACTTTCTCCACTTTCACATTATTCGCACTCTGCTCTTACTTTCGAGAGAGAGAAAGATACACGCCACCCACTCTTCGTTTTCGTCCTCCTCCACACTTTCACCAGTTCTAACACACTCACCGTGTCGAATGTATATACACAAACCCTTCTTCTGATAATTTCTCCTCCGAATTGGTGCTTACTAATCGTGCTTGTAAATAAACTTTACCAAGTAGGGAATCGCAAACCCATGGTGGGCAGTGTGTGAGAGCGTTTTCATAGAAGCGATCGATTATGGGTAAGTAGCAAGAGAGATAAATTCAATTAGATGCATTCTCACCTGTCTTGGTTCAGTTAAGGTTCCATCCAAGTCAAAGAGAAACACGGTGTCATTCCGACTTAAAGCTGTTGATCCCATTTTAAACTCGGTCTGTTTACCGTGACCAGATACGCTGAAATATTTGAATTTGGGATTTTGTAAGTTATTAGTGTGTGACGACTTTAATGACAAATTTGGAAGATAACTTTCTAAGTAGCATTATTTAGTAGTTGGGCTAATGTATATCTAAAAGTAAATGTCGGGCTGGATGGTTTTTGGTAGATACGGGAGAACTGGGTGAGATACATACATACGCCCTGCAGTATAGCAAAATTGACACTTTGAGGTTTACTATATATATATATTTAAAAGAGATAGTCACTCAGAAAGAGCAAGTAAATGTTAAGAGGAGAAAGTTCAACAAGAGAATCATGCGAGCGAGCAATACGATGGCTTGCAATCTGGCTGCTCAGAGTCGGCTCTTTCTCCCAGCCAACCATTGCTGGAACTTGAGAGAAAGTTTTCACTCACCGACTCGCTCTCTCCGCCAGCTCAGCAAATCAATAAAACAAATACAAAACCGAACAGAAAATTTACGCTCACCTCGAAATAATTTGTCGGCTGATACAATTTCAACTTGTTCCGGTCCAACCGCACTTGTCAATGAAAAGGCTGGCGTGTTGTGAATTATGTATGTGTGTAGATACTATCTTTCACTCTTTGCTTCTTTTCAATACTTGGAGACTTGTAATCGATTTTACAAGTTCTACGTACGTACACTGCACTACTTACACTGTCCAATGATAACATTTGCGTTTCTGTTGACGTGTTTTAATCATCGATTGTCATTTACTTGGGAAAATAATGTTGGCAGGACAAACAGTTGGTTACGTTGAACTGCCACTCGGTGGAATCCACCCGGTGGATGTGGGAAATTTCAATGATTCTTGTTACACGGAGTCTAAATAAATGCATTGTAAGTAAGTACGATCCGATCCAGTTAGACAAATCTGGGTTAGAGTAAAGTTCAGCAGCAGAGAGCTTGTTACGCGTTTATGCACTGATTTTGCATGGACTGAGTACATAAGTGAAAGATGACAACTATTTTTTCATAGAAATTATAACTGAGGTGCTCTCTATAGATATTTCATAATTCCTGTAGTCCTTAAAAAGTAAAGCTTGGTGGAGTTTGTTGGGAAGTGGAAACTGCATGATTTTATGAAACATGGTTTCTTTATTTCCTAAATTATTAGTGCTTAGGAAAAGGTGGTGGCGAATTATTCTGCGTGACAAGTTGAAAAGAGTCACAGGCGTCTCAATGGACAATCTAAAATGCTCAGAACCCACAAAATTTACAACTTCCGAACAATAATATTCCCCTACTGCTTTTCCACCCGTATCCATTTTGTCGTCTTGTCCAATTCTTGAAATGCATGAACAGGTGTATCCATATTGTAGAAGCATTACTAAACATTTCAGTTTGCTGGGATGCAATTTAGCGTATTTTAAAGCAACCCGTACAGGACAATTATTTGGTTCATGTATTAAAGGATGGTTTTGACATGTAGTCTGGAGAAAGTACTCCAAAATATCGAAAGCGTTTTCGATAACAGCTTGACAAATAGCATCGTGTCTAAAAAAATGAAAATATTTAGAGGCCATGAGTTTGCATAATTTCAAATAAGTAAATTGACGTCTTCCTTACCCATAAAATCCAGAATGAGTAGAATCCGCTCCGTGGTTAATTAATAACTTTACAATCGTGAGGTTTTTCCATCGGGTGGCAGTTAGCAATGGAGGTTCATGGCGTCCATTTTCCAAACTTTTCATGTTGGCATCTGCACCACGTAATAATAAAAGATTTACAATATTAACGAAACCACACTTGATTGCGGTTGTTAATAAAGTCTCGTTCTTAAACCTTGTGTTTAATTGAGCAAGTTCATTATTTTTGCCAACGGTATCAATCATCGCCTCCAATGAAATGTGATCTCCTTTCTTTATCATTACATGCCATTCCCAGTCACTGAACATGGTGTTAATGCGGTGGTATTATATTTCTTGAAATAATTTATATTTAATCTTCTCTCCTCATCCTGCGCGCATTTTTAAGGTGTGCATGCATACAATATGCGTTAAACAACGATTTCTGACTTGTACATATATTTATTTATATTTTAACGACTTTGATATTTGACTGGTATGCACATACAAAGATATGTACAACTTGTACAAGGACTTGGGCTGGCAAAGTTCCTGTGTGAACTTTTGTGGTTGAACAAGCTGAGTTGACATAACTGTGAAAGTCAATATCAATATGTCAAGAATGTATATTAGCAAGTCCTTATCAGTGCTTAAGCAAAATGATTATCCAGAACACAAGGAAGCACAAAGTATGTAAACACTGTCAGTTTCGTTACATTGACAGTTGGTTGCAATTTTTGTCAAACTCGCCAAAACTGCTTACGTAATATGTATCTGTGTATGTATCACGGCTCACCTTATTCTTAGCAAACTTTGGTAATTAACTAAAACTCTTATTACTTACGCCAGTACGACAAAAACATCAGCCACGAACAAACGATTGGATTTGGTTGATACAAACACATTTTACATACCGACTGGATGACGAAGAAGCTAGACATGCAGGAAAGGATTTCATCTCTGAATATTTCTATTTTTAGGACAAGGCGTTACGGCATAGAGAAATGCAAGACAGGGGGATTCTTCACCAAGGGGTGGAAAAAATCTACCTTTATTTACTCGAAATTCGTTCCACTGAACAATTTACCCACGTCTACGAAGACCTGTATTATGCACTTATCCTTATGTAATTCGTGAAGACAAAGTAGAAACTGAATCCGACAAATGAAGAGGCAAACAACAAAGTGTTAAAAGAAACGTCTCATCTTTCTCACACTAGTCGTTCCTGATTGGAACACAGAACGATTGCTCTGCAGCGAGCCTCAGTTTTCCCATTCTGATTCTCAGTCTCAACGATTTGATCATAAATTCATTCTTGTGAAGTGATAATACATTGGACTACTGGACACAATTAATTACATATATTTATGAAATTCAGCCTTGATTTTGCACCCAAGTATTATCAGTGTCTGTATTAAGGAACTGGAATCCACATCATGAGTAAGTTATTTTCATCACTAATGAGATATTTATTTATTGAGCTCCGCTTAGTTTAGTATTTTGGTTGAGACTGATTTGTTGGTGCCTGGCTGATTAAGGAATTTGTTTGTATTAGTTTGATGACAGCAAGACAGTTTTATTTGCTTACAGACTTAAGTCGTGGAAATAAGTGGATATCGAGTGATAGGATTCTTGAATTTATTATTGGAGTTAGTCCAAAACATTTTTCTTGAACAAGAAAAGGAGGAAGCAATCACTTATTTTTTTATGCATACAAAGATGTTTGTTTATACCGCAGTCTGAGAGCGACGACAAACATTTGATTTTTCTTTCATACTAAAATGATTAATCGTTTTTGTATTTTAGATTCCTCGCATCCGAGAATGACGATCAGATCCTTGGGTCCTATTGGAGTGGTAACGGGTCCTGGTAATAATAACTGATAGCTTAATTATTCCATGATATTCTTGTGAATGCGTTTGCATATTTAAATTCATGAACACTTGCCAATAAATGTGTAGGTGGCCCAGTCGGAATTGGGATCGGATTGCCAATAATGTCCACAATGCCACATTCTCAAATGGTACCCCAACTGGGACAGTACCACCCACAAAAGAAGCTTGTTTCACCAGATTCTTCAGATGGCAACGACAAAATTGTGGCCCAACTATTTGCACACCATCGATCACCCCCAACTGTATCGTCACTGCAAAGCTCTGCTGGTGTTACACATAGCCCCATGACATGGTCAAACCCGTTGCTTCCCTCGTCCATGTCGTACCCAGTAATGGGGATGGGTGTGGGTGTTATGGGACCTACACATGGGTTATCTGATGCCAGCGTTCTTTATGGTCTAATTAGCCCAGCAGCAGCTGCGCAGAATATGAATATTCCAAACTCAACAATGAATCATCAGAACCAAGTTCTTGGGTTATCGCCCATGACTTCAAATGTCATCTCTTCTTCAGAGCAAGTGGGGAGCAGTGAAGCATCCTTTAGTGGAAGAGATCGTATAATATCACCTCCTCAAACTGCAGAGCCACAACCTGCAAAGGAAATCATTCACTGCAAACATGTGACATTATTTCCTCCAAATCCCTCCACACCTGCACCAACAACTCGAGAAAAGCCACCAGGTTGTAGAACAGTTTTTGTGGGAGGTTTGCCCGAATACGTGACCGAAGAATTGGTTAGAGAGCTGTTTGACCGATGTGGGGAAATTGCCAAAATTCGTATGTCGAAAAAGAATTTTTGTCATATCCGATTCGAACTAGAACAATGTATCGAAGCCGCAATCGACTTATCCGGCTATCGAATTCGAATCGGAAGTAACAGCGATTCACCAAATATTGGACGATTGCATGTGGATTATGCTCAAGCCAGGGACGATCTGTATGAATTTGAATGCCGACAACGACAACATTTGCGTGAACAAAGGCACAAGGAAAGAATAGTAAAAGAACGATTAATGCCTGCCAGTCCTCCAAACATTGCTGTATATTCCGATCATGAGGCGTCTCTAGTCGCTGAAAAAATTAAATGTAATAGAAATATTTGTGTACATATTTATCACAGCACAATTACCTAGCGCAATTGTTCAACGCGATTTCATTTCTGCATTCTTTATTTAGCTGACGACTCCTTTATCAAAGGAATCCACGTTCTAGCGGCCTGGCTCGAAAGAGGGGACTGTCTAAAAAAGAATTCAACGTCATTTTATTCCATGATTCAATCCACAAATCAAAAACGGTAAAAACAACTTATATTTGACGTGTGCGTTTTGGAACCCATTTTTCCCGATGATATTTCTTAACATGGGCAGACAAATGACTTATAAAGTTACACGAATACTCACAATACTCACACTTGAAGGGCTGTTCAGTAGTGTGAATGACTTGATGGGCGTCAAGTTCAGATTTGAACTGGAAACTTGCAGAACAAAGTTGACACGGATATTTTTTCTTTGATTTTGCCTTCTTCTTCTTATGAGTTAACAAATGTTTCTTTAAATCTGATTGTGTAAAACATATATACACACATTTCGAACATTTGAAGTTTTAGCCCGAGTCAGGGCTTATGGAACCGTCATGTCCGTCCGTCCGTCCGTCCGTCCGTCTGTCCGGCACGATAGAGCCAAAACGGCTGAACCGATTGACTTGAAATTTTTACCATATGCATATTGGACAAAGTTAGGAAACGAGTTCGAAGATGGGCGAAATCGGTCAAGTGGTTGACCGGTGGGGGTCATCGGAGTGGGTGGGGTATTATGCACCAAATTTCAAAATTGTCGTAGAAGGCTAAAATTGGGTACAGAGGTTGCTAATGGCTCCTAATAGATAAAAATGACTTTAAGTTTGAAAAATTTTCATCTTGAGGGACCCTATGGGATGACCCATACTGATTTTTCAAAATCGTCATAAAAAGCTGAAATTTGGTAGAGAGGTTGCTAATGGGTCTTAATAGAAGAATATGACGTGGAATTGGTAAAATTCTTATCAGGAGCGACCCTATGGGGTGACCCATACCGATTTTTAGAAATTACTTTAAAAACATTAAATCCGGCAAGGTCATACCTAATGGCTTCTCATGAAAGGATATGAAGTTAAAAGTGAGCGAATTTTAACCAGAGTGACCCTGGAGGGTAACCCATACCATTTTTTAAGTTTAATTTTTTCCATCTGAAATTTGGTACGAAGGCTAAAAACCACTTCTTGATAGCAAATATAGCTGTGGAAGTTCAAAGTGGTAATATTATGTCGGTCAATTCGGAGAAAAATTTAGAAACAGCTAGGACTCACGGAGTCAGGGACTCTGTCCCTGACTCGGGCTATATGGAGTCTGCACTGTAGGTTTTTTGATTTTAAGATGAATACAATTAACATGGTTTGAAAGAGATGCAGCAAACCCGAATTTTGCATCACACAAATTACATGAAAATGGGGTTTCCCCTGTATGCACAACTCGATGTTGGGATAAGGTGGTTGATAAACAAAATTTGACCCCACACTCTCCACATTTGTACGGCATTTCCCCTGTATGAGTCCGCACATGCTTTTTAAAACCGCTGCCACGTCTAAACTCCATCTGACAATATTCACAAATCCAAACTGTCTTCTTAACGCATTCCGGTGGTCGTGGTGCTGGAGGAGTGAAAGTAAGGGGTGGTCGTGCAGTTGGGTCGTAGTTTGCAGAGTAAATGGAATAATCATCATATTTCTGTTCATGAAGGAGAATCCCGATGCACAATCAGATTCGGTCCGAATGCGTTCCACGGGTGGCTAGCGAATTCGGCCCACATGCGGATCTTGCCGCAAAAAGATTTCGCCCCGAATGCGTAACCCGAATTCGGTCCGTATGCGACTTTCAGCATTCTATGCGCTTTCGGAGTACAGCTTTCTATCCGCGTGCTATATATCTCACTCGCTCCGAATGATATTTCCCGAATTTAAAATAATTAAAATACACAAGTCGAAAGTTCACAAATCAATTTACTTTATTTAATGTAGCAACGGAATACATATAAACTTACATTTATATTGCATCCTAATATACTGACAAATTATATCATTTTATAATACCACCTAGAATGGAAACTTACTTGAAAATTTAAGAAGAGAGCTTTGGTGTTTTCCCAGCTCATATCGGATACAACATGATTGGTTTATTTTTGATTACTTTTGACTTCCTGGACCTGATGGCCAAGAACACTGGGCACTTATTGGCACTTAACCAGTTTGCTGACACATCCGAAACCAAAGTTTTATCTTCTTCTACGAAAACCACGGCAACGGGTTTATTCTTTAAACTATTCACTGTTTTCTGGGACGTTGAGTAGCGAAATCAGCGACCGGTGCTAAGTGCTAATAGCGAAAGGCATGGCATATAGTTTTTAAAAACCCCGCTGCTGAGCTGAGCTCGCCCCGCATTCGGGCCGTAGTCGGCAGCAGAATTCGGATAGCGAGAGAAAATCCGAATTCTGCTCGATAGCATAAATTTGTCGGTTAAACGAAATCTTTTTTTAGCTTTGAAACCGAAGGTGGCCCACCCGCTACTGTGAGTTACTACATAGAATCTGAAATTAGAAATCTATCCGTAGTCGTAATTGAGGCGATAATTTCGGCCGCCTCTAAACCGAAAACATCGTATGCGGGACGCATTCGGGCCGAATCTGATTGTGCATCGGGAAAGTATAACTTCGACAGGGATATAATTATGATGCATGCTCTGTTATGACATAGATATTTACCATGTCTGCAGAGAAGGGGTTGAAAGTACCCACTACAGTCATGGAGTCAAGGTCTACGTTCCCAAAAGCAATTTGAAGGGCCAACTAAAATAAATTTTCATTCATCATCATCAATCAATTTATCATGCGACATAATATTTAGTTAAATTCACCTCATCTGACACATATTCACCAGCAAACGTGAGACAGGCAGGGTCGAGATCAGTGGGTGTCAAAGGGACAAGTTTCCTCTCTGTCCAGTCAAACACTAGCTGGTGTAACAATGTCCGTTCAGCCATAGTCATGAGCTCTGCATCTCGGCCACTTCAGGGATCATGTCAATGACTAGTTGGATAAACTAGAATAACAAAAACAACCGCATTAATAAGGATGAGTTCAATGCATACTAAATAATGTTATGAAGAACCAATATTACTTCATTAAAATGACGGATTTTAACATGAGGAATCAATTTTTTCGCCGCTCCGAATCCTACGCCATACGGTGATGAGAAGTAATCGGTCCCTGCGACCAGACATGTCCACCTTACGACCTCCTCAAACTTATTTTGATTTTTAAGTTTCAGAAACTTAACAAACTCTGACTTTTGGTAAAGAAGGCCGTACCCCTCCGAGTCAAGTTTGTAGAGAGTCTGACAAAAACAAAATTGATACTTAATATACTATGTATTCTCATGTAATATTTCCATCTCACGTCATTCATACCTCGCACTGATGCATAATGAAATCTGAATCCTCTGATACGACTACATCAATCATCCCAGATCGAAACATGTTAGTGAGTTGGGGATCAGATTCGTAGGGTGACACAATGAAATTAACTTTCATCTTGATGAACAAATCCTTTAATTTGGGTACAATGGCTGTGAAAGGCTGCACTTGACCACTTTTTTCTTCGTCCTCCTTGTCACTGTCAATTTCCTCCTCCGATTCACTTTCACTCATACTTTCCTCAGGTTCCTCTTTGTCGTGACTTTCACTTTCACCATCCTCCTCCTCGTCCTCAACTATTTCACTTTCACCAACTCTTAAATCGTGAGTAGTGTCCTTCGCAATAGGTCTCCGTCCGTCCAAAACATAAATACATTTGACATTGTATTTGGCGAATAGTTCGATCTGATTTATGAATAACTTTATAGTTCTGTCAACATTACCACAACGCCACCAGTATTTATGTAAATATATTGAAGTGTCGATACCAGCTACTTTACCACTATAATCACGAATGCACAAGGGTTTCACGAACAAAGTCTAATAGGCCGGCCACCCCCATTGCAACTCTAAACTAAAAATTAAACTAATTTTTGGGGAACCACATGAAAGCCGGTACAACGTACTCCCACTTCCAAGTGCAGGATACCCCAATTGGTTCTAATGTTATTGTTTTTGTCTAAAATTCTCATGTTAGAAGACGCCTTCTAAACGAAAAATCTCAATATGAAGACGAATTGCAGAAAGCCAAGGAGCTCATGAGACAAAGGATGACTGGCTTGCTCCTCCAATGTACGGAAATTTACAGCGCAAATATAAATAGTCCATGTATAATTTAATTACTAACCATAATGCTAATTAATTTTAATATATTTTCAGTTAGCCAAATTGAAAAGGTATGAACAGCATTCTAGACACGCTGGATAACCATCTTGTATTAATTATTTTCTCACTTGTTCGAATTAATCCAAACCGTGTTTAAAATTGTGTAGGTTTTCATGTCTGCATGCAACAGGAAAGCTTGGGATCATTTTTCAAAACCTCAGAGGAAAAATATTGAAATGTGGCATAAACAAGCGACTGAAATAAAGTCAGCCCTCCTGGAAGAAGCGTTAGCAGAAAGAAATGAGGAAGAAATGGATCTTTCGGAGAGTGATTCCGAGAATGAGATTGACAAGCATAACGAGCTGGAGCTGGATCGCAGCCGCATCCCCGCAAAAAAACCAAGATGGGAAGATAGCAAAGCCGTGAATCACTTACAAGTACGAAAATTCTTGACACAAAAAAACATACATATTATATTTTGCATACGAATTTCGTCTACATTCATTATCATAACATCGTACTTTTCTTGACTATTTTTGTCTCAGGAGGAAAATGATAGCCTCCGCTGTCAATTAGAAGCCTCCTATAATGAAGTGGACATGGTGAAGGCGGATCTTAAGTCTGAAATAGAAGTCAAAGATGGAGAATTAAAAGTTCTTCAACATGTATGTGATGTTACATGGTTATAATTATGCACATTATAAAATCATTGTGTACCTATGTATGATCGTTGTAAAGTCTTAATAGAAATGCAAAAGTTTATTAAGAGTTTCATCTTGTAAATACTTTCAGAAACTGAATGAGCAGCAAAACTTGTTGACATTACATCTTGAATCTCATCAGTCGACAAATATAGGACGCGTTACCACGTGTCATTCTCAGGATTCTCAAGATTCTCCAGGACAGGAAAATCCTGGACAATGTGATAGTAGCAGTTGTAGTTCCGTGATAGCTTGTAATAATTTATTGATGAACCAATCTCAGCAAAACAATCAGTCCAGTTCCATTACGGAGGAGGATAATCATAAAGGTGCAAACGCAACAGTTATGCTTTCTGAAACGGATGCACGATTGATTGGAGTAATCTCAACATTTCTCCATGTTCACCCCTTCGGTGCTAGTCTAGATTACATTTGGTCCTACACTCAAAAAATTGTACCAACTATTCCTGCCAACCATATTGAAACGTTAATATCCAAATTCCCAACACTTTTTCGACAGGAAACTCACGGTGTTGGTGCTACTCTGGAGAGAAAATGGGTGTTTATTGGGTTTAACATGTAGCAATGTGTACAAAATTTAAAACAATCAGTAATGTTATTCTAAAAATTGTCAAGTTAATTGTACTTACATGCATATATGTATGTATGTATGTATTATAGGTAGACAACATTCCAGTTTAATTTATTCTCTGAACTTTTGTACAAAATTACGGCCAATCGCTTACGTATTATTACAATAGTATACAAAATACCCACATAAAATGTGACGAAATGTACAATCAATCAATAAACTCGGTCTGATACATGTGCATATACTTGTATACATCATTACGGTTATGGTATAATTTTTTCCGACATTTGCTTAAGAGCCATGTCTGAGGACAACTCGGGAATTTCGTCTGCAATCGTGTAAATGTTTTGCATCTTTCGGTTGAAATCGTCTTTCAAAAGATCAAAGTCTTGGGACGTCGATACCTGAAAGTAATAATATTTTTGTATGCGCCATTATTTGAAGTTTCTTTAGTTAGAATATTTTACAAACCTGAGCAATTGTTTTCGCAGCAATTGCTATTTGCAAAATAGAGCTGCGTAATTCCGAGATTTTTGCATGCTTCTTGTCATCAACTTCATATTCATTATTTGAGTCCCTCCCTGCGTTTTCTAGATATTTCTCCAATTCCATTTTAACACGGGTTTGAATTTCTTCTTCAGATGGACAAAATTTGTGCGCAGCTTTCAGATCAATAATTTCCTTCTCTAGTTCTGAACTATATTCCAACTGTTCTTGAAGTAATATTTGTCGATCAATTAGTTCCTGAGTCATTAAACGATACTGGAGAGATTTTTTATGCAGTATGGAATTTTCTTCTTCCAAAACCTTCATTGCAACTTTCTGATTTCGATACTGATTTTCGAATGTATCGATTTTTTCACGCAATGACAGATTAGTTTGGCTACTATTTTCAAGCTATATAGATAGGTGCATTATAAAATTATGCGAATTTATTTCACAATTTTTTACATGCATTACAAGTGTGTAAATAAGTTTAAACTTACTTCATCTTGTAATCGTATGTTTTCAGCAATTGCAGACTTTACGGTGGCAGTGAGACAAAGTTTTCCAGCCCGTTGTACATCATTGGCCATCTTTTTTACCATTTCAACGGATTCATTTTTAATACGCTCGCGATATCTTATGAGATTGTTTTCTAGCTCATCATAATTTCTCGCAAATCGATCACGTTCCTCTTTCAAAATTCTTTGCAACTCTTCACGTTCAAAAGTCAGCTTGTCCTTTTGAACTCTGAATTCTTCCAGAGCTGTTATGTTGGCGTCTAGTAATGGAACAACAGTAAATACTCATGCAGAAAGTGTACACTATAAAAATAACGTTCAAACACCCAGCACATATATGTACATACTAAATATGCATTTGACAGAACTAACCTAAATCCTGAATTTTCTTGTTTAGATTTATTTCCATCTCTTCAAAGCATTTGTCTTTTTCCTTCAGTTTTTGCTCATATGCACTTCTCTCTTGTAGCATAGACTAATAACACGTTGCAATAATATGGATAAGAAGCATTTTAGTTACCTCTTTTGGAAAATTCGTACGGCAATTGTACATAATGCAATGACACACTGACTTACCAAATGCGTTCCATATAACCGATCTTCAAGTTCTTTGACGTTGGTTTTCTCTGCATTGTAAGAACGTTGCAGGTGAGACACCAAGTCCTCTTTCTCCTCCCGTAGATCTTCCAGTTGCACTTTAAAGACTTCATTTTGACTGTCCAAATACTCGGACTTTCTCTGCAGACTAAATACGTGTAAAACAACAGTTCATAGCTTGAGAGATATAGCTAAAGTGATAAAGCTAGTGGACAGTATACCCTAAATTTAGAGTGGTCAATTCCTTGATTCGAATCTCAAAACAAGTTTTTTGGAATTCATACTCGTCTTCCACAGCAGCTTGTTCTTGTAACGCTAGCTCCTCCATTTCTTTCTTCTTTGCTGCGGCTGCAGCTTTCTTTTTGCCTTTTATGGGTTTGCCCATGTCGGACAAAAGATAAACGGACACGCAAATTGAGCAGAAGACCTAACAAAGTAATTTTATGAAGCTCATAAAAATAGTCTGCTATAAACCCACATATAAATGTAATTCGGGTGTTTGATCGATGCAGCGGATGTCAATGATGTGCGTGTTGCATACATACGTTAATTAACCAATGGTGAAATTGAATGAAAGCAGCCAAAGCAAAGCTCCAGTGAGTGAGTATATAGTGACAATAATTGCACCTCATTACCTCACTCACTGTGTTAGACAAGACGTCAATGCACATCCGGTTTGCATTCGTATTTTACTTTTCTTTTAAACTCCAAGAAAGTTACCAGTAAAAAAGGTTTGCAAAGTATAAAGTTAATAAATACAGCCAATCGCCTTGCATTGCCATTCATGCAAATGTAAATGATTTGTCCTTCATTTCCTTTCACACAATTCTACCGAGCCGACCAACCCTCTAGAATGAGTTCATTTATTGGAGTAAAGTAAAACATACATACAGCCAGAAAAAAACTCAATTTATTCCAATATTTATTAAACGGATCGATAAAATTGACACAATAATCGTTCGCACTACTTTACATACACACACACAAAAACTACAATGCCATTTTATCGTAAAGGAGAGCATCCTCGTCATTAGAATGAACGATGACATGGCATGTGTGTAAATATTACGGCGTCTTCTTCATACTACGAACGATCTCATCGTATCACCATCATCCTCCGCACTTTTGCGACTAACTCAAATAATAGGTCACCGTGGTTTTCCTCTCGCAGTCTCACTCTCCCCATGCCGCCCTCGTCCAACTCCCCCGTCCACGAGACTGGTGGCAGACCTTGGAGGCCGATCGCCAGCTCTGACAAGAAAACTTTTCGCACCAAGAATCCACCTAGCCGTATTTTAGCCTCAAACTCTTTTCTGGCTGACTTGCGTGTGTGCGAGCTTCGAGTAAAAATGGCTTCAGCATTGTGAGGAATTGCGGGGGAGCATCCAGGGATGATTTCACGTGGTAAATGCTATTCAAGAGTGATTTGCATAATTGGGGCTGGGATGGTTGGACAGCCCATGGATTTGGTGGTGGTGGAGGTGTATTGAGTGGCAGCGGAGAAGATCCTAGAGTGAAGTGAACAAGTCCCTCATTTCTATTTGGATGTTGAAAGAAGAAGGATCTCCGTGGCACTTATCGATAAATCAGCGTAAAGAGTTTACCACACGCACCAGATAACAACAACCTCTCCTCCGACGGCACACCCACCACTGACACCCGAGAGGTCGCCCCATCAACCTCCCCCTCTATTCTCGGAGCAATAATAAGTGGCAACCGCCTTGCTAAATTGTAGGTGGGCCGCTCTTGATTGATACAGTTACAAATTAATTATCTTCAAGTCATAATACTTGGATTCATGATTGGTTGTGGTGGGAGAGTTGCTAGTCCTTGTTGAGTGCTGAAGAATATAGGGCAAGGTGCAGAGGCGAGGGGAGGATTTTGTAAAATGCTTCTAACGTCCGAAAATAGTACTCTTAAAGGGATTGTATTTTAGGCGGGTATTGAGTGACATTGACTTTTAAACACGTGACAATAATAGTTTCGAAATAGGTCGGAATCATTGTGTGGTTTCCTTTTCACTTTTTGAACGTTGATATTCCTTATTAAAACAATATTTCGATAGGAAACCCTGATCGTATTTATCATCATCCGTAGATATACACATATGTAGAAGGCGGGAGATGGTCTTTTGGTGTTATACTGTTTTTGTTTTCGCAATTAATTTCGCATTGTTTCGTAGATTGGGGTATGAACTATCAAACTACTACTATTCTCAAAGAACGACTAGTTTAGTAATGGATATGCATATATATATTTACATTGTTTATATTTATTGTATATTTTTGCAGATCCCAATTTGGAGAAGTTGCTCCTTGTCGCCGCTGCCTTATTCCTCACGGCTTGTTTAATGGTTGACTAATTTGTGGGGTTTATTTGCCTCCATTGTTTGCCTTGTTTGTATACATTCTATACAATAAATGGTTTGACCGACAGCAGAAAGAACAGATTCTTGTTGCGGTGTTTCCCAGATGTATTATGTAGAAATTGAATATGCCCAGTCCATCACCCTCAGTTCCTCAGCCGACAGGGAACATATTGGTCAATGGTAATACTTTTTAGTGTAAAATAACCAAATTGTAGAAGATCTGACATCTATTAAATTAACTACGTACGATTAAAATTTAATCGGTTGGTTGATAATATTCTAGGTGCGAGTTCATCTGGGAGCAAACTACCTGTCACGACCACTTCTGGTGGGTTCATAACTAACGGAATTCGGACGATAATACCATCATCGGCTGGTACTGTTTAAAAAGATAACTTAATTTTAACTTATGATGGTAATCAATAAATAAACTCAATTGTTGTGTTCTTTGTTGATATTATATATAGGAACACATAGTTTACAAAATGGAATAACTCGTATTGTGACACCACAAGGTGTACAGTTTCCAATAGGTAGCATACCTCAGTCAAATGTGTTGCAAAATGTCGTCAGAACTGGACTAAGTGGCATCAATAACATACTAAGCACTGGGGGTGTTACTCCAGGCATTAGACAGGCCACTCTGGGCACTTTAATTAGTGGAGTAGGCGCCAACAGTGTCGCCGCCGGGAGCAGTGGTGCTAATATTATTAGCTCCCTGCCACCAGGAGCAGGGCCAGCTATGACCGTTAATAACAGTGGTGGTGGAGCTACTCCTGGTCAAGCTGGTCAAAATCAAACTGTTGTGCTCTCCAAAGGGACTGGTGTTACGACGATGACTTCCACTGGGACAATTGGATTAAGTCAAAATCCATCTGGAGGAGCTTCGGCCAACAACAACAACGTTACTAATAATCAAGGTCAACCCATCACGCTTGGCCCTGGAGGAGCAGGAGGGCTGCAGATTTTGAATATGAACAATTTAAATGCTGCAAGAGCAGTCAATGTTGGTGCTGTGAATTCTGGAGGAACGACAACTCATCAGATTGTTGCTGCTGGTCCAGCGGGGTCTAAGAATCTGGCTCCAAGAATGATCATTAGTCCTCAAGTATTGAATACAAGACCTGGTCAACCTGGGGTAAGTTCATCGTGCAAATTTGTATATATATACATAAATATTATTTTTCCAAACGATGAAACCATGAAATTATTATTTACTCTGACTGACTGAAGATGCAGTAGATGATGATGTTGACTTTTTCTCTATTCAGTACGTCAGATTGACTAATATGAAAGTAATATCTTGTGATTGATATTTATTGTTTGACAACGGGTGGGAAGCTTTGGATAATTGTTGAAATATATTATCCATCAATTCGTATGATGAAGTGAACAGACAGAGCTTACGGAACAAATAATATGCACACAACAACAACAGTCACAACTATTCAAGCCATTTCAAGCTAGTTTTTAAAGTTTATCAAAAGTACTCGGGATTATTGGGTTGTTTTGTTTTACTTAACACTCTCTGTTTTCTGTCGTCGTCGTCATCGTACTACCTATTTTGATACACAAGTACCACTTCCTCCTGTACCCTGTCACTTTATAAACTGAAATTTCTCCTACTGGGTATTATTATACAGCTACGCAAATGCAACACTTACGATGATCTAGTTAACTGTATGTGAGAGAATTGACGATGAATTGATATTATTGATTCAACTTTCAACTTTGATTCGGGGAAGCGGGTGCTTAATTTAAAAACACGATTTTATTACCTTGCATTAACTTTTTGAATTCATTTCATTTCCCTAAACAAACCGAGGCATATACTTGTATGCACATACATTCAAATGTATGTGCATTTAACTGTTACAATTCAATTTAATCAAATTTAGTACAGCCAATTGAGCTTAATGTTCAGCCAGTTCTTGTCGTTTGTCTTTAGATTTCCATCGGATGAGCTAAAGTTTTATTGAGTTTCATATTTAGCATTTCTTTAAAAATACAAGGATTTAGTTTCTACGACTGATTTATATCTCCTCACCACGAACACAATTATATTTCCTAAACATTTAATTGATGATAATAGGTTGACGAGTATCAATCTGAGTTCTCTGAGTTTCTCGTGCCAAATTGTAAGAGTCTTAGTCCTCCTAATGCAAACAACGGTGGTATCATTGTGGAAGAAGGCGAAGATGAAAGTTTGAGTACTAACTGTAATGTAATTATCGACACGGTCAACGGCAATTCGCCAACAAGGATTATTGACTATACTGACCAGTCAGGCCAAGATCTGGGTTCGCCCACGACGATCAGATCTCCTCAATCTCAATCTCCGTCCTCCAAAGAACCCTTTTCCCAACCCTCCACTCACGACGTCCCTCCTTGCCTCAATGTTGCTCCCCACTCCCCAAGGCCTGTAGTTATTCAGAGTAGTAATAACAACAATGATGCTGACGAATGTGGAGCTTTAGAAGATCAACAAAATCATGACGTGACTATTGTGGAGGTGGTCTTAGCCCACGAAAAACAGAATATAAGTTGTAATAGTAGAAATAGTAATAGTACTAATACCAAGTACCTAACCGAAAAAGTATCTAATATCGCAGTAGTAGACAAAATGAACGCTAGTAATGATAAGGACGATATTGCCTTTGAGACAAGTAGTGATAATGGTGATCCCGAAAGTCACGGGGATATTATTTATGCACGTGGTGAAGGTAGTCAGGAAGATTCAGAGGATGTCAAGGTTTTAAATTTGGAAGGTTCGCCGTCTAAAGTGCAATCTAAGGGTGAAGAAGGTGACGAATCAAATACAAGTTTCACTGCGGAAACAAAACACCATGAAGAAAATGAGACAAGTGGAGTTGGTAGTGTTGAAGGAGGAGATAATGATAATGCGAATTCAAACTTTCATGATGATGAGTGCCCAATCCAGCAACGGTATGAAAATCCGTCGGATAACTTTTCAGACTTACTTTTTACAGCTCCTCAAAGCTCACCCACCAAACCAATCAACAGAAATGACGAATTCTATCCTAATTCAAGCGATGGCGATTCAAGTACCACAAGTATAATTGTACACGATACGCCCTCATTAGCACCACATAGCTCATCAATTTCTAATACCAATACGGACAAGGACGGCGTGCCAAAGAAAGAATGTTTCTATGCTATTGGCATTCCTCGCCGGTCATCTTCGTCCTCAGTTAGTTCAGGTCGTGATAGCAGTCCATCCCATTCCATCAATAATATTGCATCCAGTGACAGAGCTGCAAAAGTTTCTCCAATCTGTCATCAACAAGAAGGTGCTTTTGTACAGCCGCAACAACATTCTTCAGGCGGGCTATCCCGGCAAACATCTCAAGAAATGCAGTTTGGCGAAATTGGAACTCATTATAATGTAGATAGAAATGATCCAACGGCACCGGGTGGAATTTTCACTACAGATCCAACCTTGCAATCACAGTTTTTACATTACTCCCAAATCAATCCTGTCACTGCCAGTGTCCTCGCTCCCGCCCCCGTCGGAACTTTCCGTTCAGAGGATAATAATAGTAATAATTCCTACGCCGTTCACACTCCTGTGATAAGATCTAATCAAGTTGCTCCTTCTACACCCCCTTCTTCAATTAAGAATTATAATTCACAAAGTTCTCCTAAAGTGGTGGATACCTACACCGGCAGAAATAATCCAGTCCAACAACACAGTGCATACGAACAAGATTATCAAGGGGGACTAACTGCTCCTTCTGCTCGAAGATTGTTGTGGTCGTCATCATCATCGTCTCAAGGCAATCTCGGAACTTTAAATTCATCCAACTCTGGTGGACAATTGCCTCTTTCATCTTGTGAATATGCACTCAATTCATATGACGCTCAAAGCCAAATTAATACATCACCATCAACAAGGATGCCTCATCATCAAGAGTACAATACATATGTTAGTAGATCTCACCAATCAATTCCGCCTGTACCAGATCTTTCTGGTTCATTTGCTCAACAACAATGTCATGTAATGGGTAGGTCGTCCCATAACACAACTGCTCCATGCCAGTCACAAGTGCCTCCAAATCGATGGATGTCGATAACGTCTGGCGACGAAGGTGCTAGTCACATCACAACTTCAAACACACTTGGAAGTCCCTCCTCTAGTAGTGGAACACAGAGAAGAACAAATATTACTGAACCTACTCCATTTTATAATCCGTCTCATCATCATCATAGTCAACCAACTGCTCATATACCTAGACCACCATATTATGGGACCCAGTCATTAGCACAACGCCCGCCCCCTGGTCATCATCATAATATGCCAATGAACGTGGTCCGAAATTCCGTCCCTACAAATGTACAAATTTCGCAGCCTCCTCGACGTCGTATGCCATCGGATTGTGTTTATATTGATAATAATCAAAAGCCTTCATCATCATCGGTGCCTACTCATTCTAGTCTACCTCCTAATATGACCAGTCCGTATAATAATAATCCCTCGGCGGCCGGATCTGTAGTAGTAGATCATTCACAGATGCCTCACAATACGGACGGGTTTTGGCCAGTTGGTAATCATCCTCAACAACACCAACAACAACCACAGCAAACTGTCTTACCAAATCCTAGTTATCGAAACCAGCCAAGTAGTATGCAAAATGTACAACAGTATTATCCTCCAAGCCACCAGCAACAGTCAAGCAAACAATCTAGTGGTGCTAATTATGTATCTAATATGCCAAATCAAAGTGGTGCATCGTCATCATATTCTCATCCTATTGTATGTAGAGTTCCTCCGATAAGGTACAACAGGTATCCAGGACAGGCGACGGAAAATTATCCCTCGCAACAACATGGTCTACCACCTCAGATGCGTTACAGTGCAGGTAGTGGAGGAAGTAGTAATATTAGCCAGCAGGGTGCTAGTAATCGAGGTAGTAGCAGTGGTAGTAATAGTTTTATGAGAGGTACTGTAGCTAACAGTTCAATGGTAACTCCTCGGCCTCCTTACAATATGGGTTATCCTCCTCGTTCTTCTCCTTACTATCCTCACTCATTGCCCCCTAATAATTCTGGTCAGTCATTTAAGCCGCAATATTATGAGGGGGGTGGCGGCGGCGGCGGCGGCGAAAGCTTCCAAGGGGGGTACAGCTCAAACTTCTCCAGTTGTCAGCATGATGAATTGAGGAGATTAAGGCCGGTACGTAATTGACTGTTTTGGAGACTAATGGATGTGCTTTGTATGTGTTGTGCAGCTCACTCTGCAAGCTTTGCCGGGGCTTCCGCCAGGGGCATCAGGCCATCTTCTCGTGAAGGTATACCTACGTACATTAAAAATACTAGTGAAAACAAGACTGAAAGCAATTATGCAAAAATATATGCAGTTTACGGTAAAGCGGTACCACCAAGCGATGTTTGATTGCGGTACTAATGTTGTTGAATTGAGAGTCGGTTGAGAAAGATGCTAACCCTAATCCAATGAGGGACCGATAAACGGTGTAAATATATCGGAGCATACTTTCTCCACAAAAAATCAGGCAATATCGCTTGAATTTTGATGTTGACAAGACCTTTAAGAAGTTTTAAGTATCGTGCGTTGTTTCACAGAGGTTTTCGACATATATTTGCTCAATCATCTCTATGAAGCTACATATCTCATGCTTTCAGTCTTGTACAATGCTAGCATTATTCATTGTACTCAAATCTCCTTCTGAATTGAAGACGGAGAGTGGGCAGTACCAACTGTTACGGGTTGGGATGTCCCCGGCACCACCCACTGCAGCCGCAACTGGCACCACTGTTGTCCCCTCCACTGTTGCGACCACCACCATGTCCATCGCACAGCAGCAACTACTACCTACTAGTAATCCCCCTTCCTCCTCCGTATCTACGACTTCCGCCACCTTGTCTCTGAACAATAATAACAGTAACCATGTCGTTAGTTCTTCCCACCCCCTCGTTTCCACTATTTCCTCTTCAACCCTACAGCAACAACCCACTTCCGTGGTTGTTTCTGCCACCAACACCAGCCATTCAAGTCAGTTGGTAGGCAAGGTGGTTGTTAGCTCGACTTCCGGAATTAGCTCGACCAACAACTCGATGACAGTAGTTCAGACGCCACAAACAATAGCAAACACCACGACAGTAGTGGTCACAACAACCAATGCCGGAACCCCCAGTGCCTCAAAAACTGGAACCGGCTCCTCTAATTCCCTATCTATCCCAACCAATCCAACATCCCCAGCCAATAATCGACTTCAATCAATCCCATCCAATGCCGCCAACAATTCTACCGTAAGTATTAGCCTCTTCTTTCATCTCTCTTTTTTCTGTCTATCTCTCGTATTTCATCCGTCCCAACTTTCACTGGTTGGTTGGATGTCCGCACTTAAGATTTGACTTTTCTTGCCCATCAGTGAAAGTATGGGACGCAGATGGAACACCACCCCTTGACTACCTATATATAACTAACTGCTCCGAAATTGCGCTAGCTAACTCACTGACTTATGATTACTTGACGTTATTACTGTACTACTACGAGTCAAGTTGTAATATTCTTCTTATTACCTCATCATTATCTTCAATTTAGCAGATAATAACTTAAATCAAGCTTATATGTAAATTGGTTCAGAATCATGTTAGAGTTAGGGTGTATTAATAGTATTGTGACGATAGGTAACATACGACTATTAACAAATGTCGAGCGTCGTTCACGAACCTGGCCCCCCACCATGTCACCATGATCTCCATCACACACACATAAGCACACAAGCTCTTATCCCCTTACTTATTGGTGTTCTTGTGCCTTTATTGTTGCTTTCCATGTAGCATGCAATGTCTAAGTTCGTTTCTGTTGTGTTCTGTCTTAACAAGTCGGTGTGTTATTTGTTCGTTCGTCCTGTTTTTCAGTCATGTATACCTAATTAATTATTTTAATTGGTGTTAAATAATGATGAATGAATGGAGAATGTGCATGATGATGATGATATTGAACATGTTTTCAATTCTGATTAGTATGAATTTCCATTCATACAACAGCTATTATTACTAATCCAGCTACCATGTCTTGAAAATTGGAAAACTCTTATTCAAACCCAACCGTGGATTATGAACTAATGCTCTTGTCCAATTTCAAGTTTGACCTGCATGACTGTATTTATTTCAGAACAAAAATTTAATCTAATTTCTATTTTTTTTCATTCTGGGTCAACTTTGAAACAGCATGCGATTTTTTATTTTTTCATCTCCACTTGAACTCATTAATGCTTTCTTTCTAAGAAAACTTACTTATTTTGAACGATTATTGTGGAGAATTTTCCGAAAACCAAAAGAAGAAGAAAGCATGTTTAATTTTTGTTGTAATGATTAATGCTATTACGTGTCATGATACTTTTCTCGATCTTCGATCTTTGATGTTCTTCTTATGTTTTTAATGGGACCCTGCAGAGCGTTGTGGGGATGGCTTCAATGTCTATGCCGCCGCAGCAGATGTACTCACCTCAAGTTCCACAAGCCTATTCTCCCACCTTCGTCTCCGCCTCCAACACTGCTAATACTGTTAGTACGGTAGGTAGTGTTTTAACTTAAACAACCAACACACTTTTTGAAAAATTCATTTTTTCTTAAAAAAAAAATACACCATGGTGGTGGGTCCTAGTCGAGAATTTGATTAGTTAGCATTATATTCTCACTGATTTTTAAAACAAAAACATTACCATCATGAACAATAGCAATTGGTGGCACATTTATTAGGACGCAATATTAATGGAGCAGTTAGATAAAATTTCGGGGGTTATATATATGCTGCTATTATGTATATTAAATGGACGTACTAACTTGTTCAATTTTTGTGTGTGCCTTTGTGATCCCATTCCTCGTAGATGACGGCGGAAACGGCTAAGGTTAAATGCAAAAATTTCCTTTCGTTTCTCTTGGAATTGTCCGCAAAGCAAAATCAACAGGTAAGTTGAAAAATTATACGTTTTGAACAAGGGATGGGTCATAATATATGCAAATGTTGGTCAAAACAATTCCTTTCGTCATTGGTTTTTTCTGATGGTGATTTGATCTTCTGAACCATATTTATTTCTTTAAATATCAAATTGCTAAATAAAGTCCGGTTAGCTTTTGGTATAAAAAAATTGATTGCTATGAGTAATATGGATTGTCGTCTCCATGTCCAAATGCAACTTTTCTTGTGAATTTTTTAATTTGGTTTAGTCTTGTCGGAAATGACCCATTACTGATGTATGAGGCCATAGTGAACTATTAAAGTAAATCCCGGTTTTTAATAGGTTTCGAGGAACGTCAAAGCTCTTATCCAAGGACTTGTAGATGGGAAAGTAAATGAAGAAAATTTTTCTGATCGCTTACAAAAAGAAGTAAACTCGCAACCGCAACCGTGCCTAGTAAGTACTGTTTTTATATTTGAACCATTAATGTTAATGTTTTTCGTCAATATAAACGTTGTATGTTGTTTTTAGGTTGGATTCTTAAAGGTTTATAGATTATTATGCATAATGCTGTAATACATACTATGTAGTGTACTTCAAGTGCAAAACTAAGACTGGATTTTGTTTTCCTTTATAGAAAAGTTTACCGCATTTACGACATTCATTAGGTAAGACATCTGACATTATATTGTAAAAACTAAATAGGATTTTAAAAAACGTATCCTTAAAACCAACATTTTTTCTTTTAGCTACAAATGAACTAAAAATTGACGGAATTAAACCCCCGCCCCTGTCTTCAGTAGTTTCCCCCGCGCCTGTAACTGCCTTAATTCCACAACATGCAGTAAGTCTCAGGAAACATATCAATGGAAGGATTCTGCAGTGTAAAAGTTTGCGTATTTAATGAATTTCTTATTTCTTTTGCAGCAAATTAGAACACCCACAAATCACTCCCCTCCAGTTCGAATTATAACTCCAATCAATCCTAATAGTACAGCCACCCCACCATATGCTGCTCCTGTGATGCCTTCAATTGGGACAAATTCATCATTATCCTTTCCTACTACTAGAACTACTCCTGCGCCACCTTCCACCCAGTCAAAAATGCCGTCGGTAAGCGTATCACTTTATCCACCTTATGTATTCCCATTTCCCATTCCTTATCCTCACTTATTCTTAGTTAACTAACTCACTGTTAGTTTATTTTAAACGTGTATGGTTTGACCTGTCTTGTATGTATTATAGACGGGAAAAACTGCAAAGGGCAAATCTAGCTCATCCGCAAGTTCTAGTTCGAGTACCACTTCGTCCCCAAATAGTACATCAGGGCCATCTAAACCAATTGCATCTAAATCAAGTGCCAAAGACAAAGATAAAAAATCCTTCGGGTCCTCCGCTTACAGGTTAGAGGTGTCAAACTTGTTATAGTTTGAATCGTTTGTCAATAATAAGAGTTTTATTAAAATTAAATTAAACTTTATTCACCTTAGTGGCGACGATGATATCAACGACGTTGCTGCCATGGGTGGAGTCAATCTAGCAGAAGAATCCCAAAAAATTCTTGGGTCCACAGAGTTTGTTGGCACTCAAATCCGTTCAGTCCGGGACGAAACATTTTTACATTCAATACCCCTTCAAGCAAGATTAAAAGCAATAGGTATATCAATGGTTTAACTTCTTTGAATAATGTAGTTATTATTATTATTTTGTGTACTAGTTTTGCAGTAAGATATTACATAATTTCGTTAATACACTGTGGAATTGTAAAAATTAATAATTCTCTTTTTTAGCCGCTAAACATGGGTTAGCAGAACCTCCACCGGAAGTTGCAGGTAACATTTACATAAAGAAAATAATAAAATCATAATATAGTTAATACAAATAATGTTTTTTTTTTCTTTCAGCTATAATTTCGCATGCAACTGAGGAACGACTTAAGAATTTAATTGAAAAATTAGCTGTAATAGCAGAACACCGACTTGATGTGATAAAGGTACGCATATGTAAGGTTTTCATCATCATCATCGTCTGTTATCCCTAATAAATTGTGTATTGACAAAAATTTGTGTGCTGAAATAAATCTATTATTATTATATTATATTATTATTATTATTCTATGACAAAATCTCAATTGGATTATTTACACATGTGATTAATTTAGATGGATGATCGGTATGAAGTAACTCAAGACGTAAAAGGTCAACTCCGTTTTCTTGAAGAATTGGAGAAATTAGAAAGAAAAAGACACGATGAGCAAGAACGAGAAATGCTGATACGAGGTTAGTAGCGCAGATTTTGTTTCACAAATTTAATTTGTCAAAGAAATGCAGCCACCACAATACATTTTAATATTATTGTTTTAATTTTTAGCTGCAAAAAGTCGATCAAAGTCTGAAGATCCTGAGCAAGCCAAGCTAAAAGCTAAAGCCAAAGAGGTGATTTTTACTTATAATTTGATAACATTATTACATATACTATACACGATTTGATAAAATTGAAAATTTCTATTTAATTGAAACATTAGATGCAACGAGTAGCAATGGAAGAAATGCGACAAAGAGAAGCAAATCAAACTGCCTTAGAAGCTATTGGACCTAGAAAAAAGCCCAAACTTGATTCACAATCAGGATCTCAAAGTACAATATCACAGGTATAATAAAATATTTTCATATTAAAATTTATAAAATGTGAACCTAAATTCTCCTTTCTAAAAAACGTGTATTTAAAACGTGTATTTGTATTATAAAAGAGTCCACTGGGTGGAGTCAGTGCGTCTGGTAACAGGGGGCCACAAGTACGATTATTATTATATTTTTCTTTAAATTATTATAGTCTAGAAATCAATTTTAAATGTATAATTTATAGATGGGGATGCGTCCGAGGCTTAAACGAGTCAATACTAGAGATTTACTCTTTTTGTTGGAACAAGAAAAGGAAACGTCAAGAAGTCACTTTTTGTACAAGAATTTACTTAAATAATTGTTTAGTTATGATAATTACATATAGTAATAATAAGAATAATGCAGATACATTGCGCAGTCCTATAGATAAGAGAAACGATGTTAAGAAGGTAGGTTGTGGACAAATGAATGTCGTAACTCATAATTATCCCAATACTGGCATTTTTACAACATATTGACGGTGATCTAATATTAGGACAAGTTAGTATAGAATAATAATCAGCCTTTCTATCGTGTAGGGTAAATATGATAAGAATTATTACGTACTCACTTATGTTATCTTACTTATTCTAAATATACACAGTTTTTATTACAAATATATGTGTGTAACTGGTTCATTCATGTATTGGCTGGCTTTCGGATGCACAATACGTTCCAATTATATAGCTATTACTTGAAGTATTGAATAATATATAGAGCTAACGAAACGCTGTCTCTTTTGTGTTAAACTATAAGCTTTACGATGTAAGTGCTGCAATCAAGGTGGTTTGTTATTGTGGGAATTTAGGTTAATACTAATATGTACTTAATCTATATGAGAATATAATTTTTATACACGTAAACGACAACTATTTGAAAAAATTCCGAGTTTCTCTAAACCTTGTTTTTATTTTTATGTGCGTCATTATACATTTCAAAGGACTGAAAAATTACTATATATTAGTACTGTTGTCAATCTCATCTTTCCAGAAATCAACTATGCAGTAAAAAGTGATGATCTTCTATATTGACCAATTTAACCCTTCTGTATGTCTGTTCAGTATTTCTACGCTTGAATTTGATGATTTAATGATGACCATAATTACGCATCCTCAGTTAATACATAGATTTCACTAATCAATTCTATGCTATAAACTCGTCAAACTCGATGCCTGCATTTTATTCCGATTCCAGTGTGCAAATTTTATTGAATTTTTGCACCATGTTCCAAACTGCATTGATGCATAAACGTATATACTACATAGCAAGTTCACAAAATGTTATCATTGCTATCATATGCTTAGCATAAAATGGTATAATACTTATCATACTCTCCGAGAATGAGGTTCCGACTCGAATATGATTTTGCATATGCAAACGGGATGCAGCAATCTTTCCCATAGATTATAGCATACCGCCAGTGCAATTCCCAAATATACATTTGTATGTACAATGTCATTATTGGATGAGCCAATAAATGAATTCCCTGCTGAACCTGGTGGCTCTATCAACGTGGCGAATTCATAAAAGTAATTGCCAATTAGTTACTTACGAACCTCACTGTGTGTGAATTGTTACATAACTTTAACTGTACTAATGCAACTGCCACTCATCCTTAGGATTTAATGTAAGTTTGTGTCGTTCACACACAATATCACAGAGTATGCAAATTCTTGAGTATCTTGAGTAATTCTTGAGAAACACTTGCACTAATATTTGGATTGCCCACTTAGAAGAATCAAAAATGGAAACTTTCAAGACGGTTCGAGGGGTTCCCACGAAAGTGGTCTGTTATGGAAAACATGTAGATGATGATCTAAACGACGTGAACTTCTTAATCTTGGTATTTCCAGGTAAATTATTAAACCTTGCCTAAAATCAACATTAAAAATGTATAATACAATAAATATGTACAACAGGAAATCCGGGACTGGTAGATTACTATAAAGAATTCATGACTGAGATACACAGATTCTTGTCCGATAAGTACCCTGATACGCCCATCCCGGTGTGGGCAATTAGTCATGCAGGACATCAGAGGGATGATTTGGCTCATCACCTATTTCCTTCCCTTGAAGGTCATAAATCATATTTCTTTCTGAGTTACATTGTAAATATTGAAATGCATTTAATAATAATAATATCAAATCAATTGTAATCATGTTGTTTCTTCCTTCTAGAAAACGAACATTTGTACAGTTTGGAGGGCCAATGCAATCACAAGTTTGAATTTGTAAAAGAATATATTCCAAGCCATATTAAGGTGACAGGAATTGGTCACTCAATTGGGTGCAAAGCGTGGTCAGAAGTCATTAAAATGCTTGATGTGGCAAGAGGAACTGTTGTGGACCCCCAAGTTGTTATAGATGAAAAAATTCCAGAATCGCTTCCTGAAGTCGTCAAATGTTTCATGCTATTTCCAACCTTGGAACACATGGCCAAAACTCCAAATGGAAAATGGTTTACAGGACTCATTCCGTAAATTAAATTATTTATATATTTTTACTATTTTAATTAGCTAAATTGTGGCGGCTTAAGGACAGCTTTAGTATAGTACGTTTATTTAATACTAAATTAAATAATTTGTTTAAGGTATTATGGATTCCTTGAACCGTTTGTCAGACTAGTCACGGTGCTGCCGACATTATTTCACCGGATGATGTTAAACGTTTACTTTTTCGGGAAAAGTGTTCCTGATAGTGTTAAGCGGACATCTCTTCAAATCTTTCGGTCTGATATTTTCCATAAGATCCTATACATGGCAAAGTGCGAAATGGAGTTCGTGCTGGATCTGGATGTAGCCACATTGGACCGAAATTTGGACAAGTTGTTCTTCTGTTTTAGCCAAACTGATGGATGGATGCCATTGGAATATGTGGATGATATGAAGAACAAGTTCCCCAAGATGAAATTTCAAATTTGTGAACGAGGTGTGGAACATGCGTTTGTCATTAAACACAGCGTGCTAATTGCTGAAGCTATTTGTTCTCAATTGGATATATATAATAAGTAATAAGAGAATTATTGACTCTTCGACACTGAATATGTGCAATAATGCATATATTTGTCATAGCTTATATTAAAATACTTATATTTTGCTATCACACTTTCCAAAATCAGCAATAAAAATAACTATTGGGACTGTTATTAGAAAGCATTCCACCAATATATGTACATGATATTCACGGTATGGTTTTTATTATAGCCTATGTATTATTCCTGTGTACCACTACTAAAATTATACTGTATATAATATTTACATATGCAGTATTTCATGTTACCAAAATTCTACCCTGTTCCTACTCGTCAAGTGCTGACAATTCCATAGACATCGTTGGAGAAGGCACTCTTTTAACGAGGGCAAAGCCAATGATGTCTGAAAAGGTGAAAAATAATTGCATCAGGACAAAGAGTATTTTATATGCTACATATTTCCAACCAACAAGGAATTGACGTTGCTTACCATCAAGCACATTTCGACTTATGATATTTTTAGTTTGCGATTTGCCAGTTTCCGTTGTAATCCATTTCATGATAGGATCTGCATCCTTGCCCATTTCGGCTTCAGAAGTAAGAACTCCGTCACGTCGTGCATCGTCCATCGCGGCTGAAAGAATGTCGTTGAGGAAATGCTTGGCGAACAGTGCCATTGAAACAGCCTCCCCTGCTTTCCGAGCTTCTTCCATGCTCTCCTTCTCGGCCTGAATTTGTCTCACATTCTCATTCACAATGTCCTGTTGTCGCCGTTGAAGTCGTTGTAGTCTAACTAATTCCAAGTTCCTCCTGCTTTCGTATACACGCTGCTGAGCTAAAAGCGTTTCCAATTCACTCTCCATCATCAACTCCAACAAAGCCTAATATTGAAAAAAAAGACTGCATATATAATTTAAGTGTAGGAGAACAGGGTAAATAAACTTTAGTAAAGAGATTCATATAATGAAGTAGCGATAGTGGTATTCATTCGACAGATATCCGGGATTCAATTTGAAATGCAGTGGAAATTTGAGTTTTGGTCGGCTAACCATCTATGATGCAGAAAGGTAACCTAATTTTTAATTTGGTTACCCTTCCTGAGACCCTTTCCACCTACATATGTCGTAGTGGTTGCTACTAAAAATGTCATGACCTCGTACCGTTTAGCTTGACGATCATGACAAGAAATCGACCTTACTTTTGAAGTCTATTGTCGATATCCGAACGATGCTCACTGGTTCGGGACGTTCGCTCCTATTGCTACTTACATATGTACGTAATAGTAAAATGTGAAAATATTGTGTGTATTTAACCATACTTGCTCCACCACTACTGATGAAACACTTATCACAATTGGTGCAACGTGCAACGTGAAATCAAACAAATCGCCAGGAAGAATTTGGGTTTCTTTATCATCTCCGGACTTGGGGTTTCGGATCATTGCACACCCAAGAAATTCAAAATCTAAATCGGTCACGAGTTCTGTTTGGGTGCAGTTGACAGTTTGCTCCATGTCCTCATATAACACTTCGTAGTACGGATCCGTTTGAGATTGCGAGCTAATTTTTCCAAGCAATAGACTCGGTGCCCGCATTTTAGCTTTATTCTTTTTCTTTTGCGATTTTGTCTCTTTCGTAGTTATCTTGGCCGGCACTTTAGTAGTTCCAGCACCTGCTGAGCATTTTTTGAGTCCTCTGAGGTATAGCTGGCACAAGGGGTCCTTTTTCACCATTTCGAAACATGGATACACGGCCTTTCCATCAACCCCCTGATATCAAATAACCAGTGCAAGTAAGGTTAAAATTTTTTATTTTTAAAAAGCGTATTAATATATATCAATTTATTCGTTGTGTACGTCAATTTTTGGCCCCAGGTCAATAGCATATGTACCTCTCCGGACGCGAGGGTCCGACATGATATTGCAAAATTCTCTTGTAGACCTTAAGGACATGAATTGCATTTCAATTTTAATATATGCGCGATGAAACTCACTGCAATTTATTTTATGATTATACTTTTTGTCTGAAGAAGAGCGTCTTGCTGGACATTCATATTTTGTAGCTAGCTTTGGACTGCTATGAAATCGGAAAAGTGGGGGATCCTCACTACCATCACCTCGTCTGCATAAACTAACAAACATCTTGATTACTTGGATCTTAAGAAACTTCAAAAACGATGACGGCTGCTACCAAAAGAAATAGACAATGTCGACGAATAACGATTATTACAACACGGAAAAGATTTCAAAGAACATCACACATTTTGGTCATATTAATTATTGGTTTTGGTTCACTTGAAAAATGAATTGTCCTAGTGATTCAGGTCAAAAAGGTACGAAAAACATGAACTTTTGAAGTTTTATTTCATAAATTGCATTTATTTCAATACATCAAGTGTTATCACGTCATTATTTGTAATAAAACTAACATTGTCTACTAGTTAGTATTAAAGCACTACTGACAATGAGTATCACATGCAAGTACAAAATATCCACAAGGTACCATTTTCAGTAATCTTCTACATACAACATAAATAAATACATTTAGCATTAATTTCTACTTCATAGTATTTAGTAGGTCGCTTGCTTTATGGCACGAAAAGAGCTTTTGTTTTATTTTTTAAATCTTTGATATTTATCTTTGAGACATATTTTTGCATTGAACAATGCTAATTAAACTACATCGGAAATAAATAGTTTACATAATTTTACAATATTTAGTTTGGGTACATATCAAATGCTAACTTAGTATCACAGAGTTTCGGGCAACGATTTTTATGTATACTTTTTAGATTTTTTAAAGCCGAGGTACAATAACTGGATGGCTGGTTTGTTGTATGGCGATTACATTTTCAGAAGCTGAAAATATTTTTGTGAAATATTTTCTCTTTCCTTGTAGAATAAAAAGAATAAATAAACCTGGAAAATTTGCTCCGTGTGGGTACAACCCAACGAGAAGTGGTAACGTGTATGATTGAGATATCCTATAAAATATATCTATTAACTATTTAATACTTTTAGTATTTCATTGCTTCACACGTCATGAACACAAAATATTATAACCACGCAATTTAAAAGAGTACATTTAAAAGAGTATATTCTAAATATGTGTTGCTTGCTAAGAAAACAATCATGAAATTATATCCATAAATTAAATTGTACTGGTTATTACGCATAATCATGGCATTTATGTTGCGTGCATAGAGAGCTACGTATTGTTCACAAGCTATGAAGCTACACAATTACATACATACGTATGCATGACCCTAAACATTTACGTATAAAAACTTCCTTGTTTTTTGCCAAGAATGTGGTTAAACTTCTGAAGATTGAGTTGGGTCACCGCTATTATTAACAGTAGCGCTTTCTCCACGCCCGTCCCCTGACAACATGGCCACCGTAACTGTAGGAAGCTGGAAAGACACCCTTCGCTCATTTGGATCCCTAAATCCAAAATTTCTAGCAGGTAGATTAGAATTGCTGGGACCAGTATCCTCACGACTTCCAGGCGGAGTCTCTTCTCTATCATCACAACAAAGACCTATTTCCTCCTCTTGTTGATTCTCCACCATTGAGGTCATTTTTTGTCCATCATGCTTCATATTAGCTCTGAGCCCTCGTGGGGATTGGGACCTAGATTGCGACCGAGACTGTGATGGCGAGCTGACAAAGTGAGCAGCCTGGACAACTTGTATAGGTTGCTGATTATTGGATTGATTGCCCGACTCCACGCTGGACATGCTATGCCACTTCGCAGAGCTGAGAAGCCCGGAGGATGCAGGAACGACAAAGAATTGAACGTTTGGTTGTTCTGACATTTTTCTCCGCCCAAATCCGGCTGGGAGTAATAAAGTGGATGGACCGTTGGGACTGTACTCGTAGCCAGATGGACCGGGGGACGAGGTAGAAGGATTAAAATTACTGCCAGGACTAACACCACCACCGCCGCCCGAAAAGCCACATTCATTTAGCAAATGATCACTCTCATCTCTGCTCCGGATGGAGAGTGTGTCTCTGGAGGAAATTGTACTCAATCGACGAGGAACTATCACAAGAGCAATTCCTATTTGTCCACCTCCTCCCTGTGGCTTTAGAATTGGATCTGTTGGACTAGAATTTTCACCTTCTGATTCTCCCTCTTCGTCCGACTCGTCATCGTCATCATCCTCGTCGCCGTCTCCCTCATCAATATCTGACACGGCTTCTTCATCCTCATCATCATCGTCATATGTTCCATAATTGAGTGGGCCTACATTTAAGTAATTTATATCAATTATTGTTGCATAATAGCGAAACCGTTAAAGCATGCATGAAAAGTATGTGTGCCTACCATGAACTGGACAAACCTAAAATATAAAATGAAATATATAAGTAAAATAGAATATGTATGTGCACTTTGTATTTGGCATTTTCACTTATTAGAGTTATGATTATTGATTAGTTATGTAGTTCAATGCTTGCAAACGTATCATTACTTTGACTCTGTTTGTATATGTACATTACGAACTTTGAATAAATGATGGCCAATTTCGTTATCATTAATATTGTTTCGTTCATTTTCACTATACCTCTGGCTCGATGATCACCTCCTCTGAGAAAAATGCTGACTGTCTCACGAGTCGAGGCCTATTTGTCGCAATCTTTGCACTTGCCTGTTGCATAAATTTTATTGATTATTATTGGCTTTGGCAATATATCTAAATGAACTTTAAGGATTAGGACTCACCTCATCATCATCGATTATTATTACATCCGCGTCTGGTTTCCTCCTCACAACACGTTTCTTTCTACCTTTCTTCTTCTTTTTCTGTCCCTTGCGTTTTACCAGTGGATCGGCTATTGTGACCGTTTTTGGGTTGCTGGACCTCCTCTGCATGTTGGGATTACCTTGAGTTTGAGACGGCTGCATGTGTGACCTGTTGATTCCAAAGTCGCTTTCATTATTAACTGATGGATTTACAGATGATCCTTGTTGCTGCTGTTGTTGTAGGGAAATGTTGTTGGTTAGTGTGGAGGTCCCTGAAGGTCCTGAGGCAAGCACGGCGGCAGCGCCTGCCGCTGTGGTGGGCAAATTTTTAGGCCTGTTAACGGTTGCAGTCGTTGTGACACAACTGTTCTGATTTGCTCCTCCAGGAAGTACGGATGTGTTGACTGCAGAATTCAGAGGAATTTTCTTAAACGAGGACTTTCCTCCTCCAGAATGACTGTTTGCATCGGATGAAACACTTGAACGCGAAAGACGCCATGTAGCCGTACTGTTGGAAGTTGCAGAGGAATCATTGCGACTACTTGATAGATTTGACTCCTGCGAAGGTTTCCGCGTGACGGCCCAAGAATTTCTGCGACGAGGTTCCAGGAGGCGTAACGGAAGGCCGCAAGAACGGTTCTATAAGTGGAGAAAGCACACACGGAATGTGTATGAGTGGAATTTTGGGGTAACGTGAGAAATATGGCTCTTTTTTTTTACCTGAACTCGCCATGAATCAGATCTGGAAGAGCTGAAGTTATCACTGGAGACGGATGGATGTCGTTGATGCTTTTGACTATCAGGAGGATAATTAGCTGTGGCAGTGTTGTATAGGTACCGCCGTACATTTTGCATGCGTGGATCTTCACGCTATTCAGACAAATATGTCAAGAATGAATAGTCATTTCATGATAAAAGGCACACATTTTTATAGTTTAGTTTAGTTTTTCAATCGTACTATACTAACCTGTCGACTAGAATCTTTATTACTGTTTTGGCACAAAATGTATCGAGAAAAGAAACGTCCAAAGGGGCCAAGTCGAGAAAGTTGTTCTGGAGCAGGAATGAATCGATGATACTTTGCATTTCCGTTCACATCATCTCCTCCTGGGTGCAAGCTGTAATATCCGAGAAAATTTATGAAATTTGACTTGGATAAAATGAGACGGGAATTATTTCTGAATATAATAACGCAGGAATTATGAGTCACATTTTTGCTATCTATAACATATATTGTGCGCATAGGCTGAGATGACACGCGAATGTTCTTTGAGAATTTGCCAAACTTTGAAATGGTGCGGGTCTAGGAATAATCACGTAAAACGCTAAATATTCAGTAAACCTTGTGTTAGACAGTTTTTCATTCATCTGCATTTCCCATGAATATTTAGGACAACAAAATCAACGTTGCCAGTACAATCGCATATTGTCGTCACAATATCTTTTGTCTCTGACATGCATATTTGCAATCAAACAATGAATGTTTTTTATTGAGCAGAACGGTTCGAGTGCAAGTAATCTCTTGAAACTGAGGCGAAGAGAAAGCAATTGTTTACAGTAACGACTCACCCTGAGTGGCAAATACATGGTTGGCCATCCTTGGACACTTTATCCGTTAAACTTCCAGTATTTGGTGCGGTTTGTCTGTTTGAAAAGTTGGAACTATTTCTGCAACGTCCAATCCCTCGAGTAACTCGAGATTCTTCGATCGCCTGTTGCAAAACAATCTTTATTACATCTACTCCCATAGTCGTAAAAGTAATTGGTTGCAGGTTTATTAGCAGTCACGCAGTTCTTTCTCCGAGATCATCACATCACGTACCTTGCAAATGAGGACACAATCTTTCTTGAATTGCTTGGTGAGAATTGCGTAGAGGAATGGGTTGCAGCAAGAGTTGAGGGGCAGAATAAAGACCGTGAATACTTTCGCTTCTTCCAACGACACTAATTGCAATCCAAATGCAGCCGTGAGAGAGAAAAACGCGATTGGAAACCAACAAAGTAGGTCGGTAAAGACCAGTAGGGCCATGTTCTACGAAGGGGCCAAAGGGGAAATTGTATATTCCACAACCAAATAAAATACTTCATCCCAAAGAGGAAAATTAAATTGTTTTACTCACCTTTGCGATACCTGCGAAAAAAAAAGTTTATTGAAACTCAAGTATTTTAAAGGTGGTTGATTAAAATAAATTCCAGTTCGAAATAAGGTTCGAACGTATATTTATTATCATTAGGTAGACTTGGATAGATCTTAATTTTCACATTTAGTCCATAAATTCAAACTTTCATTGAAAATACTCACGGGTTTCGTTTGAATTCCATGCTGCCGATCCTCGAATGGAACAGTACATTTTCACGTAACAGCTTTATTGCCGACGCGAGGAAAAATGAAAACACAATGAAATATATATATTATTTCGCATAAAGCTATTTATTAGTAATAAATGTAAAACATGTGCTCACCTCATTAGAATCGTAAATGCAATCCCATTAGCAAACATTAGGAAAACAACTGCAAATAACCAAGAATCAGTTAGGCATAATCAGTCGAGGGTTTCTCGACAATCTTAAATAAATTTGAGTAATCATTATAATGTTTATTTAAGATTGTTTATTTAAGATAACTATAGTTATCCTTACCATAGCCTAAACTAACACCATCCCCAGTTTCAAACGGTAGGCAAACTGTAATAAGTCATTGATTTTTTCAATACATTATAATTCTAACTTGTTGGAATATTCATGTGTACCTGCAAATTTTCTGTAGTCTGAAACGCCAAAAAGTGGCAAAACAGCCATTATAAGGGCAAATATCCAACCAATGACCATAATGTAGCTGGCATGTTTCAGAGACAACCTCTGAAATTAAATAAACAGATGACAAATTGCAATTAAATCCATAGGTTCCAGTGGAATAAAAGTTGTGACGCCATCACACCGCTTTTATGGGTGAGAAGAAGTTGATTAAGAAATACATGGCATAGCTTTTGTCTAACCTTGTTGAGATGCATGGCATGAGTGATGACATAATGTCGCTCCAGAGTAATGACAGTTAAAGTGAAAACTCCAAGCTCTGTAATTACAAGGGAATTGTAAACAATATGAACAATGCAATCTTCAAATTGATATATAAATGTACACCTGTCCATCGTTAACACTTACCGGAACTCAAAACACCAAGAAATCCAGCCACTTGACAAGCTATAGAATAGTATGAATTATACAAGTAAATTCAGGACGTTCATGCAAGAAGGATATGCAAACAACGCTTACGTATTGACAGCTGCCAAGGAATAGCAAATTTCCGAAATTCTCCTAGAGTAGCGGCATCAATAACCGCCAGGAAACCTAAATGACACAAATTCCTAAATTAATTTTGGTTGATGAGTGAAAGTGCTTTGTAGAAATCAAGTTTATTGACACGGGTGCAAGCTCTTTCTAGAAACTGTCATGAACTATAATAACAGCATATACATATATGCCGTATTGGGAATTCAATAATATGTTTTCCACGAATGCACACAAGGCACATATCCGGTAACTAATACGCATATATTGGAATCGAATTACATCAAATTGCATGGACAGTAGAAACCAAGCTAAATATTATCTTTACCTAGGTAAATCCCCATAAAGAAGTCTGAGTGGATTCAGAACCGATGGTGTGATGAAGAGGAGTAGCATAAATAGTAAAATCAAATACAATTTTTTCGCATTTAGTTGATAATTTATTGTATCACCACTTGATATCGTACCTGCAATGGCCAAATTGCAAACAAGAAATCGGGGGACATCCATTTTTGTCCGTGCAAAAATTTGAACAAATACGACAGTGCCATTCCTGCGTAAAAAAGTATAAAATTAGGCAAATCATACTAATAATTATGATGGTTGCAGCAGTTGTTCAAACCTTACTGGCGTATAGATAACATAACTCGCATAATTTTAACTTTTTGAAAGCTGTCTTTGTTTTGAGGGATAAATTTGAAATGTGAACCATGAAAACTCACCCCATGAGAGCTAAAAGAAATACTATCCACACTCCGCATCGCAGTGTCCACCAATCGAAGAGGTCCTGCAATCAAAGCCATACATATACATATGTATAACTTTAAAACATTTGAAAAAACTACCGTTTTTTCTTCGAAAATACTAGGTTTTCCTGGCTACTTTTTTTGTTGCAGGTTTAGTTGTTCCGAACCGCAGTTCAGCACTCTCTTACATAGTTATGTATGTATGGGTGTGGAACAGTAGAGAACAGATAGCTAAAAATCACCGTCGTCAGGATATGCAAGCAATTCTACTCTGCTTAACACGTCTCAATTTGCCTCATGAATACATTCTCATCATCCCACTTTCTCTCAGCATGTCAATTGACTCATTGTATCTTATAATTTCGATGATGAATGATAAGTAATAGGAATAGTTTGGAGATCTATATTGTAACCTAACCACTGTATATCCTGACGGAGAAGGTGGGTGCAGCTATACACACGAATTTCGCAAAGGCTAGAATTTAAATCTACGGAAAGCTATTCGTTTAGAAATGTATGGATACGATGTCTCCGTTACGAATCGAAATTCTCAATGAGATGCTGCAGAATGATTTAAAAAAGTGTATTGCAATTGAGTTTCTGAAGTAGAATTAAGCAATAAATTAGAAACGAATTTTATCAAGATGACTGAAGCGTTAGGATGGAGGAAAATAATGACTATCCGACACCCCAAGAAGCTGCGATTAGATGAAAGTCGATGTAATTGTGACGGGCTTAATTACTTTCATTTTTAACCCCTATAACTTAATTTTAGTTTTCTATCAACTTTTCACCACACGTAAATACTAGTAAAATTACGCATTACGTATCGGTGTCTTACCTTGCATGGCAGAAATGGACCTAGTAATATAAACGAGAATTATAATTGCATTTATGTACATTCGTGTAAAATCTCCAAAAACAGCAATTAGCTCATAATAAGGTACGCAATCTTACCTGGGAGAGGAATGCAGGAAATATCTTTCGGTCGAAATTGTCTAACTCTTGTCAAGGCACCATCCCCACTTCCTTCCTCCCAGGCGGAATCAGTTGCCAATGGGGTGCCAAATGTTTCCCAAAAATCAGCCGCCAGCTCTGCCTTGTTTGACAGATTTACTAAAAATGTTCATAAATTAAGATTCATTTAGAAAATAAGCACCATAAAATATCAAATAAGCATCATAAATGCCACAAATCATGGGTGAAAGTCACATTTATATTTATATTGTAAAGGGTTTTAATTGAACAAATTCATTCTTTGTATTTAATTAGTTTACTGATTAAAAGTCTGTCGTATTTTTTATGTACGTGTAGAAATTTCGATGATCAAAATATTAATAGATATGCTAAACTATGATTTATCAGTGGTGAATGTATTTATCTTCAGTCCAATAAATATACGTTCATGAATCTATTTTCAAACTTAAGGAATTGTATACAAAAAACGCATTCGAAAAATAATATGATCTAGGGTGGCATGTTGATTTGAAAATATTTGAAATAGCACATATTTCACTATCAGAGCCATTATTGTGTCATCCCGATCCCACCCAACTCACGGCACAACTCTGACCAAGTCATAAGTTGTGGTTAGAGAGAACAGATTTTGATTAATATTTTGCACACACAGTTTGTCAATAAATCCAAATTAGCTCACCAATTCCTTGCCACGAGTCGGTGAGGTTCAGCTCAGAGAGAGCGTTTCTGAATCCCACCTCTGTGGGGTAGAGGACGGATTCCTCGATGGGAGACTGGTCAAAGAAGGACTTGGAACTCGTGGGGGCGGATACGTCTGCGACGAACTGAATTAGAAAATAATCAAAAAGTGAAGTAAAAGTAGCATGCACATGCGGTCTGCGTCCGTTGACGCACCCATCGATTTCTCCCCGTTATTGCCGATACAAAATTTCAGTTTTCTTATTTCATCACCTCATTTAGCCCACTCGTAAATTGTCTCACTATGTTTATTCCATTCCATTACATGTATCTACATACCTGACAACAGTGGTATGCATATGAGAGGACCAGACGCCGCGCCCCTAAATGGATAGAAAGGATCATATCATACATCATGCTAAATGTAATACATTTTGAGTGTGAAAATCATTCTAATAAATATATTTCTCTATCAGCCTTTATTATTTTTAGGAGATAAACGGTGCTTAGACAGGCAGGCTAGAAAAAGTACTGATTGAGCTCTCTAAATTAGCCATATTATTTGTTTCCGTTCTTTGTACCAGTTTTTAATCAATTTGTAGTCATAAAGTTCTCCTGCTTATCGATTGAAATATATATTTTTCGTATTTATGGACAGACGGACGGACATGATGGTCCCATAAGCCCTGACTCGGGCTAAAAATTACACCACTTAATTCAAATTCTCCTTCGACATCCTCAGTTACTACTACAAATAGATATTAGAAATTGTTATTACGTGGGAAGGATTCGGGTCCTGGAAATTCCCTGAGATTTGGGTTATTGAATGTTTTCAACTCGACTACACGATCCAATCCTTTCGTCGGCATATCCGGGAAAAAGTTGTTCCCCAAATTCCTAAAAAAGTCAATGCGACATCATTTATCCATTTTTCAATTGTACCAAAATCTTCAAAGTGGATAACCATGTTGGGAATCGTAATAGGCAAAATAACACGATTTCACTTTTTTTCATAAAAAAACTAACACACTTTTATCGAATAGTTGAGTGGGAGGGTGAAAGCTAATTTCCTGATCATAACCCTCGCGGATTTAAGGATTTTGAACATGCCGTCAATAAATAAAATGCTTCGTTTGCAAATACTATGTGCACATAAGTAGTTGGTTTGGTATATGCGCAACTTTTCAGTTGATATTACGAGACGATTGTGCAGTTCATAACAACTTTACGTTGCTAAAATTATTATTCTCACCAAACTCCCATAATCCTTAAAGCCCATTGAAAAACTTTTATTAAGCCATTCAACCAGCGGCAGACTGACCTCAATAATAATACTGCACATTCAATAACCCATCCCCATCCGAAGTCATACCATGGGATAAAATCCTCACTGACTTCGAGAATTCATAGGTTTATACATATCTTTTGGGTTAAATGGGAATCTCTCCTGAAGAATACACGCAATTAACGCTCTGAAACAAACAAAAGACGTTGACCCCCCAGAAATTTTATGGTTCCCGATTCCTCAATAAAACTCGCAAAAGACACGCAAAAAACTTTTATTGCAGACTTTCTCCCCTTGTTAAAAGCATGTAGCTTGTTCCAGTAACAGTAACACACCCAATGTACAATTAAGCTCATCGGAAAATGCGAATTAGATTTGAGATATTGTTCTTCATCATATTTTTATTACATATTGGAAAACTTTTGGGAAATTTACTGCCTTTTTATTCCACTACTCAGCTGACCTTCAACACTCAATGGTTCCCATAAAACAAGGCGCCTGGAAAAGTGTCCTTTCACTGGGATTCGTATATACGTGTATGCAAGTCTATGTATGTATTCATGCAGCCTCTCGAGTCCGTGTAATATATTGTCGTGAGTTTGCTAGGCGAAGAACATCTCAGAAAGGGAGGAAGGAAGAGGTGGTTATGAAATGATTGAGGGGCCGCCGCTACTTAATAGCTCGTCTTGAACTGGTTGTCAGAGTTTGGTGGGTGAACGCATTATACTTTTGGGAGGCTGAGGCGGTCGTAATGGAGAGAGGAGAAGAAGTGCAGAGTACGAAAAATGATATTGCTTTACGAAAGAGTTGTGCTGCGAGATGAGAGAGAAAGCACTGTGCAAGCAAAGAGTGAAAGCTTGTGACGTCAAGACTTCTTCGCGTTCAGCAGTGCTTGGTGTGGTTCGCCTGGTGTGAAGAAGCCTACCGGCCGAACGACCTGACCTGGACCTTTCTGAGTGTAACGGATTGAGTAGGTACCATATATTTAAGAACTGGGCGGCTGAGGAGGAGTCAGTTGCTTGCGCTTATTCTTTTTTCCAGGAAAGGAAAGATATTGAAACTCTGACAGAAGCTATGTCATAAAGGAAAGTAGTTTCTCTGCGTCGACACATTTTCTCAAAATAAGAATCCACCTCCCTTGCCAAAATCACATGTCCTACCATAACGTAATTTGAAATAGGGCACTCTCCTACTCCGACCAACCAACCACTGTCACCTCGTTCTTCACTTTGCAAAAATAAAAGGGAATGTATTCCGTTGGAAGACGTTTGAACTCTATATAATGGTCGCAGATTAGATCTTAGATCTGTCCAGTTGGAGAATCGTAAAGTAAAAGCGAGACTTAAAAAGGGGAGAGTTTGATTCGCAATGAAATCGATTTGACAGATTTTATTATTTGAGATGGTGTTATTGGTGTAAAAAAACTTACAAATCTTCGAGTTTTGGTGTAGCCAAGAAAGTGTCCGGATGTATAAAGTTGATATTGTTGTGGGCCAGGTCACTGAAAAATAGAGAGGAGATGTCATTAGTTTTTGACATGTTTATGGTTATGAAGAAACACTAAATTCAAAAGAAAATGGGCATAGAATTATAATTTCTGATGGAGAAAGCAGCTTACAGATTTTGTAGGTTGACAAGTCCAGCAAATGTGCTAGATGTGAGTTTGCTTATTCGATTATGGTGCAAGTGTAGATCATGCAACTCTGACAGGGTTTTGAAGGCTCCGTCTTTGAGATTCTCAATTTCATTCACGCTCAACTCCCTGAAAAGTGTCAAACAATGAGTCAAAACTATATTGGAAAAGTTTCAAACGCCCAGCAAATATGTGTCCTCTGATGACACATGTCATACATACATGGTATTCATATACATACATAGTAAATTTTAAACCGAGATTGTGACATGATGGGAGTACACATATTGACTATAATAATATGTATTGATTAGAGTAGAAACTTTCACTTACAAAATCCTGAGTTCTTTACAGTCTTGTAACGAGGGTATATTTTGCAATTTGTTTGACTTTAGGTCGCTGTAATAATAATAATAATAATATAAATAATGTCAGTCATAATAACGACAAGAAACCCTTCATACAAGGTTGGGAAATCACCAAAAGCGCACAATAAGTCGTAGATCAAGCAAAGAAAAGAGTCGAATTCAATAACATGCATCATATACAAAAATGACCCCTAATCGCAACAAATCTTTAGAATGTTAGAATGTGATTCGACAGCAGAAAAGCAGCCACCTTCTCCATTCTCGTGTGCGGCTCACTTCCTATTGTTGCGAAAACAGGAATGGAGGAAAAAGTTGTGACGGGACGAAGGGAAAGGGGAAATTTATAGAAGGGCAATGCATCTTAGTGCCCATCTCCGAATCCAACTTTATTTCTTTCCAGTCACGGCCAAATGGCGACGACTATGACGATGACGACGCTCGACCGTACAGAGTGGGCACCATGCACAGCTCGTAAAGACGCACAGAAAGAAATCAGCCAACCAAATTCTTATGCAGGCTGAGATCAGTTTTGCTACCACGATACAATCTCTGACTGAGGTCGGGAATTTTGGAGTCAGTTTCTGTCAAAAGTTCAAATCCAGACGCACTGAACTAAATTTGTTGGCTGGGTCCGTTTACTATTCTTTCGCTCTCTTGGTACTGCTCTCGCTGTCATCTGTAAGACACCCATTACTTTCTCTGCACTTTCTTCCCGTCCTCAATGTATATGGCATTTTTATGAAAAGAAAGTTGGCCAACTTTGACACTTTTGCTTTATTGTTGCATCCAACAAATCATTCACTGGACTCGTATGGTATGAAATTACTTGGTTGGTTTGTTTGTATTGATAATATTGGATAAAAGACAAAGATAAGTTTTACACTTGATTTATGAAGCAGAATCAGAGATTAGGAGGGCAAGGAAATCGTAGCGCCGCACAAAAGAAGAAACTACCAACAGCGTCATAAATTATATTAGGCCGAGTCACCAATGCAGTCGTGTAACAAAGAAGCAGGTGCACGTATCTATGTACTTTGGATTATCGCTGTGAAAAAAATGCATTGATTACTTACAGGCTTTTTAGTTTGGGTGCAATCTCACAGAGATTCGATGGCACGGAGTACACTGAGCACCGGTCAATTCGTAGAATTTCAATGGAAGAGGTTCCGTTAAGGTCTGGGAATTGCGTCAAGTTTTTCACATCCGAGAGAATCCTATTTTCAGGAAATCATACAAAGAAAAAACATGACATACATATGACATACATTATGAAAATATTGTAACAAAAATCTAATTATCTCGTTATACTACTTATAAGTGTATATATAATTAGAAATAATTATTGAAAATCCAAGATATTAATAAGAAAATTGAGTTAACTTGAAACACGAAATATTGAAATTGCATTGGAAATATTGAAACTGAATCTTCTACGCATCGGATAATCGTTCCTCTGGAGAGGGAAAGGGGAAATTGGTGGTTGGTGAACCCATGTGAGGTGAATTAATGAATTTGAGGAGCCAGAAGGTGTAGGAGGACGCTGATTCTGGTGAGACAGGCGACCAGAAGAAGAGAGAAAGCGAGGATGTAAGAATTTAATTTAGATTCCGCAACCTGTCGTACTGGTCGCCCATTAAGCTGTCCCCGCATGAATCTATTCCCCAAAAAGCACCACTTTGTAAAGTGAGGTTGGAGAAAGAAACTGCTGCTGTGACAACATTTCTCGTCCCATCCTGCTCCTTACAAGGCGAGTGGGCAGGCTTGCAACTGGGTTACCGACAAAACTTGCCTTAATGACTTTCCCAAAGTTAACTTGTACATACGCCTGCAGCCGGAAGAAGATTTCTCCCAGCCTTTAGTCGCTCATCCACTACAAGACCACTACCTATATCTTAATGATAAGTCAAAGTTGAGGGTTTAATCTTCTTTGCGGCTACCCACCGACCGAGACTGGGGACAATAAACTGAAGAGATACTGCCGACAAATTAAACCTGCTCCCCGCTGATGTCTCTGTTGGTCGCCTCGTTTTGTCCCACTCAACTCAAACCAGAACCAAAGCAAAGCCAACTTCATTAAATTGAACCGTGTGCATAAATTACTTGAGTGGAAAGCGTATATGAGGCACTAAAGTGGAGAAAGTTCCACTTATGCGGAAAAGACTGTGCATCTGTTGATATTTAATTCTTTAAGATAGAATTAAATTTTCTTTCACTAATTTTTGAATACACAGGTAACATTCTGATCAGAATGCAGTTTTTTTTAGTTAATATGTGCAACTAATAAGTATTTTATTTATATTACTTAAATTATTATTATGTAACTCTATGGGCCTCGGCCTGGAAGGGTTTAGGATTTAAATAAAAATACAAAAAAAATACAAAATACAAAAACTAATAAGTATATGAAAAGCTTTATAATAAGAAAATGTTGAGTACGTACAACTTTTTGAGGTGCTTGAGATGGGAGAATGCGTCGGGAAGAATGTTGTGGCTGAAAAATATTGTGGATTATAATAAAAGCAATATTTCCAATGTTTATAAACTTACAGTGGATTTCCACGCATTAGCAGAAACTTAACTCCTGGGATGATTTGGTGAAAGGGAATGTCAACCAGAGCTATTCTGTTATTCGCGAGGCTTCTACATTTGGGACAAAAGAAAACACTTGTCTCACCATTTAGCATACTCATTAGCCGTCACCACCAACCAGACAGACACACCAACACCTACGTGCATAATACTCCTATTTCCGACCTGGCCAAACTGTCAAGTGTGACAAATGACACTGGTATTTTAATCTCACTCATGAGAATCATTTCATTCATCCTCCTCGCACACCATCCACTCTCTAACGCCACAGCTGTGTTATAATAGCTTTCTATTCTATTCTTGTCTGGCCAGATGAAGACTTTTCCCCCAACATTATGTATTTAGCATTCATTCTCCTTCACAACAGCTATTTGTTGTTCAACTTACCGTCTTTTATTGGCCGTGCAGACGGCAGACTCTATTGTGTGCAACTCTAACTGCATAAACTGGAAAACTGCTTATCTCACTTCGCACTTTATTTGCCTCAATGTCTGCTAGAGATAAACTGCAAATACTTTACTTTTGTCGCACGTGTCCAAATTTAATGTTAATGCACAAGTGTAGAATTTGTCAGCAACTGAATATTTGCATATCAAGTAAACTATTATTTTTTTAATTCACTAATTTATCAAATTTTAAATCTAACTGTAGTTGACAAGCATGAAAGACAAAAAGTAACTTGGATATAAATCAATGTGGATTAATGTATATACATAGCCCATGCATATGCATTAATAATGTAACATTGATGCCTTTCCACCATGATCTGCATAATGTTAGAAAATTGTATGTATGAATAATGACGGAAACTCACAGTTCCTGAAGAGCAGTCAGTTTCCTACAAAATAGAAATATAATAAATTACGCAAAGTTGTATATAAGAAAACGCTGTTATAAATTACCGTAGTGCTCTCGGGACTTCCAATAGCCTGTTGCCATCAAGTTCCCTGAATAGAAAATTGAGCATAATTAAATTCAAATTCAATGAGGCATGTTGCGTCACCATTATGCACGTCTCCATTGAGAGTTGCGGCGGCGAGGAAAGATGGAGAAAGGATCCAAACATAACATGGCTTACAGCAACTGCAGCAGTTCGAGCCCATCAAATGCCGAATCATCAATTTTCTCGATTACATTGCCACCCAGAAGCCTGCAAATGAGAAAATATTATACATATAAATATACCCACGCACATATAAAATAAGTAGATCATATCCACATGAACTCTGAACTCGTCTCGTCTCATCCTTATTGCAAGACTTCGCTTTTACCCCAGAAAGCTATTTCTCTCCAATGGCACAAGCACTTACCCAACGAACCAAACGGCATGACGTACCACGGGAAAAAATTGCTTGGAGAATCTCCCGTCGTCAACAGGCCACATAAATTACTCAAGTCATATGTCTACTCCACGGCTTACACTAATGCGAAATGCCAAGCAAACGGGTAGTCAGTCGTTATAACTCGACAATCTCAACTTTGGATGAAAATGATCACAAACTGCCAAAACCACAAACAACAAACAAAGCGACGACGAAGACAAAGTTGGATGAAGTTAACGGCCGCAAGAAAATCCCATTTTTCTTAACTAATTTTCGCGACATAAAAATTTAATGTGAGAGAATGGACTAGATAAGCGTCATATAATTCATTAAGCGTCTTCTTCTTCGTGGCGTGATCATAAAAAGGACGAGGTTTCAATGACAAGTAAATTATACAAATGTCATTTTCTAGCTTCAGCGCCATCATGTCCATTCCAAAATTTCATGGATGGGTCCAAAAAACTATCCCGTTTTCTGACCAAACTATATATTAAATATTTAATACTTCTATAAGTACTTTTACTAGTAATATTATAAGTTTCGAAATAAAAAATATCCTACAAAACTTTAAGTCGTAAAGTGTGGAATGACATGACGGCCACAACATTGGTTAAGTTACAGACAATTATTAACATTTAAAAAATCTGTCTGTCTCTCTAAATCTCCTTCTATACGGGTTTTACTTGGTGACAGGACGAGACTGTCACCATACTTGTCATTTACTGACAACTGACTGAGCAAGTTGGTCGGAGCATTTAATGCTATAGTCAGTACTGATTACTTTCTCCTCGTCTCACTGAAGTGCCAAAAGCCTTAGAGTCACAATTGTAAAGTTTAAAGCTGCACTATTTTAAGACGTTGGTGCTAATTTGTTGTGTAGCCATATATTTAGAATCCATATATACAAATGTAACCATTGAGGGAATTTGAGACGCTTGCAAATGTGGTGTGTTTGGGAACACAAAAGACTTACAATGCGTGAAGTTTGGAGTTTTTAGGAAGAATGTGGCGTTCCAGTTGACTGATTTTGTTATATTCCAGATTCCTGTGATAAATTAAAAAAACTCGTTATTTTCACATTTTTATCTGTTCTAAACTATTGTGTTCAGAACTCTATTTGCATATCGATTTTCATCAAATATAATACTGACAAATTAGCAGTGCGAAGTTAGCACGATAAAGTGTGAGCAGGGAAGTTCCTTAATGTTTATAGGTGCGACTTCCTTGACATGTTTTGTCATATCTGAGACGCTCAGATGTTACTTAATCGTTGCATGGAAATATTTAACTTGGCGATGACAAGAGTAATAAATTACATGGGTGACAGTCAATTCTACGATTAGTCGAATCCTCCCACCATTACATATTACACATGTTCATATTTAGATATGTGATGACTGTCTATTTTTATATAAACTAGTTAGCTGATCATGTAATTTGTGCGTATTATATTGAACTGTAGTATCAAAAACTTTCGTAAGTTAGATATGTATGAAGCTAAAAAAACTCTCTACCAAAGTAGATCTGAATTATTCGCTCAGCTAATTACCAAAAACTCTAGTAGATCGTAGCCACTATGGAATTTGAGAATTTGTCCTTATTGACACGTGCCAGTAGAAATAACACAAAGTGTATAAGTAGATCATGATGACGATTGTGGACGATGACGTCTCAAAGTGGTAGTCTGATTGCCAGCGTTACTTGGTATTTGGATTGGCTTCGTCGGTCTCAAACGCTTCAGATTCGACCCAATTATCCAGAACTTGTGTATTGTGAGAGCCATGGGAAAAGAAATGAACAAAGACGGAAGGACCACATTCAACATTCTAGCTCTTGTTTGTGAACCCAGGGTGAATTCACATAACCATCGAATTTGGTATTTCCCTTTGATGCATACTACTGCTTGACTATACACATTATATATGAAACCCGATACCAGGAATTTCCATGTCGCGGTAATCACACAATGGACGTGCGTATCATACAATTGCACATATGTTACGTACACATGTTATGTCAAATTGACTGAATTTAATACTGACTTACAATAGCTCCAAATTATTTGGAATTGCTGTCGTCGGAAACGCTGTCAATTGATTTCGAGACAACGTGAGCTCTTTCAAATTGCTGAGAGACGAGAAGGAACTTTCACCAAGTTCCTCAATCAGGTTTGATGACAAAGAGCTGAAACGTAAAAGATATTATTATTATTAGGGTATCTACATTGTAAAATTCATTATAATTATATAATATTAGCAATTCTATATTCTTTACTTGCTATATTTAACCCTAAAACGACGCTAAAGTTAGCATTGCATAATAAATATGTAAAGAATGTAAAGAATATGTAGTATTTAGAGCATTTCTTTAAAAGGGAAATGTGTTCCAGAATATTTTTTACGGAAACCCATTTCCTCCACGTGTTCCACAAGGTTCAGAATTTGGGTGCTATGAAATTTTTCATCCAGTTGCTCTGATTACGCGTACACATATCCTACGAGTGGTTCCTTCTGTACGCAACCGAGTTTAATACCAAATACGCATAATCATTTATTCAACTCGCTTCACTAGGCAGATCTCTGTACTAAATTTATTGGCAAAGTTTCAATTAGCTGTTTTGCCATTTCTGAAGTGTATTTCGGATACGTTCCTACAGAGCTTGCTGCGTTTCCGCACGCACTTGATGACAAAAAAGTGAAATAACTTCAATTCTGTATCTCTCTGAAATCTGCTGGCTGTGCGTGCGTTAACTTTCTTGGCAAAGAACTTCACGGGTTGACTAGAGACGAGCAGGAATTAATGGGTTTGTTAGAAAAACTATTTCTGATTAGATTTACGCAAGTCTGGAGACGTGTTTAGGATATTTGTCGTCTGTGATCGTAGACAAGGATGCTTAAAATTCTACCCTTGCTCGCGTGCCAAGTCGTGTCGTTTTTTAGCCTTTAAAAGTCGATACTCCTCCACATTTTAAAATTTGTAGTTGAGATTACTATGCAAAGACATGAATATATATTCCGCATTTCGTTCCAGATTCTTGTATTTTTGAAGGCAAAATGTTGTTAGTTTCTAATTTGAAAACGCCCACGATACGCAATGTTGGATATCAAATGGATACAAGTAAATACATCAAAAGAAGTAACGAAATTTAAATATATAAAAAATCTCAACATTAGTCGTTACAAAATTACATGCATGCCACATATATGTATAATGAGAGAGCCGAAATCAAGATGTTCTGCAGAGGCAGAAATTGAGTTCAGTCAACGATGTTCCTTCAGTTTCATGTTAAAATACGATTGTCGTATATTCTGAAGAATTTTTTTACTTCGATCTACTGATCTCCTGTCATGCTGAGTAGTTTATCCAAATTGGATTCCAAAAATAATTTGGCCTCATCCGAACGGTGAGTCATATAAATAAAGATGAGAAGAGAGAGATAGAGATCAGATGGTTCTGTGATGATGCGTATATTTATACATTAGTGAACTCTGCAATTTCGCTTTGCAAGCATAAAATAAATTAGGATGTTGTTGAAATTGCAATAATATATTTATTTTAAGAATCTTAAGCTATAATGTATATGGAGAAAGGCGATGCCGCATTGAACAAGTTAATATTTAACATTTTTTTTCCTAGATAAAAATAAGGTAAAAGTGATCAACTTACAGCTCGTGAAGGTCCTGCAGTGGTCCAAGTTTTTCATGATCCACCCAACTGATGTTGTTTGTACTGAGATCTCTGTATCAGAAAAAAAACATGTCATCAGTGTACATAAAGTTACCAAAATGTCAAATACAAAATACAGGCCCCTTGCATGTCAAATAATTTCCTATCAGACGTCATATAATCGAGGACCAATGAGGTTTTATGGAAACGTAAGCATTCGCTTTCTACTCCAAATATTTGTGATACATTTTCATACAGAATGAATTCCCTCCTCCTCACCGCAAGAAACATTATAAATAAAGGTTACTGACATGCTTGGGAATATTCAGCTTGTCCTCGGTTCCAATCCCAAGAGGACTTTATGATTGTAGTACTTTGTGAAGAAAATACAGAACAGCTTTGCATTTGTCACATGGATTTGCAACACTACTGACAACTGAGTCGTCACGTTAAACTTATGCAAATATATACTGGGTTCCATCCCCGGTGGTTGATGGTTTTATGGGTGGAGATTGAGAGAAATGGGCTTATTTGGTAGGCTGGTCACAATTACAAACTCAAATGTTGACGCGTTGAAGGGAATTGGCCGTGGAAAATTTGCATTAAGCGTATTATCACAGCAATTTCAACAACGTTGATAAAATTATACGAATCCTATGGCTTCCAGACGTTTAGAGATGTGCAACTACAGACTGACCAGCACAACGATATCATAAAGGCAACTTAACGACACGAGAATTTTGCCATTAGAGTATGCGTCCGGAAAAATATGAGCAAAGTTTTTCTGTTTGCATTGCCATTTAAGAGAAAGAGACAACCGAGAATATTACAGACCATGACCATTGGTGTTCACCACCACAATATTTCTCGAGTTAAGTAGTCCCAAACAAAAATGGAGGTAATAATCAAGAATACTTGAGTGAAAAAGCTGAAAAAATCTGAGAAAGTGCCAAATTGTGGTTGGAATGTCGAGAACAAAGCCTGATAATGACAAGAATGATGACTTGCAACCTCAACCACGATGAGAGATAGTCCAACTCAATCCCGCTTTATCTTGCAATATAAACTTATCCTACAAATCCAGACATTTTGGCTTGATGCAAAGTTTTCTTGGGATAAAGTAGAATTTTTAGGGCTTTGTTGACATATATCCCAACTTCCGGATCCACCACTCCAACCACTACGTACTGCATATAATATGTATGCAGTATATCTATAAGACGATTCTTTGTACCGGATTTTTCACTCTGCTCATCTTCGATTAAATAATTTAGTGTTAATAATTTTAGAATGATTTTAAGTAATTTTGAATATTTTATTAATTTTCATTTGAAATATTATAACATGAATTCATTTTAGTTTAAAGATGATAAAATCGAAACATGGAAAACATCTAGTCTTATTACATCTAATTGTCTGATGTCTCTTTGTATGCACGTCAGAAAGGGAGAGAACTTATTCCATTTCCAAATGAAATGGAAAAAAGTTTCGGATGACAACTTTATGGTTATGACCATCAACCGTTTGTGGACGTTGCAGTTTGTTCTGCTAACATAAAAGGGTTATAATCATTTGTTACACTTCAAGTTGTTCTCCACATCATTTTCTTTGTTGGGCACATTCGGTCCTCATTCTGTGTACGTATGAGTTGAGTGCAAATAAGCGATCCACAGACTAGACGCATTTTTCAGACTAAAGGAAAGTATGCAAACATCAGAGGACCCTTCCCAAAGTATTCGAGGTAATCCTAAACCAAATCCATGCAACTTAGCTACTGCATTGCAAAGAGTTCAATAATAATATTTGCGACGAATCTTAGTCCGGGCGGGTCATGGAACTTAGGAGTACTTTCATTCGACCAAGGCGATCAATACTCACAAGTCCATGTCATCTCCAATAAATCCTTGGGTCTTCCCCGACAAAAGAAAGAAGGCGACCACCATCACGATGAGTATAAGAGTCTTGCAATAAACATCCATAGCACAACAGCCTTTAGGATTGCTAAGTGCAAGGATGCCCCATTTTTATTATATTACGTTCAGATTGTGGTTGGCCCCACTGGGTGAAAGAAAGATATGGAAATCTAAATTAATATAGCAAACTGGTCACAAAAACCCGTGCTATCTGAATTGGTTAGGTCATATTCTGATCTTAGGCAAACCTCAGACCCCAAAGTGAAATATGTGCAAGCATGAAGTTGTGCATAGTGTATTATTCAGCAATAGTGCAAGATTCTTGGTCTTCCTTAATGCACTTAGATATCTCAAAATTGAATCATGTAGCCCAGACATGGCCCAGACAAAATTATTGCAAACACAACTGTCCAAATGATGTTGCGCGACGGTGTCCATAAAGATATCTTATTTCGGTTTGCCATTGCATAGTTTGGAATTAGTCCAAATGCAATCTTTCTTTCCTTCACACAAACATATAAATATATTAAACATTTGACATGCATGGTTTAAGCTCAACTGTAACGTTCACGTTTTCGTACAGAGTTTCGTTTTTATATTATTGTGTGCAGTTTGGCCTAAATTCTTGAAAATATTAAAGCAAGCACATCACATGGGGAACAATTGTTGTGTGTATTCTGGTATCATTTTATTCCGAAAATCATGTACATAAGATATTTCTCAAACAATAGTACTCAGACAGAGCTAAAACTTTCTTCCCGCTATTGTGTTCCACTGAAGCTAAAACATTCGCCAAATGCAGAACATGTAATATCAGATATTTCACCAATTTCGCAAAAGTGTGAGCCCAATCAATCAGCTTCTTTGTATGCGTCTCAACTCATTTCCTGGAACTGATGCCCAATGTTGTAGGAAACGGAAGCCAGAACTCTGTTTCACACGCTGCACTGTTACGAGACCTTTTTCGTGTCAAAAATAATGTCGCACGAAGTAATTAACGTCCAATGATAAATAACGTGTCAAGAATAATGCGCAAAAACATACTCGTACTTTTTCTAACTGAAAATTACTGGAAAAGTGTGACACTCGTGCGTGCATACGATTCAACTTTCTTTCACAAATAAACACACGACCAAAATAATTTGTTTTTTAAGAATAACATAAATAATCAAGTTGGAGTTGCTATTTAAATGATCTTATTAATTCTAAACTAAATTTGGTGCATTACCCCAATCACACGGACTAAGCTGCTAATAAATGAGGAAGATAGCTTCCAAATTTTTTAGCTAACTTATTATTACCCGTTAAATAATGCCTTGAAAATAAATTGCAGAACTCAACAAAGAGAGCAAAGTATATTTTAATGCTAAAAAACTTTTATAATCGAAACTCTATGTCATGTATTCTTGAGAGCTATTTATAATCTGGAAAGACGTGACACCGAAAAACACATGGAGTGTGATTTAAATGTCAGCTATAATATTTTTCTTTGTTTGATTACAAAACTTGAATGGATGTCTGCTTCCGTCAAGGAGAAAGACAACAAGTAATGAGCTGAGATGCAGCAGTGGTTTTCCAATACCGTGTCAGACGATGATGACAAGTAAATGTTGTATATCATATCTATAATTCAATATCTTTATGTAACTTTAGCAGTCACCCTGCAACACCACGATTTTTGTCTCCAATTCCATTTTCTCCAAGAGAGAGAGAAGAATCACCTCCGTACGTAAGCTAAGAGGTGAATGCACAAGTATATGAAAGGCATGTCTGTCATGCTCACGACCTGATAAAGACTTTCACCAGAGATTCGCGATAGGAGACGAGATACAAGACGCAGCTATGTATGAGACTGAACTTACAACTTCCTTGTAGACACAGGAATCCCATCTGGAATTGAGGTGATATTCTGTCCGGAGCAGGTTACAATGGAAAATAGAGCCGGTGGTGCAGACTGTGGTGCTTCTGATGTCGGAGGTGAGGGTGCTGAACAGTCACAAGCTTGAGGACAAGGTGTCTGTGGTGGTAGAACTCCATTTGTTCTACTTGACCCCAGCTCATTGGTATGCTGGATGGAGGATGACTGGATGCCACCAAATAAAAGGACGAGTTGTAATAATACCAAGGAAATCAAGGGTGGTTCGCCTTTCACGCTCATTTCTCCTCTTGCTCCTGATATTCACTTCCGTTTAAATTTACTGGATACGACGATCTTACTGCCTATCAGCTCCGTTTAGAATAGATTCGCCTTCTACGGAAATTGGCTCCGAGTGCTTGTGTTTATTTCTTTGGGGAACATGGTACATTCAAATCCCTGTTCATCAGACAGACGGAATTAGTCTTTGATGAGAGAATTCACTGCATACACGCTTTCTAATCAGTCTCTGATGGCTGTCGGGATGACGAGGGTCGAATTTTATCTGAAATTAGAATTAATTTTGGTGAATTAGTCGTTTGTATGTAAATTCTTATGTCAATAACAATTTATTTCATAATATGACAAATTGTCGCGTAATGTCGCAAGAACATCCGAAATGTCAGTTACACACCGTTAGAAAATACGAAATGTAATATGTGAGATGTAATTGTATGTTCGTTCCACTTTTCTCATTGTAAAACATCGTGGGTGACATTCCATAAAAAGTTTGTACTCCAAAATCCAATTTTGTAATTTAACCTTTGAACCTAAAGATCGTATCTTTTGTTGTTCTTTACTGCATGCATTTTCTTTATGTGACTTTTTTCGCTTGCGTGGCTTCAGTAAGATATGCAAGAGTCATAAATTAACGTCACTTTTCTAATCTAAAATCTAAATTGCATTACATTACATACAAGCCATTTATAAATTTTAATTTTAAATTCTCCTCGATTTGGTACTAACTGGGTGAAAGTCCTATTGTACTCCAAGTTTCCTCGCTACTTACGTGCCACATATGTACATATGCCCACTATATAAATAGGTATATATACATATGAAGTACATTCTGGCTGAGACAAAATATCGATTTTCCTTACAACAATCACAATAGTATAATTTGGGAATGTCCGTTTACATTATCGAATCGATGACAATTTAGGATAAGAAGGAAGGAGAGCGTATCGACATAACCTAAACTTATTGCCCAAACTTTTTAATGAAAATGATAGCCAATGCTAATAAAACGATAATCAGGTCAATATGAATAGGGCCAAGAAATAATTTGTCTTTATTGTGAATTATCTTTCAGTACACTTCATCTATCAGTATTAGTCGTTAGTTATCAGTCAATGGTAGTTGTCTCTTGATATGCCCCAGTCTCCATCTATCCAAAGCCTAAAAAGGAGAAAAAGTAACATGCATGCCTGGGCCCGCTTCTCCCGTCACAGTCTTTTTGATGCAGCCCCGGTTCACATCACCAAAACGTAGTTTCCTGACTTTTGTTGGAAAATCAGATTTTTTGTTGAAATTTCCGGTCCAAGATGTCATCCCCCCAAAAGAGGAACAGGTAAGCCTACTATTCATGTATTTTGCTTGGGCCATTAATGATTACAAGCGAGGAAAATTATAATAATAAAAAAAGTCTTGGCCAGTGTGACGACGTGGTCGCGCACAATTTTTGGGAGATGACGTGGTCACTCCAATAATTAAATATATATATTGTTTGGCCAGTGTGACGACGTGGTCGCACACATATTTTTAGAGATGACGTGGTCACTCCTAATTTTCAAAATTTTAGAAATTGAAATTTTCGTATCATTATTTTTATCAGCAATGAAGTTGGTGATGCTGCCTGCCACCCTCCAAAGAAAAAGAATAAAATTGCTAAAACACTGGCTAATCATTCTAAAGCAATTCAAGAAATACGAGACCTCCTAATTAATCCAGTTAAGGATGGAAAGCCAAAGTCCGACGACGTGGTCGGGGACGCAATGCAGAACCTACTAAATTTAGATAAGGGTAATTTTTCAATTAATTGTGGTTGGCAATGAGTTGAATAAGGCAAAAAGCATTTTTTGTAGACATAACAGTACAGCCTGAAGATGGTGCATCTCAGGATCTTCTCGAAATACTTAATGTGAGTCAACTTGAACCTGAATTTGGTCCTGATTTGAACGGCGCTGTTGCTGAATCCTTTACAAACTTATCAAAGACAGCCTTACCTAAAGAAAAGTTTGATGAAATTAAGAAGCTTTTTCTAACTCCTCAAAATTGCAAACAACTGGGAGTTCCGAGGGTAAATCCAGAGATTTGGGGTGTTCTATCACCTAAGATCAAGCGATCTGATTTTCAAAATCAACAAATGCAAAATACTCTTTCATCTTCGACGGTCGCATTAGCCAAACTGTCTGAGATAATTATGCAAAATTCAAAGCAAATGCATACCAATGTAAGTCAAGATATTTTGAGACTCGCTATTCAGGCTGCTACGTTAAATTCAAAACTATTTCAAGAATTAAATATGAAACGGAAACAAGAAATCAGACCATGTTTGAATAATGACATCGCAGCAGTGTGCAACACGCCTTCCACTCCAGAGCTTCTTTTTGGAGACAATATTTGCGATACCATTAAGGCAACAAAGTCAGCTGCGGCAGTAATGAGGTCTTCAAGTTTTACACGTCCATCAGGCGGTTCGACTTTTTCAAACAGGACGAGAGGGAATTATTATCATTCTAATAGAGGCTCGTCTTTAAACTTCAATCGGGCCTCCTTCGGCAGAGGAGGCCTTCGTCCCCAATATCGCCACAATTTAAACCAACGGGGATCGATGTATCGACCTCAACTGAGACCATTCCGACACCACCAGTAGTAAGTAGAGCTAGGTCGCTAAGTTCACATATTGTTAATTGGCGTAAAATTACTAAAGATAAGGAGATATTAGCAGCAGTTGAAAATTTTAAGATTCCTTTTTTAAGTTTACCTGTACAAGATAAGCCTCCTACACCATTTAAATTTTCAAAAAAGGAGTTTCCTAATGCACAAAAAGCTGTGCAAAAATTAATTGAAACGGGTGCCGTTATTGAGGTTGAGCCATGTGATGGTCAGTTTATTTCTAGAATATTTTTAGTTCCAAAAAGAGATCCTGGTTCCTATCGACTGGTTATCAATTTAAAACATTTAAATGAGTTTGTCATTTCTCCACATTTTAAAATCGAAAATTATAAGCATGTTGAATCTCTAATTGAGAGGGATTTTTATATGGCGACAATTGATTTGGTGGATGCCTATCATGCGATTCCGGTGCATCCGGATCATCAAAAATATCTAAGATTTTGAATTTAATAATAAAATTTTTCAATTTACATGTATTCCTTTTGGGATTTCATGTGCGCCAAGATTGTTTACGAAGATTTTTAGACCGATCATGGGATTACTAAGAAATCAAGGAAATATTTCCAATCAGTACTTGGATGATTTATTATTACTAGGTAAATCTAAATTTGAATGTTTGAAAAACATTAGGTCTACCAAGATGCTACTTAAATGGCAAGGGTTTTCAATTAATGTCAAGAAATCTAAGCTCAATCCTGCTCGTGTGGCAGAATATTTAGGTTTTATTTATGATTCAAAATTAATGCGAGTTTCGTTGCCCGACCGTAAAATTTCAAAAATTTCATCCCAAGTACACAAGTTCTTGAATATTCCAAAGATGAACATTCATGATTTATTTAAGTTGACCGGCCAGTTAATTGCAGCCTCTCCGGCCGTAAATTCCACAATTCATACGAGGGATTTAGAAATGTTGCGTAATTCAGCTTTAGTAAAATCCAATGGTGATTACTTGGCAAAATGCGAATTAAATGAGGAGTGCAAATTTGAATTGAAATGGTGGTTGGCTGTCCTACCACATTGCTATAATCCTTTACGATTTCAAAAGTATTTAGTAGTTCTGACCACTGATTCTTCCACCACTGGTTGGGGAGCTCACACGGATCTCGAAGTTACAAGAGGTTTTTGGTCACGAGAGGAACAGCTCTTACACATTAATACGTTGGAATTAATTGCAGTTTTGAACGGGTTAAAGTCCTTGTGCAGTAATCTAACTGGATGTAGTATTTTGATTCGCAGTGACAACACTACCACAATCGCATACATAAACAAGTTTGGAGGTTGTCGTTCCGCAATTAATTTAAAATGGGCAAAGGCCGTTTGGGAGTGGTGCGAAGAGAGAAGTATTTGGATTTTTGCCTCATACATTAAATCGGTAGATAATATTATTGCGGACAGAGAATCGAGACAAGCAATTGATGAAAGCGATTTTACACTCGACTCCCGGTCATTTGACTTAATTTGCCAGACTTTTGGAGTTCCATTTATAGACTTATTTGCGACAAGTATGTCTACTAAATGTCAACGATTTGCATCTTGGTATCCTGATCCGAATTGCGAGGTGGTCGATTCATTCACTATTGATTGGTCAGAATTTTTCTATGCATTTCCTCCGTTTTCTCAAATATCAAAAGTTTTGCGTAAAATAAGAAATGACAGTGCCACTGGCATTGTCGTTCCTGATTGGTCCACGCAATCATGGTACCCTCAATTTTCAAGGCTGCTATTATCAAATATTCTTGTATTAAAAGCAAATACGTACGATTTAAGATCGCCATATACTAATTCCTCTCATCCTATGTGTAGGAAGATGAATCTTCTAGTAGCTGTTTTATCTGGCAATCTAACCAGTTTCCGGAGAATGTAACGAAATTGCTAAAATCGTCTTGCCAAGATTCAACGTGGAAGCAGTATCAGTCAAATTTTAAAAAGTGGAAAGCTTATTGTGTAGAGAATGAGTGTTCTGTTTGGAACCCTACGATTAATTCTATTTTATCATTTTTGGCAACTTTGTTTGATAGTGGTTTAGGTTACACTACAATTAATTCGATGCGCTCATCCCTGTCTACGATTATTGGAAAAGTTGATGGTCAAAGTTTGGGTTCTCACCCATTGGTATGTCGACTTTTAAAAGGAGTTTCAAATTCTCGTCCTCCTAAACCGAAATACCAACAAACTTGGGATTGTGATGTCGTTTTAAGGTTTTGTAAAAACTTAGGTGAAACAACTAGATTAAATTTAATTGACTTATCATTAAAATTAGTTGCCCTTCTTGTTCTAACAACAGGGCAGAGAGTACAGACTTTGTCTGCAATTAATGTAGCTAATACGAAACTGCTTGGTGATGGGTCATATGAAATTGTAATCTTTACTAAATTAAAATCCACCAAGCCAGGTGATTCAACTGTTCTGGTTTTACCTAAATTTAGTGATAATGAATTATGTGTTGTTAGCACTTTAACCCATTATTTAACTGTTACTGAGGATTTAAGACAGGATGAGAAACTTTTTGTGTGTACACGGCCACCTCATCGAGCTGCGACTCGTGATACGTTGAGCCGATGGTTAAAAACGGTATTATTTAAAGCAGGGATTGATGTAAATATTTAT